GCCCAAGAGGATGCAACATGCAGAAATTGTGGCTTATCAAGGGAAACAATACACCATCTTCTCTTTGAATGCCGAAAATGGCGACACCAGCGAAACAAGCTCTACAAGGATCTGGAGATGGATGGGGTCATGAGACCCGCTGGTGCAGAGGAACACCCACAGGGACGACTATTAGGAGAACCCAGAGCTACCGGAGCGCTACTAGAATTCCTAGCTAGTAGTAGTGTGGCTCTACCCCGAGCACATTCTCATCAAACAGCGGAAAGGGCCCTAAGAGACAATGAATGGGAACTGGAAGCACTGGAAGAGACGATCAGAACAGGAGAAGGATAGCAGGGAGGGTAGCCTAAGCTGAATCCCCAACTCAGGTCACACCCACTCTGCTCTGAAACACAAGGAGAGCACTCTGATCGAAAGCCCTGCGCATACAGGTGGTTTGGGGCGAGGAAAAGGATCAGAAAGATTATAGAAGGAGGCTAGTGCCTCAGGAGCTTATGTGGATAAAAGACTGTAGAATAGTTACTAGCCTCAAGTCCACGAATAAGGGTCTATCATAGCTCTAGGGCTCGGTATGGACAATAAACTTGATTAAATAATAGCATAAGATAGCCCTTGCAACTTACTTTCCGCAACTTCTTGAAGTAGACATGAGGCACACATCCATCTCTCCATGCTGCTCGTTCTCATTGATCCAACTAATTTCCAATATTGTACTGCACTCAGGGATGTACATATCATTAATTTGGCGTAGGGTAGTTTCTTCCTCGAGACATTCCATTCCAGAAAGCAGCAATAAAGAACTGTTGCAATCACATGAATAATTTCAGCAGATCTGCCGTGATGACTATCTAGCAGCTAGATATCTATCATTCATGGCTTGTGTGGACTCTAAGGATATCCCGCATTCAATGATTGTACAGGAACGATTGCGAAGGAAAGAGATAAATGATATTGGTACACTGGACACAGTGATGGGAAATATCATGACATGCACTGTTTGGTCCATCTTGCCACAAGAGGGTGGCTCAGAAGGAAGCAGAAACTGCCATACTAGCAGAGCAAAGCAACAATTCACCTTGGAGAACTAATTGCAAATGCCAACCTGGTGAATCGGACAGAGTAGAGGGCATATATATCACATGCTCAGTATGCAGTTAGTGACAGGTGGTAGTAGTGGTGATGACAAATTATCGATCTTGCAAGAAAATGTGGAAACTGCCTGCACAATGACGGACGGTACAGCGAAGCAAGGGTGATGTATTGGAAAGTTCTTGAGTAACGGGAGAAGGTGCTTGGATCCGAGTATCCCTCCACTCTCATATAGTGTCAATAATCTTCGCTAGCCCCTCAAAAAAGAAAGAAAGAAAGTCAAGATCTATGGTGAATACTGTACGAAACTCGATATATTAAGTACACAACAAATCTTCCTTTAATCAACCGGCCAAGACAAACCTGTAATTATCCCGATAGTTAAGATAGTAAATTAAGTATGCAGCGTTGAAAGGCAGTGTGTGCGGTTGTCGAAAACTAAATTCTCCCTACTCTAATACCTATTATTCAACATAAATCTAGATTAATGTCCAAGTGTCTGTGACATAAGCGACATGGACCTCCTGCACTCGACTCTGGGACCGAGTCAAAGTATGGTTAGACTTAGCATTTATCAGTCGCAGCCCCCCGAAACACTCTTTGAGACTATTTGTGACGTTAAATAGCAGTAACCAGTGAACGCAATGCCAATCTTATCTGGTCATCTCTATTCTTCCTCCAGACTAAGAAGTGAAAGCCAGATCAGGCTGTTGACAGTTCAGCCGGAGGCGGACAGAAGCCGAGAAATTCAATGCTCTCAAGTAAGATCTACCACCACTTCAATGAATCTATCTGTGCTGGAATCTCACATCCTATTTCTAGTATTGCTATTTGCGCAAACAGCGCTTCGGTTGTCAAATGCCTGCTTGAAAATGGTGCAGATCCCAATGACAACTATTATCTGGATGAATCGCCGCTTGAATGGGCTAGGGCAAAAACACCCGACAACCCGGAGATTGTTCAGTTACTTTTTGATCATGGTGCGAAGGAGTAATGATAATATAACTATTTGGTATTATTGAGCGGTTTACAGTTTATTCATGGTTCAAAATATGAGGAGGCTTGCTGTGACATGCATTTTATGACGACTATGTCTATCTATCCCAGATGCCTCGCAGTTTGTCTCCAAGATTTCCATTTAGAATTTCGTCAGATAGTCTATCAATATATTCATGTTGTACGAGACCATCACAGCGGGTTCCTTATTGATAACAGGGTTGACTCGATTGAATCTCTTATGGTATCCTTGTTGGTACGCTTCTTCTGGGTCTAGTGGTTAACGACTCCAAGATGGCTAGCTATCTGGGAAACTGCGCTTGAAAAAGTTCTGAACAGTTCTATCCTTGATGTGGCCAGATATGCGGAGCTTCTGGGGTTCAGCTGTCAACTTGTGGTACAGTTCATCCTTCCAATTATCCTCTGCAACGCCTGCTTCGGCAGCAAGATATAGGAATTTTGAAAGGAATATAAGGAACTTGTCATTGACCTTCATGTGCAATTGTCGGAAATGGTGCTTCCCAGTGATGACCCGGTCTGATCACTATAGATCATTTTCAGGTGGTTGAGAATGTTTTTGGAGTCAGTGCATGGGTTCGGTCATCTAATGGGATCCAAAGAGATTTCATAGAATTTAAGTTGATGATTCTAGGGTCCATACGATACCTATCATCCAAAATACCAGAACAGCTGTTACAGTGTAAATAACAGTAGTTATTGTATAAGATAAATCATCCTTTTTATGAATCCAAATTAGGTAAAGCGTGAAATTTTTATGAAAATGAGGGTCGATGAAGGTCTTCGAGGGTCACCTACAAGAGGTCTAGCAAGGGTTGAGGGTCGGATGGAGGGTCTCGGCGAGGTCTACCTGCCACACCATGCCAATGTTGTACACCTGACCAGTGCGGGCATCTTCGGAAAGGAATATTATCCTGATACGGATGGGAATATAGCTCTCCCTCTGCCACTTGCGGCTCTGTAGCATATGGTAAAGGGATACATCAAGCAAACGGGGTATACCCCAAAGTTGGTTTGAAGAAGATAAATTTCGAGATTTTGCGTGACTCGGGGTAATTAGTTGGCTATTTGTTCTAGTCGTGCGATGCAATATATTCTATCTAATATCGGTTATGTTCTAAACCTTATGTAGCTGTACCAGAGGCAAGATCGTGTCTGCTGTTCCAATTGCTCACCCAATACGGAAACTTTCCTTTTCGAGACAACCTATCCCGATTGGGCATTCCCCGGGTTTCCCCACGTTCCCCCGCATTTCCGGTAATTGACTCCATCGGGTAGATATGATATAGAGAACCAGAAATGGATTCTTTCTCTACCTGTATATCATTCACAACTATATTAATGACTTTCAACAAAAGGTAGTACACAATGGGCCGTCGCGGACCAGCTTGTCGACGATGTAGGGGTGAGTTTCCTCTCTTGATCTCCGTTGACACGGATTTGCTAACTACGATAGGACGTCATCTAAAATGTACTATCGATATACTTATCACAACGACTGGGCTACTGACATGTTCCCGTAGGCAATGGAGACAGGCCATGTGCCCAATGCAAAAAGTCCGACATTGAATGTGATTTGTCGAAGGTGAACATCAGATTCCGGTCGCACAAGCCTCGACCAAAGCCGGATTTAACGTTTTCGCCCAGTCAGGAATGGGTTGGGACGGCCGGAAAGGGTGAGTCCCTGTGGAGGTGGGTTGGGTTCGTTGTTAATCGATTGGCAGGCGAGGTTCACTATGTTGACGTGAGCCGGGAATATGCCGACAAGGGTTCAAACGAGTCGAGACCCAGACGGACATCCATCTCAAGTCATGAGGTGGAAAGTACCTCTCCTTCAAGGCCTCGATCAGAAGACGCTCCTAACATCGAGCACTTATCCATTTCCGAAACAGACCCGATTTTCTCGGGCCCGGGGCCACTGTTTACCCCCGACAGCACAGCAGCAGTGTTGCCTCAGTCTATCGTCCATTCTACAGTAATACCATTTTCAACTATCGGGCACAATCGCGATATTCCAGAACGGTCAATATATCCTGCACAACGAGACAAGTACCCTTTAGGCCCCTTGAAAGGACTTCCGGATTCCGCGTCAAAACAGGCCTTCGTGACGAATATAGAAGAAGCATGTTTAATACGATATTTTGTGGACTACTTAGCTCTATGGGTAGGTATCCATCAGCATATTGTTGGTCCAAGTCTGACATTGTCAGTTTGACACCAGTGACCGAGACCACAATTTCTGCTACACAGTGCCTGAACGGGCAATGTTTTGTCCCGTCCTGCGTTATGCTCTACTTACTGCATCGGCTGGGCATCTCACTCGATTATATAGCCCATATCGAAACTCCAACAATGTGATCGTGTACGACGGCATCCACCTGTTCAACCTCCGGTATGACACTGCGATTTCGTACCATGATATCTGCATATCGTACTTGATTCAAGTGTCGAACGATCCGAGCGGAGACTTTAATGAGGATATTTTGACCGCTGCAACTATCCTGCGCTTCTTCGAACAGCTTGACGGTATTTTAAGTACGATTTGCCATATACAATGCTCTGCTGCTGACTGTTTGTAGCCCCCTCCGCAGGAACGGACACCGGTACCTACCTGACCGCCGTCCAATTCATCATTAACACACAGCGCAACCAGTCATTCTATTCCTACAAAACCATTGCTGGTCCACCACGCGATGCGAGCATTCACGATATCCCTGCTCCATCACTAGGTCACTCCGCGTGTCTGATAGCCCTTCGACAGGAGATCTGGAGTGCTTTTCTCCATCAACATCCGTGTCGTCTCCCCATATGTCCATATGAAGCTGAAATCATCTTTGACGACACAGCAAATGATTTTATCTGGGCGAACCGCATATTAATATGGTGCGCGAGCCTGCTCAATTTCTGCTTCCGTTGTGAGCCTATGACACACGAGGAAAAAGTTCAACGCTGGACGAAGTTTAAAAGTTTCGAAGAACAATGGAACACGCGCAAACCTTATTCATTTCGACCCATTTACTACGAAGATTCAGATCCAAGCTCTGGTACCTTTTTCCCGCGCATATGGCACATCAACTCTTGTCAAGTCATGGCGGAGCAGCATATCGAGCTCGCGCGCATTCTATTGGCCGTGTCAAATCCGAAGATTTCCCGGATTGGTCTTGGTACTTCGTTTGCAAATGCCTCACTAGAGGCAGAGCTACGGTCTATTGCTAGAAGGTTGGTTGGACTAGGAATTTCAAATCCGAAGATGCCACCTGCGTTGGTGACTTCTGCTGTGGGAATATCAATGTGTGGGGGGTACTTTAGGGACCCAAGGGAGCAGGAGGCGTTAGTAGATGTATTGGTTTGCTTGGAAGTGGAACATGCCTGGCCTACTGAGACTACCATTGGAGCTTTGAGGAAGGCTTGGTGTTACAATTAGGCTCCAGGTCTTTAGGAACAATGCTGATGAATTGACCGCTAATCTATGTCCACTTTCGGCACATATACCTATGGGCCTACGTGCCAGCTGGGCTTTGGCGAACGCTGTAATCTACGGAATAGGCATCAGACTTATGCCTAGGGCCCCTTAAATTACCCCCGAAATACTCTTGGAAATACTTAGGCCTCTCGAGGTGCGTGGTTAGTCTTGTTTTTTATATAGTCTAGGTTGCCTTTGTCATTTCTCAAAATGCTCACAGTTGCGTTCTCTTCCTTCTATTTTCTGTTGTTTTATTCCGCTGTTCTGTCCCGGGTCTATTACGAATAGCCATCCGTATCATCACCTATCACTGAACCCTCCTCAAAGGCTTGAATTTGCACAAAAAGAGGCTGTGCCAGGGACTCATAATCCTGCTTTAGGTGACATTCCTCGTCCGTGAGCATTATTAGGAATCACAACGCCAGGTTCATAGTCAAGCCATCCTCCCTCTCAGGGGATAACTGCGTATTCGCTCTCAATGATTTCAACACCTTGTCGGGCCACGGAGCTGCTGTCGCCCGACATCTCCGTTCCGCTGGAATCTGGGCCCGAAGTTGCCGAGCTGGACCGGGTTCATCGATGCTGTGCCTTGGATCGAATGTCTTGCTTGGGTCGCGTCGACTTCTCATCATCGGCCACCAGACGGAGGCGCAGGGGGAGCAACGCGTTACGATGCTTCACGGCAGCAAAACGGCGATTATTCCTGGTCCTATAATACTGAACCTGCTTGACAGGCCTCGTACAAATTCGTGCGTATGTAATCATTCTTTTAGTCAATTTCTCCCGCACAAATAACCGCAGAACCAGGATCAGAGCGCCATCTAGTGCCGCTTTCTCACTGACATGGCTTCCAAACTTCCAAAGCTTATCGTTGTATGGGAAGCGTTGAAAGTCTTTTAAGGTATTCGATCAGTTCGGTTGTCCTGAAAGTAGGGCTATGCTCGCCTAAAAAGGTATTGGTCCAAGTCGTAACTTTAGAAGCCGTTGTGAGTAAGTTACAAGTGCTATTGAGAGTAATAGAGGAGGTAGAAGGTCCTCTTTGAGCGCGCCTGTTTGTTTTACTTGCACATATCACCTAGCATACAGTCAACGAAAACAAGCTATATTGAATTCCATTTTGACCATATTACTACTTTCATAAGTTGTAATTATACTTCCATTTCTCTCCTCCAAATCTTGACTGGCAGTTCCCCAACAAGCAAGTTAAACGCTTCCCTCCGCTCGAGTCTGAAGTCCGGCGATTTCAACGCAAACTCATACCTCCTAACAATCGAAGCCAACACTACTATCTGCTCTAGATATGTGATATTCCTTCCTAAACATGCACGAGCTCCCGCAGAAAAAGGTATGAAGTACGGCTCCATCCGCTTCCTCGCCTCGGGATCCATCCACCGTTCAGGTCTATATTCTTCGGGATCCGGAAAGACGTTGGAATCCCTATGTGTGGCATAGATGGTCATAGAAACACTTGTGTTGCCTGGAATCCATTGGCCTAGAATTTGCGCTCCTTCTGGTGGTGTGCGGCGGGGAAGGCCAGCTGAGGTGGGAGGGGAGATGCGGAGACTCTCGTCGAGACAAGCGCGCAAGAAGGGGAGATTTTTGACTTTGTCATAGGGGGCGATAACTTCATCTTCGTCGAGGACGCTGTCAACTTCTTCGCGGAGGGTACGCAGGTGTTGAGGGCTGTGGAGAAGGAGCTCCAGGACATTCGTCAGAGCTATAGAGGTGGTGTCTGCACCGGCATTGATGATGGCACCAACTTCCGCGATAATCTCGCCCCATTCGAGATTATTTGCCTTCCCTTGCTTATCGTCCATCAAAGATGAGAAAAAGTCATCCAGCCTCTCACCAGCCAAGTATCGCTGCAGTCGGATAGCGGATTGGTGATATACAATATCACCCCAAGGTTCTCCCTTTTTCCAGATATTACGCCACTTAGTACTCAGCTTGGACAGCTTCGCAAGCAATGGAAAGTGCTTATAGTCCCACACAAACACGGCTCCAGCAAGCGCAGAGTTATTCTGAGCCTCACGATACCGCGCCTGATACAACGTACCATCCATTTTCTGGGCAGTGACAACATCAGACCCCCTCTCCAACATACCCATATCCGCCGACAACGCGATGTTATTGATCGCCTCAATCTTGAAGAAATAAACCCACTCTCCAAAGTCCAGCGTTGCATCGGCAGGATCTGGGGTATTTTGTCCAGATGGTAGTGGCTTCGTGCAGTGTGCATCCATCGCATTCAGCAACCGCTTTGTGGTACGCGCAACCTTGAATTCCCACCGCTCCAGGTTCTTAATCGCAAAAGCCGCAGAGAGCCTCTTGCGCTTGCGCGAGTGGTCCGCCTTATCGACCACATCAAAGAGCTGAGTATGCGTACCGCCTAGAATGACATAGTTGAGGTCTTTAGTACATTTGGTACCGTGGCCATAGATGTCGTGGATCGCGCGGATGTCGCCAAAGGATAGGGCATTCGGGCCTGTGCGGAGAATGGGAGTACCGGTCTCCTTGTGCGCTTCGTATATGCCTTTGGAGCGGTAACCGCAGGCACTAAGGTAGCAATGGCGGAAGTCAGTGAGGCCGGACAGGGGGGAGAAGTTGGTGTATTTTCGGAGCCCTTTGGGGTCGTAGAAGTAGTATACGACAGGAAGGACAAAGATGTAAAGGAAAGTGGCAAGTGCTGTGCCGGAAAACACAACTATTGCCAACATTTTAAAGCCAAATGTGGTCTAAAAGAATTTTTTCAAGGGAATAGTTGACCGAGTATCTTGTACAATTTATATATCTGCTCGCCAACCTGTCCTTGACGGGGTATACTTCCAAAAGCGATACCCACTATGCATCACAACTGATCTCCTCAAGCATCATAATTTACCGAAAATCAACTGATTTGCCCCTTAGAGCTCATTTGAGCAACCATTTCTGGAGGCATGATGTTGTCGTGGTCGATCAAGATGGCCGTTGGTCCCATATTCCCGATATGGAAAGTTTCCCTTTTGGGTGTACCAGCCCTAACGGCAGCTAATCAGATTCTGCAAATCATTATGTGCGTCATCTCTCATCTAATACGATAGTCATCACAGATTGCGTGTATATCTACTCTTTCTGAATGCTATGTCTCGGCTTCTATCGGGCTATAATCCACTCTCGGGTATTTCACTGCGGTTTGTTTTGCCGGACCCGTACAGCCTTATAAAAGCTATACTATAGAGAATAATGCAGTAATATAACCGTTTTTATCTAATTTCTTTGAATTCATTTAAGCCAACACAAAATCAAAATTGAGCATGATTCCTTAGACCTACATACAAGGAATCAGACCGGATATAACCGATAGCTGTATTAACAGTTCCACTCCGAAGGATGTTAGATGGCTTTAGAAATAATCGATAGCCCTTACACTAGTTTTACGGGGCGCAGGATTATGCCTTCCTAGTTTCAGATACATCCTTTTTACTACTCCGTCCATTATCTCACTGTCCAGGAGCCGTAATCATTATAATTGTCGTCGAGAATGTTTTCCTGTGTGATGATAAAACGATTTCGACTGCAGTGCGCCCTGAAACCGAAGCAAGAGGTACTGGGGACGAGAAAAGTGAGGAGAAATAATGTGGATAAGAAAACATATTTGCGTACAAGTAGGTAGTTTGGATTTCCTCGATGCAAAAGCCTCCGGAGCTTTATTCCTTCGTCCCATGACAAACATGTTTCTAACGCCATGAACAGTCAACTGAGCGCTACCTCCAAATACGTCACTTCCCAACACATATTTCTCACTCAATGCATCGTCCCCCAAAACGAGAATATCCACACATCGCCTCTTGGACAAATGTTACCTACTCAATCTTACGTCATTGTTATGATACGAGCTTAACCTCCTTTGGAGGCATCAGGCACCGGTCGCCACAAGCCTCTTAAACCTCCCCAGTGAGATTCTCTTCGCCATCGTACGACTTCTAAAATATGATTGGAATATCAGTGCACTTTCCCAAGTCAATCCTCGCCTTTATCTCCTGCTAAACCGCTACCCCTGCCAGCACAATCAGCGCTACTTCCAAGGCTCATTGCTGACCTGGGCAGCAAATGGGCTCACAAATCGTTGCGTACAGGATGCTCGATATAGGGGCCATAAATAGTTGACAAGTTTACCGAGACCAGGGGATTCTTATACAAATAGCACAGCATGTACACACAATGCTAGTTAGGCACTCAATTAGTTGCATTTACGCGCATACGTTCTTTAGGCAATATATCTCTACCTTCAGCTAGTCTTCCCCATATAGGCCTCGTTAGTCTGGAATAATCGACTCCCATTTCCTCCTTGAGCTACGATCCGAGAGATCCCACTTCAGTTTACTTTGTTGATGGTTGCAGCATTGCCTTCTTTCTTCCTTCCTCGGGTCAAATACTCTCGTCAATAGCTACCTAGGTAGAACGCATGAGTTGGATATTCCATTATGCTAGCTAACCCCATGACAAATGATCGACATGAGAGAAAAAAAATAAAAAAAAATAATGTTGCAATCATTGACAAAGCAAGCAATCCCGCTTCACATAATAGCAAATCACTGTGATTGGGTCATCATACTTTATATTCCTTGATATTTTGTTCCAAAATGCGAAACATAGCACATTCAAAGTAGCAATTGAAGAGCAAATGTTTAGGATTCAGGAACAATCAAATTTTGGTTATAATTTTGGATAAGTTGAACATCATTAGATGGAGGATGTCCCAAAATGGAAAGGATAATTTATGCTGTTCAACAGAAAGTGAGCAAAATTAGTGTTGAGCATCTAGAAAAGAAGACTTCAATGCATTTTAGCCTATCAGATAGTTGGGTAAAGGCCATAAAATGAACATTCGATGCTATAGAATTACATTCATGAATTGCCTGACATTCTTGCCGGTAATTTCGTCATATTTGTTCAACGTATCACCTAGTTAGTCTTTTCAAATAAGGCTTAGGGTATAAAAAAACATTGCTAATCAAAAGAGACAACCATGAAAGTTGGAAATCACGTTTCAAAATAGGGGCATGGACACGACTATAAAAGGTATGCATTTTGAACAGTTTCTTTTTTCTGCCTTGGGCATAAAGCCACAGAATTCTTAAGTCTAAGCGATCTTATCATACTGGTTGTTAGTATTCAGGGGGGTGTTAAATTCTTCAGTGGCTTTTGTCTTTATTTCCTATTGTGACTAGTTGATTGGATGGGAATACTGAAAGGTTGACAGTTATACATATGTTCAACTGTTCAACACTAACAGACATATTTCTGCCGAAGTAAACTGTCTACTGTGAGAATTGGTTTTATTGCAATAATCCCTGGTTTCGTACATAGCTCTAGGGATAAGTTTTTTAGGGCTTTATCCAGGTGGGAAGGTTGTCGTTAACCTGGCACTTCCAGGTCTGAAAGAGCTCCTCGCACCTTTTACCGGTGGGCATGTTCACTGTTACGTCGCCATTTGATATTCGATGTGCTTACCATGGTTGCTATTTAGCAATCAGTCAGAGCTGCCTTTCTCTATGAATCTTAGCCAGAAGCCCCCTGGGTATAGCGATAAGCTGGAGAAGGTTAGTAACATGATGAAGAACTTCCTCATAGAGGAGAAGAACAAAAGGGAGTATATTTGCTAAAAAAAGAAAAAGAAAGAAAGAAAGAAAATATGCTTTCGTGAAAGAAAATAAAAAGCTGTAATTAAGCGTGTATAATGTGAGGTGAGTCCATATAATGCAGCTGCATTGCACTTGTCACCCTTGCCTGTAGGCCGGTAACTCTGAAATCTGACAAGTGGCATCCAGTTCAGCTCTTGCCGTGAATTTACTCTCAAGTTCTGGTAATGTCTGACTCTCGTGTTGTCCTTGGGCCAAATTATCATCCTTTGGCTCAGGCCTGGTCAGAACATCTCTGTATTCGGTTGCTGTGACAGCTTGCCGTCGGCGAGAGCGCCAAAAAAAGAGCAGAGCTATAAGTATTATTAGAGCAGCAGCAACACAGCCGACTACTATACCAGCTATTGCACCGCCACCAAGGGACTCCGATGATTGTGCCGCCGGACTACTGGTTGATATCGAGGTGGAGGGTTCTGTTGAGCTCTATCATCAAATGTCAGCTCACAAGTAAAAACAGAATAACAAGAATCACCAACCTCTATTGAAGGAAATGGTGACACCATCGAATCCGCTACGTCGCCAGCACTTGGATTAATGTCTATCATCCATTTACCCTCCGTCGGATTCGTATTCATCACAGGCACTTTCTTCGTCAAGGAACTCGGACCTAGGGCCAGCATATTTGCCTGCCCAACCAACAGGTTCTTCAATTCCCAAACTCCACTATCATCCCCAGAATTTGTGGTTATATTCCACTGCATACCTAACCCGCTCCCTGTCTCCATCATTGATGGGGTTGATTGATCACTCGCATTCAACCCCAACTGATACCGCGACTCGTAGTCCAGGTTGCGGATGAAATAGACCCCTTTGTCATAAAAAATCTGCCAGTTTTCCGACCGATACTTGCCGATCGAGGTGATTGATAGAGGTGGAGGAGGTTCAGTGGCATTGACGCCCAGGGCTAAGGTGGAGTTGTTGACAGTGTTGGAAATGCGATAGTAACGTTTTGGATCGAACTGCGAGCTAGGCATCTTGCCGCTAGTTGTAGAAATAGCTTATTTAGGAACTCAAGAATTCATGAGTTCAAATATGTATATTTGCAAATTGCAGAGGCGATGTGACTGGAGATTCCACAATCTGCCTCGCCGCACCAAACGGGGCTATACGAGGCCATAGCCAGTTATTACTGGCCATATAACTGCCGACCTCATTCTAAGCCGGGGAGCTGCATAGCAGGATTCTGTGACTGCACATGGAGCATTCTCGGAACTTCATGGGTAGAATATTTTGAGCCGGTTATACACCGTATGGCGATACGCCTAAAAAGGCTAAACAAACAATGGAGCGAGCGAATACATTGAGGCCGAGCTACCGAACAAAAATCTACGAGCACATTGCCCATTGCTCTTCTTGTTTTAGTAAGTGAGCAGTGCGGCTCTGAACTCACCCCCCTGGAAAGATGATGGGTGGGTGATGTGGCAGAAACTCATCTGATCGGTGTGTTGCCAAGGCGATTTATCTCGAATCGCCTCATCCTTCGCGTCTGGGCTGTTAGGGAAGCGGGGTTTCTGGGATCATAGCTCAGAAGGAAAATTAGGAGTTGATTTATTCCGGATTCAATAAGGTCTATATGGAGAGGACTAGTCATCAATCACAGCTTCTCGATGGCGCCTGTTACCCGGCATTCGGCCAGAGGTTATGTTCCAGGCGAGTCCCAACTTAGGGACATCCACCGGGTGCAAGGTCTAACCGTGCTAGTGAAAACCCGCGAACACCGGAAATTGAAAAAGCCAGATAAACAGACTGAAGGGGGGATCCAGGCAAACCAAACGCTTCATTGCCAGTCCCCCCACCACCAGACATGGACATGGAAATGGTAACCCAGGTTTCATCGGCCTTGTCTGAGTCTCAGCCCAAATGGGCAACTTGATTTTGAGCTCTCAAAACACACGCTAGCATGACCCTACATGCCCAGGCCATAAGAGAAAAAGAAGAGGACAAGGAGATACTGGAACTTATAACCCAACTGGACAGGAAAATATCCTCTGTGAAGCAGAGAAGCCTCCACAGGGCCTCCTATTTTGGCAATGCCCTCCAAACCTTTGTGTGCTTGTCATGTTTGGTATATGTATCACCATGTCACTTAGCAAAGGGGGCTTTAAAGCGGGCCAAGGATCCTTATGACTGCTCATAAATGCATTTCATTGCAGATGGGACGCGCACCGCATAGCATTTTAGTAAGTAGCCATGCCTAATTTGAGCCGTGGCGAGAAATTTTTTTTTTTTTTTTTTTTTCTCGGCATTCAGTCAAATCAATATTTTTAGCACAGCACAAACCGGACCTTGTATAGACGTCCTAATCTGTAAGTATTTCATAGAGCACCAATATGGCCTGGTGAGTTCTTAGCAGGTGTGAACCACCAGTCTAAATCTTCACGGAACCTAGGAAGGGGCTTCAACGTGGACAGCAAGGTCCATTTCTTCATCCAGAAACCTGGTTAGATAGGCCTTGTGTTAAATATGAAGGGGATAGGGGCAGTCTTTGTTCGGTGAATGAAAGACGAGAGGCTCGGAGGGGGAAATATGGGATAATAGTACCTTTACGCTGAGATAGCATCGACGTAGCATTCCACTGTTATGTTGCCTTGGTCCATTGTCTCTATCCATTCACAAATAGGAGAGTTCACGTCTAAGGTGGATACGCATGGGAAAATAAGGCGTGTCGGAACATACGAAAAGTCTATTACCATTCCGGGGGAAACGGCATTCAGAAAAGCGTTTTATTCATATACCGTATCACTAGTTCAACCAACTCGAGTACATAAAGTAGATAGATCAATCATAGTCATAAGTCATGAGGTTTCAAGCTCTCTGAGCTAAACATTTTTAACCACAGCAAATGCATGGCTAAATCATTTCGAAGATAACCTAATCCAAACACCTCGATCATGCGACATCGTCAAATTCGACTGCTTAACCGGCTCCTCCCCAGACTGCGGATCCGCGTTCTCAAGCGTGTCGAAGTGTTGCATCAGCCGGACGATAGTGTAACTAGCCTCGGTAAGTGCGTATTGCTCTGCGGACACCTTGTCAGCATGTCAATCTGGAACTGAGGTTTGAAGGAGATACATACGACCAAGACAAATCCGCGGCCCTCCATTGAACGGAAGGTACTCCCATCCGCGTCTAGCATTCTCTTCCCAACGCTCTGGTCGGAAAGTGTGCGCATCGGGACCGTAGAAGTCTGTTCGGCGGTGCATTGCGTAGACGCTGTATGCGACGATGCAGCCTTTCCGTACGTAGACGGGGGATCTTCCGCTTGGTCCGCCACCGACGGGGAGGGTGGTATCTTTGTTTGCGACGCGGAAGTTGAGGGGGACGGGGGGTTGGAGGCGGAGGGCTGGAACAGTTAGCGTCGTGTGTTGTGGGAAGAAGGGGGACGGACGTACTCTCGTTCAGGACATATCGCAAGTACGGGATATCCTTTAGCTTAGCTTGAGTGATTTCAGCTTTGGGCTGTGAAATATCACCGAATTGCTCGACAATCTCGCGACGAAGTCGGTTCCAGACATGAGAATGACGGGCCATGTAGTAGAATGCCGAACTAAGCAGACTAGCGGTAGTATCACGACCAGCGAGTAGAATATTGAGCATATTGTCTCTCAGCACCTTGGGATCTGATGTTTCGGCCGCAAGCGCTTCAGCGAAAATATACCGGCTTCCTGGTGGTTTCTCCCTCTGCGACTGCATAGCACGGTTCACATAGTGGTCGACAACCTCGTGCACGCGCTTATTCGCTTCTTGGAATTCCTTTGGGTTCACCATCCAGTAGAGGTCTGATGCTCGCGATCTCGAAGCGAGGTAGTCCTGCGCTAGACCGAATGCTTCTGCGAAACCTTGTGCGTCGCCGACGGAGGACTTTTCCAATAGACCCGACTTTTCGGAAGTAGAGCCCATGGATCCAACAGATTCGCCAAATAGAAAGTGTGTTGCCGAGTCGATTGTCAGAAGGAAAAAGAGTCGCTGGATGTCGAAGCTACCGCTGTTGTCGCGAATCAGACCGACGAGGTTACGGATATGGTCGTCCAGAAGTTCGAGATCGGCGACCTAACAGAAGCTTGTCAATATCTCCATCCACTAAACCCATCGGACATGAATAAACGAACCTGATCCCTCGTAAACTGCGGCCTCAACAACCCCCTCGCATGTGACCACCCAGCTCCATCCAATGTAAAAATCCCATCCCCAAGCAACGGATAAAACTCGCGATTTCTAGTCCCAAGACTGAAATCCCCAAACTGCGTAGCCAGCAACGCCTTAATATTCTCCGGCTCGATAGTCGAAATCAACCTTCTCGACAAAAACCGTTGCCCCAATGTATAACCGTAGGTTGTGTACTGTTCGGCGATGAAATCAACCCATCGTTTTTCCTTCGCGGCTCTGGTCAGCCTGATGAAGCCAGGGATTCCGAGGAAGCCGGCGCCGCTGCGGGCCGGGGATTCGCAGTTCAGGGATTTTGCTTGTCGGTGGTGTTGGTATTGGCTGTGGATGTAACGCAGGACTAGGAAGACGGCGTAGGTTCCCGCGAATAGGAGGATCACGGGGGAAAGAAGCATTGTTTCTTTTCACGTTGGATATGGTATGTGCATATATCTTCAGCAGCGCGGACGTCTAAAGGAAAACCACCCTCAGCTACTGCAATTGGGGAATGTTTCAGGCACACTCACATTTAAATACCCCAACTTCGGTGGATTGACATTACAAAACCTCCCCCTCCATTCGATCCGCGGGCCTCCAGAATTGACGTTAGTCCGGGGAAAGAATCTCTCCGATCGGAACCCGCGCCTCAGTCTAGACACATGTGACGGATCCTCTGCAGGAACCGAACAATTGGTCTCCAGCGGATAGAAATAATGCCGTCCGCGATTGGACGCGAGTCGGCAGGATGGAGGAATATCAGAGGGGTCGCAAGCATCGACAAATCGGGTTAGTGTGGGTTCCACGCCATTGACATCAGCATTGCCGGGTTGGGGAAAGAGGGGGCTCGGAAGCTATGCTCAAGGTGGAATGGGATGGATTCTATTGAAAATAACGAAGATATGAAACACTGAAGCAAGCGATAGTCTAAAATATGCATATGCATCAAGAAATGTACCACCCAATTTCCTCGGACGAACCATTCACCGTCTCCAATCCAATCAAGCAGAATCATTGTTGCTCTGGCCTTCAAAGCATGGAAGCCACTCGTGCAAGGCAGCCCTGAAAGTGTTCCAAGAAGTCTGGGTGGCGGTGTCGGCCATTGCACCTATACCAACATCGGCGACATGCACCTTGCCCTCCATAAGATATCCGAACAGAGTGTCCTGGGCAGTTTGCACGCCGCACTTGGGGATGTCAGTGGTATACTTGACACCCTTGGGTGCAAAGTCCTCCATCGAGAAGGGACTCAGAGTCCGCCACGGATCGAACTCCCCTTCACTCCAGAACACATTGGATGGGCGAATCGTCCAGCCACCATGCTCCGCATTCACTGCGTCGACCTGCGGCTTGGACGGGAATTGGCCGCTCTTGATAGCGGTGGGGAAATGTCGGTTGCAGAGGTCCTGTTCATATTCCAGGTCTAAGGATTTGGGTGCTATCTGATGAGGGCCGACATTGCTGATTTGATAGTATCCTAATTCGGTGCAATACTGCCAGAACCAGCTGATCATGTTGGGGGACGTCTCCAACCTTCTCAGCTCACAGGATACTGGTTCTGCTTCGTTGGTGCCCTTGCAATTGGTGTCAAAATTTTGATTGATTCCCTCGATATAAGAAGGCCATGATGCCAGTCGCTCAGCGACATATTGGCCGCCGCGAGATGGCGCAAGGCCTTCTGGACCTGCAGTTTTGTTCGTGTTCGGGTCCGTTTCCAAGTATGTGCACCAATCCTTGATGGTTCCCGGATAGTCTATAATCCCACTGCTTTGGAAAGTCAGTAACAAAGAATATAGAGTGTAGGCGAAATCCCCATTGGTGTTCTTTTCGGCTCCGGGCCCAAGAAATGTTTGCTTGATAGATGCAGCGGTCTCATTGTTGGAAAGCTGCTCATCGATGTATGACATAGCAGCATGCACGTCCTTGGTGCAGGCCTCCAGTCCATTGGCTACCATTCCACGGTAGATCTGTTCGGTGTACATAGACATATTTATACGAGCTTCGACCGGTGCAGAAGACGCAAATGCAGCAAAAATCGTGTCCGAATATTCATTCCGAGTAAATGCAGCAAGCATGCCAGAATAAGATCCGCCGATCATGATCCACGGCGTCCCTCTCGGGGTCAAATCGATGTCGTTGAAACTGTCCCTGCTGAAAGTCTCTGCGAAATAAGGGAGATCGGCCAGAGCTTGGCTCATGGTAAGATATTTCATGTGCTCTGGTGCTGGGTCTTGCTGAATAGGAAACGGAGAGGAATCTCCATAGTAGCTGCGCTAATGTCAACAGAGTCCGATACAAATCCGTTCGGGACGATTGGTTTCACATACCGATGTTCCCATACGAGCCCCATCCCGTGGAACTCCTCCAGAACATTACCCAAAAAGGTTGACGAGTTGAACAGCATATGCTCTACCATAGGATCGCCAGAGGATTCTCCACTATTGAGAACAAATACCGGGCCTCCCGGAGTATAATGCTCCTCGTTCACCCAGTAGCGATTCTGGTAGGTGCCGATAGAAGAATCGTTATGATCAATAGGAATCTGACAGCACAATATTAGTCTGTGAATGACAAGATATAGATAAGATCCAAGGTAGAGGTATAATACAGTAGCATATTCAGCTTTGTGGCCCTCAGCTGGAGCGTTATTGAAACGTCGAACAAAGGGCAACGGTTGTTGAACTGCAGCAACGGCAGTGGAAAATGCCAAAAGCCGCAAGGCAGAAGGAGCAAAGGCCATGTCGAGGCGCATGTTGTAGCGATGAAATCGTTTCTTCCCCAGCAATGAACCGATGGAACGGAAGACGTCCTATATGTAGTCAGGTGCCGTCGCAGGATATATATATAGGCAAGCAAAGGCTTTATGCCACCTTGCTGGTTGCATTCACAAGATCAACACAAGCACCAATTCATGGTACCCACCATCCAATTTACGCGAGGTCAGACAACTCAAAAAGAAAAAGCCAATGCAGCCGCAACAGCAGGCAGGTAGATCTACCCATTTCGGGAACTTGTGTTGCTTATGTGAATGGTCAGATTGATCTCGACCAACTCAAGTGACCCAGAGCACTGGAAGGCGCAGCAATGGGGCGAAAACGTATTGTCAAGAATGCATTTCCTAGGCTCGCTGAAGGTAGCACAGGGACAGTATCGTCCATGATTGGGTATTGTACGACAGCACACCGGAGTATGGGGCATATACGGAACTCAAGGACGGTAATCCTGTACCACAGACAAAGAAATCCTGTATCTGCGATTATCCCAGTAATACCACATGGCCTCGAGAAGGAACGGTTACCACATGGCCGAAGGTTTCTCGACCGGGTAGAGTGCATTTGTTTTCTTTGTTCGCCGGCAAAAGCTTCGAAACTATTATTCTGGGCGAACAATATCTTCGGTATAGAACAATATCAAGATTTCGTTGGGAGGTTGGCGGTGGGTCGCTTCAGATCTTGCATACCGAATTAGACACGAGTCAAACAGACGATGCATGAACCATTCCTAGCCACGCCGGATCTGCGTCTCGATTGTTCGGGAAAGGGGCTGGACAATCGTAAGCAGGCGCTTGATATTGTTATTGGTAGACAATCTGTTTCCGTGGTAAGTAACTACTCTTCCCCTACATAGTAGACGCTATCTTCACTCACCGTTGCATTAGCGATGAATTCTTCGAGGCCATGGATCATTTCTCGGAAGATCACCCTTGCAACCATATGGAAACCGAGATTATCCAAAGTCCTGAACTGCAACATGCTCGAAGGGCAGGTCAAAGAGCGACAGTGAAGGCAGTGAAGGAAGCGCCGAGGTTGGCATAGCCCCAATTGGGTTAGTCGACCCCGTGACGTCCCAAACAGGAAGGTCGACATTGCCCAGTCTTTCCCACCACCATTGGGCTAGTCTAAACACGAGGTACTGAGGGCAGCCTTGTCACCCCGGATGTTGGCTAACAATTCCCAATCTCAGTCAGAACCGGAACGACGCCCGCTGCGAGACGAAGATAAACACGTCAGCTTATCATCTCCAGTCTTCCCGTCCGCACCCGACGATTCGCCTCGAATGCTTCGGAACGCTCACATGGGGCACGCCAGAAGATACTATATGACCGTTGATATAGCACGACGAAATGAGGCCTGACAGCGAATAAGCGCAGGGTCTCCGATACCATTTCAAATCATGCCCTGCACGACGGTTTTCCAGGATGCAATCACAGCCCCAACGCATACAGAACGCATATATTAACGTCTCATGGTCGGTTTGCATTTTCGAACCGGAATTTTCGGACGTATTTCGCTACTCGCCATGATGCATGACAAACTCCAATAACACGAACGAACATGGATGTCGGAACTTCATTGTTTGCTGGATGAGAATACGAGACATTTCGGTCCCACGTACAAGGTATGTTCCTACGGCTTAGGACCGTCGCACAATTCGATGCATACTGTGTATAACTCCTGTACAAACAGATAGGAACTTGCATATGACAATGTTATATTTTCCGCGAATAACTGAAACTGCCCAATGATGTTATAAAGGGTGTATATTTTATAATAACTTTGAACTTGAAATTCCACACCAACTGGCCTGAAAAAAGGGGGGGGGGGGGGGGGAACAAAAATGAAAAAATAAATGGGGTGAGCCGGGATCGAACCAGCGACCTTCCGATTATCTGCTGATACCTTGTGATATCTTCAGTCGAACGCGCTCCCAACTACGCCATCACCCCACTGGATGAATAATACATCTCTTATTAAGCACTCTAACCTTGCAAGCTTTGACATGAACAAATGTGACCACTGCCCTACATGAATTTATATATTGGCGATAACGTTTCGGCTAATTGATTGTTTTTAGCATGCACCATGCCTGGGCTGGTAAACATATTATCCACAGATATGTGACATCCCAAGTTAAGACCTTGGAAGCCGTGTGCCTGACCGGCGCCATGGCTGTCATTTTTATTTCATATACCTTGGCCCTCGAGACTGCTCCTTACTAGCTGAGCAGGGACCATTCTTTTTTTATTTTTATTTTTATTTTTATTTTTTTTTTTTTGACGCGACCGATGAAACGTGCTAGCGTATAGCATATGTAGCCACTGTCTTGGCGTTAGGAACCGGTTAAATAAACACAGCAAGAGGTCTCTTAGAGCATGCTGGGTTCAACGGCTAAATATATGCAAAGGCATACTCAGTACTCAACTACAGCCGACAACCGCCCATCACAATTACTGGAAGCACAAGGGGGATTGCCCGGAGAGAACTACAATTGTACTTCGCACATACTCCGCACCCGCAGCAAGCAATTTATATATGACTCCACTATATTAAATTGTGGATCCTGATCGAGCCCGCCGTGTCATTGAATGCCCTCGGTGCTATATTCGGCTGCTATCACACCGAAGACCAATATAATGCCGACATCACCGGAGTTATTACCTCGAAAAAGGCTAGATTCCTAGCCCTTGACAGGTCCCCTTGTATACAATGGAGATGAACTATCAACAGCTTCCCCGACACGCTGTATTAACCGCAAACACTCGCTCAGACCTGCCAAGAGCTGCAGTACTAGCAGGAAATAAAATGCAGCTGATGTCCCTAAGCTTGTCTAGTTATTCAGGCATACTTTCAACGGAGGCTATCAGAAACGATGCGGTCCAGCTCTTTCGGCATCGCTTTACTCCCTCTCTGTGCGCAAGTCGCATCCGCGGCTTTTGGGATCACAGATAACGATGACTCTTATGTGATTGACGCTGGCTCTGCTAATCCGTTGAAGTTTACCGTGGACCGGGGGAGCTGTGATATCACGTCGATCAATTATTATGGTTCTGAACTCCAGTATTCTGGTAAAGGATCTCACATTGGGTCTGGTCTGGGAAGCGCGACGGTATCTGCTACCCAGAGTGGTATGTTCTGGGAAAAATATTGGGTTTCGTCTCTGGGATCCCTGCCTAACCTCGAACAGGGGAATATATCAAAGTAACGTGTGAGACGGACACATTGACACAGTACTTTGTGGTTCACAATGGCGACTCGGTTATCCATATGGCAACTTATATCACCGAAGGTAGGTTTCTTCGTTGGCGGGCATGTGCACTAGACTCCTGGACTAATGAGCTCTTAGAACCATCGATCGGGGAATTGAGATGGATTGCTCGTCTTGACCCGGACCTCTTGCCTAACGAGGAGCCCTTTGGCGATGTGTCTACTACCGGTGGTGGTGAGGCCATCGAAGGTTCGGATGTGGTAAGTATTACAGTGAGAGATCTGGAAACATAATCCTTAACAAATTTGCAGTTCTTGGTCGATGGAGAAACCCGAAGCAAGTTCTATTCCAGCGAGCGCTTCATCGATGACCAGAGACACTGCGTCTCCGGTGACGACCGCCGTGTCTGCATGATCCTGAACCAGTACGAGAGTTCGTCTGGCGGCCCTTTCCACCGGTAAGTGGGCCTAGATACAAACATACTGCATAGTGCCTAACATTACCACAGCGATATTAACACCAACAACGCTGGTGACTCCACCAACCTCTACTGGTACATGGTATGATAACTTTCCATCAGACTGTCTCGCAATACTGACCCTGTAGAACTCCGGCCATGTTACGACCGAGGACTTCCGCGTGGGTCTTCATGGTCCGTACTCCATGTACTTCAGTCGTAGCGGGACCCCAAGTACCAATGTCGACACCTCTTTCTTCGCGGACCTTGATATCAAGGGATATGTTGCCGAAGCAGACAGAGGAACGGTTACCGGTACTGCGTCGGGGGCTGATTCCAGCATTGACTGGGTTGTTCACTGGTAAGTAATCGATACCATTTCTAACCCAAGATGAAAAACTTACATTGTGTCCAAGGTACAACGATGATGCGCAATACTGGACATACACCTCATCCGATGGCAGCTTCACTTCTCCGGCCATGAAGCCAGGAACCTACACCATGGTGTACTACCAAGGCGAATACAACGTCGCGGAGACCGAAGTGAAAGTCAGTGCCGGCTCGAGCACATCGCAGGACATCTCCGGATCTGTTACGACCGGAACCACCATTTTCAAGATCGGCGAATGGGATGGCCAGTAAGTTTACAATTTACCATCCTCCTTGTGTAGAATGAGGCTCTAATATCCCCAGACCTACCGGATTCCGCAACGCAGAGAACCAGCTCCGCATGCATCCCTCCGACTCGCGGATGTCCGACTGGAGTGCCGGCACATATAAAGTTGACAGCTCCGAACTGACCGACTTCCCTATGGCCATCTTCGATGCGGTCAACTCTCCGGTGACGATTGAGTTCGCGGCTTCTTCGTCTCAGACCGGCGCTGCGACGCTGCGCATTGGAACTACGCTTTCTTTTGCTGGAGGTCGTCCTCAAGCTACTGTACGTCATCCACCTCAAAAGCTACGAAGATCCATAGCTGACAAAGCAGGTCAATGATTACACCGGTGACGCCCCCTCCGCCCCGACAAACCTCAACTCCCGTGGAGTCACTCGCGGTGCGTACCGCGGCTACGGAGACGTATACGATGTTTCAATCCCCGAGGGGACCATTGTTGAGGGTACCAACACGGTAAGTGCTCACTTTCGACGCAATAATCAGAGCGCTGCTAATGCGCGCATAGATCAAAATCAGTGTCATTTCCGGAAGTTCCGGGGACAAGTTCCTCAGCCCCAACTTCGTAAGTCGTAATGCTTGTGGTCGATCGTCTACCAAGCTAACAAGGATTTTGCAGGTCTTCGACTGTGTTGAACTTTTCCAGTGATCGTCGTCAATGTGGTCGGTCTTGGTCGTTAGGGTATATATAGCCAAACATTATAGCAGATTTATTGGTCCCAAATTGAGTTATAGTACTCATCTGGACCATGTTTTTTCTATGTGATTTCTTATTTCAATACAGTCTACTCTAATGTTTATATTTTCTCTATTCCGGAGTGTGCTGTTTGGGCTAGATTAGAGAACATCAAGTTCCCATGACTCCCCTACTCTCCTCTTCCGACGGTTAGAGAAAAAATAAATAACTATCTGTCCTGCGGTTAGGATTAGGCCTGACACAATAAGAGCAATCATGATCACCAATCCTCTGGGATAGCTGGAAAGACAGAAATATAGTCAGTGGATCGGATCTCAAGCTGTTCGGAGTATTTTATAACGCACCCTGTCGAGGACTCGTCCTTGCGAAAGATTTGTTGGCCTCCCATAAGGCCTCCTGTGGCGGTCATTACAACTTGAGAAATGTTAGTATGGCTCATGGCAATTGAGCACTCCAAGAGGGACGGAGAAGTTCTTACACATCCTGCAAGTTTCAGGTCAGCATGTCTCATCAATGAAAGAGTTTCAGGGAAGCCAGTTAACTTACGCCACACTAATACTCCGCTCTTCCGGACTCTTGCAATTCATCTGAATCCACGAGTTATGAATCGGATGATATCCCACGGCCAACCCATTAACCGTCGTCCATAGTCCAAACCGGCCCCATTTCCCAACGTGCGCCTGAAGACACCTGAGAAGAACCACCGCGATCAGATAGCAGGCAATAGCAACCATCACGATAAGCCCGCGTTGCTTTGTTCTATCACTCAACCACGCGAAAAACAGAACGACGGGTAGAGTGATAAAGTTTCCGATTGCGGCTAGCGCATTCGATTCGATGCGCGAATAGCCCAGGGACATTATGATGGTGGGCGTGTACGTTGTGAGCGGACTCCAAGTTGCGAAGACGCAGGCGGTAGCGAGGAAATGGGGCCATTTTTGGATGTTGGTTAGTGTTTTCCAGACGACCTCAAGGGAGATGTGCTGGCTTTGGCTGGGGGATTCTTGGATAGTGATATCGCTTGGCTGTTTCTCTTCATCTTCCGAGGATTCTTTATGAGCGGGTGTGTTTGGTCGGATGTTTTGTCGTTCTGGGAGGAAGGACAGTAGCATTATTCCTACCAGTATCGACCATATACCCTCCACTGCGGGGAATTAGTGGATGTATCCAAGATCAAAGCAAAACCGAAATCGCACCTAGAAAAATCCACTGCCAGCCTGATAACCCACCCTTTCCATCCAAGGTTAACAATGCAGCACCTAGTAACGGCGAAACCGCGGTACCCCCGAACATCCCAAAGAAGAATATCGCGATACGCTTCGTGAGCTCCTCCCTCGTATACCAGCATGACAAAGTGTACATCGCACCGGGGATATATCCGGCCTCTGCTAAGCCGAGAAATGTCCTCGTGACAAGAAATCCAGCTCTATTTTGTACAAAGATTTGTAGCGCGGCCATGATGCCGAATATCAGGACCTGTCCGCCAATCCACCATCGGGGTCCGATCTATACCGGCCATGTCAGTTGTGATTTACTTATATTTAGAGCATGCATTGGCATCTTTACTGAGTGCAGGATCATATTCGAGGGTATTTCAAGGACAATAACGCCCAGGAACATCAGCTGGTTCCCGAGGTTGATTGTACTCTGGTCCACATTGATGGCAGCCGCAAACCCGCCAGTCAATACGCTTGAAATATTTGTTCGATCCAATTGATATGTGGCAAAACCGATTAGGAGAAGAGGGAGGACCTGGAAGTCCGCTCTTGTCGAGTGTTAAAAAGCTGCTACCCCGAGCGCTGGGCGGAGGACGTACATTCTTCGAATTTGTCGGTGGTTATCAGGCCCCATAGTCTTGGGGTTTGAGATACAAGGTATATGAAGCATGCTATGGGGTATGGAAAGTGCTCAAGGGTTGAGGAATGACTCGGTTTTTATCCCACTTGGTTGCAGGGACCTTAGAGGCCATTACGATGGAGTTCTGCAACCTTGGTGGTGATAGGGTCCATTCATCGTGCCGTGCTGGAGACTCAGTCCTGTAGTATATTCAAAGCATGAGACTGAACAAAAGGCATATCTAATACCTTTATCTCGATTGTGGGAGGTAAATTGAGTGATATGCGTCGGAAAAAAAAATCCGGAAGGCCCGACTACGACCTGTTGTTCTTGCAGACAACATCATGCGAACGAGACTATCAGATTATGTCTGATCGAGAATACCTAGAATAGCATACCGGAATATAGGGCGAGACAACTATGGCAAAGTCCGTCCTGGCCCTTGCATCGACCCCAGGATGCCGAATGGATCAAGCTTCTGACAGTGGGTGTTCCCAGGACAACCGACTCCTGGTCTTTTTTCTGTATTTTTGCTCTGCACTTCTTCTCTCAATCATCGTCGTAGTCACAATTTATAATATTGTCTATCCGTACGCCGATTCTGGAGGGGGATTTAACTCCATTTGCGACAGCCCAAGAGCAGACAAACCGCGACCCGTTAGTCCTACAGACAATACGACTAGCAGGCTACGGCTGAACGAGAAAATCGAGAATGGAATGTCGCAAGTGGAACGTATTGACCATTGACCATTGATCCTGCATCGATCCACCCATGGTGGTAGGATCAAGCTTTTGCAGTAGGTGTTCGTCCGGAAACCGGGTCCCCGATCAAACTAGCGAGTCGATCATCACACTCCACCATATATCACATTGCCCTAAGATTCCTGTGGATCCTCAGCTGAAGAATGTCTCAGTGTAAGTTCTGATCGCCTGTCGCTACTGCACCGATCATCGTAACCATTGGGTTGATCTTCGTCCATTCCATTCTGCTCTGGGAAGGATTTTCATCAGCCCTGGCCTGTACCTCGGAGCGGGCCGAGGTCGAAGGGATCATGATTGGGATTGGGATAGACTACAGTGAAGTCTTAACTCAATTTGTGCAGTGTGATCCAGATAAGCTTCCCTTGTTGATCCGTGCAGGAACTATTGAATTTATTTGGCTTCCGTGCGGAGTTACTATTGCAATTGTATTATTGCAATGAACCGACCGACTCGGTGGGGCTAAGGTGCTATGGACCCTTCTATAGATGTTAGTATGCAATGTGGTATGTCTCGTCACATTGTGCAGTCAGGTTTTGCTCCTCTTTGAATTCCCCCCTCACTCCGAAAAAGGTACCATTTTCTGGAACTCAAGTATTTAAGTCGGGTATCAGCACAGCATGAATACCGGACCAAGCTTCATCATCCTCTCAAACACTCAAGACTCAAAGGATGAAGTTCCTCGCTGCATCTCTTGCTGTGCTGGCAGGTAGTGCCAGTGCTGCACGCCAGTCCAACCCTGGCCATCGTACCCTCTTTCCGGCACACCCTCCGGGTCACGATGCCAGCCACCTGGATCACCTGGTTCCGGGGTTACAACAAGCCCTGCACTATCGGGAAGATGGCAAGACAGGTAGAGTATATCCCTTAGCCACGTATTAAACATAAAGGAGACTAATGGATGGATGATAGAACACGACGTCTCCTCGTTCGGACACATCCTGTCGACTTTCAATTATCCCACGGTGCTCCTCGATCACTCATCGCACGTTGAAAAGGTTGCCTGTCGCCCCAATGGTCTAGACGTGTGTTTTACCAGTGAGGAAGCCAAGCGCCACGCAGAGGAAAAGTGGAAGGAGAATCACGGCCCTCTTCTCTTCGGTACCAACCATGCAGGCTGTGGTGACTATGACACCGGTATGCGGGCATTCTGGAAGGTTTCCTCTATTAGTTTTGGCTCTCCTAAGTTGAAAAACCGATGCGCGCACGTCAACGCCACTGAGCTTCCCCTCGAGGATGCCATGGATGAATTCGAAATGGACTTCGGTCACTACGAAGAGGCACTCCAGCAGAGAGACCAGAGGGCAGCACAACGCAACAGCCTGCGTCGCCGCGATGCTGCTATTGCTGAGGATGACACGGTCGACATCACGGATGATCCAGACAAGCTGGCAAGTTTCTTCGAGGAACCTATTACGGAGACTTACCCAGATGTGCCCGAGGCCACGCCTGCCGAATACAACGGCACGGTGACGCCAATTGACAAGCGCGCCATGCTGCAGGAACGTGGATTTTGGGACTGGGTATCCAATGCGGTCAAGGTAAGTGTTGCATCGTCTCTTCATTCCCCTAGGAGACATTGTTGACATGGTACCTGTAGACGGTCACGAATGCCGTTGTTAGCGCTGCCGAAACAGTAGCCAAAGTGGTCAAGAAGGTTGTGGAAGTTGTCATCGACGCGGGTCGGGAGATTGGCAAATTCATCCAGGATCCTTTGGGCTACGAATGGAGTCTGGGAACGAGCGTTGAGCGGTCTTTCAATCTCGGTGGCTCAGGCACTACTAGTGTTCCCACCAGCTCTGGATTGTTTGGCGAAGGCTCGGGGCTGGTAATTGCCAGTAGCGGCGTCATCCCTGCCAACATTAGCTGCGAGAACTGCTATGCGCGCGGCGAAGTTTCATTCAGCGGTCGTGTCGCAGCAAGCATCAAAGACGGCTTGAAGGAGGGATACCTGCAGGCCGGAGCAGGCTGGGACTCGCGACTGGCGCTGGCCATGACATTGCAAGGCCAGTATAAGCTGGAGGCATTCAAGAAGGAGCTCTTGGCTTATAACCCGACCCCTCTCCAGATCCCGGGCTTCCTTTCAATTGGTCCCCAGATTTCGGTCAGTGCGGTGATCGATATCTATTTCCAGGCAGAGGCAGACATCCTCATCGGCGCAAAGTTCGAGATAACACCCGGTAAGGCACGGCTAGACTTCCTAGACGGCAGCAAGACGGGGGTCACCGGATTCGAACCTAAATTCACACCTATTGCCAAGTTCCGTGGTGATCCCAAGTTGGGCGTGACGTTGGACTTTGGTCTCCCCCTGGCGTTAGAATTTGGAGTCGACGTCCTTAATGGCAAGTGGAAGAAGACGGTCGGCTTGGTCGACCAGCCTTCATTCTTGGTGAATGCCAAGGCCGGAGAGGATGAATCCTGCAAGGGAATTACGCTCGGACTGGCTGTGCAAAACTACATCTACATCAGTCTCGAGCTCCTAGGTCTGTATGACCACGCCATCGCAACCCAGACCCTCTGGGAGAAGCCACTTGGATGTGTCGGAGAGGAGACTACCTCCAAGGACCTTAAGCGCCGCGCACTGGAAGCGAGAGATGATGGTGACGAGGATGAGGATATCAAGGATCCCAAAATTGCGGTTGACGACAAATTCTCGAATGGAAGCATCTCTACCAAGCCTCCCAAGATCGACCATGTCCCGGTTGATGTTGACACGGTGGAGCCCGTGACCAAGTTCTCCTACGACAACATCATCACCGATGTGAACCGAACCGTCGTGCTCTTCGCCGGTAAGGAGGACCGTCTATACTTGGCCCCGTACGGCGACCCTGACAGCGCTGCTGGCTCGCCCTTTGCCAGCCGTCCCGATGCAAGCGATGTCGTGATTATCGGTGATATTTACGGCGGATACCTGAACTACAACCCCAGAGAGATGGAGGCAACTGGGGTCAGCAACCTCCGGTCTTCTCGATTGACTGATGTCCCTGTTGGGTCCAAGTTTATGTATGCCTCACCCCTTTCCAGCTCTTTGAAACCACCAAGCTAACAAAAATCACAGTACTCTCGCAGAGGTCCACACAAGCGAACTGGAAGACTCTCCTGCTATGTATGTGGGTGCGATCGAAGACCGGTTCTACTCCCTGGCGACATGCAGTGTCATCGATATGGGAACGCGGATGTACGTTGTGGATGCTAAGAGAGACGGCTTGAAGGACCTGAACAACAACGACCTCGCAGACTCTGTTGTTGGAGGTGATGTTCGCGGCTGTCAGTATGTGTACTTGACGTCGAATAGGAAGGGGTTGAAGTTGGCTGAGTAGATGGTGTATATAAATTGCTTTATGGAGTATTATAATTAATGTCTTCAATGTTGGAATGTCTACTTGACTGTTCATAAGTGGGAAATATGCATGTATCCATCTTCTGTACTCCGTATATCAAGCTTCCCTTTCACGCGAGTACATTTCATTTGAAAGCATTCACTAGATGGCTCTACAGTCCCTTATTCATTTCTTCTAAACCATATAGCTGGCCAACATCTTCCATAATTCTCCCATTAGTTTCTCAATCCAACTCTATATAGAAGACCAGATTTATCATGACGGACTTCATGAACGTCCCTTAGTATATCCATCTTATTTCTTCAAATGGGCTGTGTGAACTGCACGGCAGTTGTCGGTTTGCTTGGGAATTCACTACATTAATGATCTGTTAGAATTCTAATCCTTGGATAATAATAGACATAATATACAATATCGCTTCAGCTATTCTCTGTACCCATCACCATACAATGCTCTATCCCATCAACTAATCTTCGACAGCCCCAAAGACACCAACCCAACAACTCCAACCATCCTGAACACACTTCCACCCACAACCTCCCAGAACCACCCTTTCTCGCCATCCTTCCCAGACTCCTTCTCATCACGCTCATGCACCAATCTCCCCCGAACCCAAACCTTGTTCACATTCCGATCATCGCCGTTCCAAACCCATTTATGTACCTTTTCTGTCCAGTTTTCCCACCCGAAGATGTCGACGTTGCTTGCGCTTCCACTGTTCCCATTTTCTTCAGGAGAACCAGCCCCAGGTCCAATGGCAGGAGCAGGTTTTACACTTCCAAGTTGAACCATCTGCGCATCCCAAAACATCCCCACCTCAAATCCTCCAATCTCACCTCCCATGTCAACAACCCCCGCGCCACCCCTCGTAGCAAGGTAAAGGCCCTCCTCAACACTAAGGTTCTCCCGTCCTTCTTTTACGTTTTTCGCGTTCTCGCACGTATCCCCGTCTCGGATGGTATGGCGCAATAACCGCGAGACGAGAATCGCCTGTCGCACACTTTCCAGAATACTGGGTTTATACCCACCACTAACATCAGTCCCTAGACCAACTGTTATCCCTGCATCACGAAGGACGCGCACGGGGCACAGGCCAGAGCCGATGGCGGAGTTTGACACGGGGCAGTGGGAAATTTTTGACTTTCTAGCAGCAACCACTTCGCGTTCCTGCGGGGACAAGTGGATACCGTGCGCGAGGATTGTGCGGGAGGTTAGAAGGTTTGCTTTATCGTAGACATCTGCGTAGTTTGCGGCTTCCGGAAAGAGTTCCTTGACCCAGGCGATTTCGTCTTTGTTCTCGGAAATGTGCGTTTGGATGTGGAGTGGCGGTTCGTGCTCCGCCGCCAGCGCCCCCAGGTCCGATAATGCTTGCTCTGTACACGAGGGCGCGAAGCGTGGTGTTATGATCGGTTTCACGAGGTTGCCGTTTGGATCGAGGGATTGGATATGCTCGATATTTGCTTTCGTCGCGGTCACGGATTCGTCGGCGGAAGTATCCCTGAGATCCGCTGGGCAGGTATCTTCGCTGTCCATGCAGACCCGCCCAATAAACGCTCGCTGTCCGCGGCTGTGGCAGAGACTCGCTAAGTAATTCGTCGCGGGAACATGAATAGTCGCGTAGTAGCATGCGGATGTTGTTCCATGCGATAACGTGCGGGAGACAACTTGGTTGTAGCTCGTGACTGCCTTCGGGGGCACACTATCCGGTGCTTTACAATCCCCGTACGATTTCTCAAGCGGGAACGTATACTTCTCCAACCATTCCAGTAAAGTCGAGGACCCAAATATCCCGGAATTCGGATATTGCGGGGCATGAATATGCGTATCTGCACCTTCTCATCAGCGACCTCACATCAATCACCCGCGGATATAGGGTAAACATACCAATAAACCCCGGGAAAAAAAACTCATTCTTCTCCTCCCTCGCTTGAACCACTTTCACCTCATTCCCCCATTTCCTGCTTTCCAGAAAACCCCGAAGATCATCCTCGCTCCGAACATTCCAGTTATATCCTTTGATTTTCCCGTCGTCAGTCGATGCCCAGAGAACGCCATGGTTGATTTCGAGGATATGGGGTCCGTTCAGATTTGTTTGGCGGGGAAGGTGGATGAATGTTCCGAAAAAGAGTGTGTATGTCGTGGCCATGGTTTCGATTGTTTTCTACCGGGTGTACGAGGTGCGAGTGCAATGGAAGCCCGGGAGGCTAGAGACGCATAAAAAGGGAAGAAAAACAGAACAGGTGTCTTCCACAGGGAAATATGACCTGAGCTTCAACTGGGAGGGGGAGGAGGATAACTCTACCTTCTCAGGCACCTCAGCTCAGTCAGATATAATGCACGGACACGTTTTTGGTCATAAGCTCGGTCAATACCTCAATACCGCCAATCAATTCTCGCGCTTTCCGTGTGTGCTGGCTATTTCCGTTTATTCGTGAGACAATAATACACCGTGGTCACGCGTGAGAATTCCAAATGAGTCTGGCGTAGGGCATATTAATAGTCTCCAGGTCACAGACCCTGGGATCGTGCGGAGTTGACGTGACATCGGTGATCGGCCGTTCCCGAGGTTTATCGGACTGATAAGATAGAGCTACTGATAATGATAACGATAACGATAATATGCTTTTGCGATTACCGAGTACTGTACAGCATGTTGAAGTCGAAAGAAAATACAAAGCAAATAAGAACGCCACCCATGTCTATCATGACCATGTTGAATCAATCGTACTGTAATCATCCACTCATAACCAGCCCAGGAAAGTAATTATAAAACATGTTGAAAGCCGCCAAACGCATGCATGTTGAAAAGAAGCAAAACACGGGTATCATTAATCGGTCTCCTCGACGGGGCCGCATGTGCAGAAGAGGTTCTGGTCGCCGTAGGCTAGTTATCGTTAGCATATCGTTCAATCGTTAAGAATGTGTAAAGAGGGCTTACCATCATCCAACCTGGTAACCGAGGGCCAGAACTTCTTCTCCAACAACCACGGCACTGGGTACGCGGCCGTCTCACGAGAGTACGGGCGATCCCACTCGCTAGTCAAAAGGTCCCGCTGCGTGTGCGGCGACATCTTCAACACGTTACCCTCATGGGGCTGCTCGCCGCTCTCAACAGCGGCAATCTCGTTCCGGATCGAGATAAGAGCATCGCAGAACCGGTCGAGTTCAGCCTTGTTCTCAGACTCTGTAGGCTCGATCATCAGCGTGTTGGCTACGGGCCACGACATGGTAGGCGCGTGGAAGCCGTAGTCCTGCAGACGCTTGGCGATGTCGATAGCCTCGATGCCGCAGGTGTCCTTGAACTTGCGGACGTCGAGAATGAACTCGTGTGCACAGCGGCCATTGTCGTTAGTGTAGAGGATGGGGTAGTGTTCCTTGAGGCGGGAGAGGATGTAGTTGGCATTGAGCAGGGTGATCTTGGTTGCGTGAGTAAGACCGCGGGCGCCCATCATGTTGATGTAGTTGAAGACGATAGGGAGGATGCTAGCGCTACCCCAGGGGGCGGCACTGATGGGAGGCGAAGAGGTCTCTGCACGCTTCGACTTGAGGTGCTCGCTTGCGGGGTGCGAGGGGAGGAAGGCACGGAGGTGCTCGGCAACACCGATAGGACCAACACCAGGACCACCACCACCGTGGGGGATACAGAAGGTCTTGTGCAGGTTCAGGTGGCAGACGTCGGCACCGATCTCACCAGGAGAGCACAAACCAATCTGAGCGTTCATGTTGGCGCCGTCCATGTACACCTGACCACCGTTCTGGTGGACAAGTTCACAAGCCTCCTTGACACCAGGCTCGAAAACACCAAAAGTACTGGGGTAGGTGACCATGAATGCAGCCAACTCGTCCTTGTGCTTCTCACACTTGGCCTTGAGATCAGCCAGGTCCAGGTTACCGGTCTTGGTGTCGCACTTGATGGTAACAACACGCATACCAGCCATGGCGGCACTAGCCGGGTTGGTACCATGGGCGGAAACAGGAATCAAGCAGACGTTACGCTTAGATCCACCATTCGCTTCCTGGTACTTCTTGATCACACGAAGACCAGCAAACTCACCCTGAGCACCAGAGTTGGGCTGCACGGTGATCTCAGCCATGCCGGTGATATCCGCGAGCTGCTGCTCCAAGTCGTCAATCATCTGGATGTAGCCCTTGGCGACGTCGGCAGGCATAAAGGGGTGGATCTGAGAGAACTCGGGCCATGAGATAGGCATCATCTCGCTGGTTGCGTTCAGTTTCATCGTGCAAGATCCAAGGGGGATCATCGAGTGGGCGAGCGACAGATCCTTCGACTCGAGGTGACGGATGTAGCGGAGCATCTGGGTTTCCGAGTGGTGGGTGTTGAAAACGGGGTGAGTGAGGTAGGCAGAGGTACGTTCGAAAGTAGCTGGAACCGGGGCGATGCCAATGTTCTCATCCAAACTGACTTCAGCCTTGGAGCCGTGGGTAGCGAACACATTCAGAACAGCCTTCAGTTCCTCGCGGCCGGTTGTCTCGTCCACGGAGATGCCGACCTTCTCAGGAGCAACGTGGCGGAGGAAAATACCGTTCTGGCGAGCGAGGGCGACCAGAGCTTCAGCGTCCTGGCTGTTGCCCAGATCAACAGTGATGGTGTCGAACACAACACCGCCATCAGCGGCGTTCGTCCTGACTGGAACGTTGTATCCCAATCCGACGAGCTTCTCCCGGAGGATGTTGGTCATCGACATGATACGCTGGGCGATGGCCTTTAGACCAGCCGGTCCGTGGTACACAGCATACATAGCGCTCATGTTGGCCAAAAGTGCTTGGGCGGTACAGATGTTGCTGGTGGCCTTCTCACGACGAATGTGCTGTTCTCTGGTCTGCAAAGCCAATCGCAGGGCAGGGTTGCCCAGACGGTCCTTGGAGATACCAACCACACGGCCAGGGACCTTGCGCTTGTACTTGTCGGAGCATGCGAAGAAAGCAGCGTGGGGACCACCAAAGCCCATAGGGACACCCAGTCGCTGGGCATTTCCGAAAGCGATGTCAGCACCAAACTCACCAGGAGCCTTGAGAACAGTCAAAGCCAGCAGATCAGTGGCAACGCTGAAGGTACCGCCGGCCTGGTGAATGGTGTCGCCCAAAGACTGGAAATCAAAGACACCGCCCTCAGTATCAGGGTACTGAGCGAGAGCACCGATCAAGCTGTCACCCTGCTCCTTGACCAACTTAAAGTCATCGGCCAGGACATCACCGACAACCAGGTTAATGCCGAATCCTTCCGCACGCGAGCGCATCACGGCAATAGTCTGCGGGTGGCAAAGGTGCGAAACAACAAAAGCCTTGTTAGGCTTCTTCTGCTTGGAGACAGGAAGGAGAGCAAAGGACATGGTCATGGCCTCCGCAGCAGCAGTAGCCTCATCCAGGACCGAGGCATTGGCAAAGGGAAGACCAGTCAAATCCGTAGTCAAAGTCTGGAAGTTCAGCAGCGACTCCAACCGACCCTGGCTGATTTCCGGCTGGTAAGGCGTGTAACTCGTGTACCAAGCGGGGTTTTCAAGAACATTGCGCTGAATAACCGGAGGAACGATCGTAGGATTGTACCCAGTACCGAGATACGTCTTGCCGGACACATCAATCTGCTTCCGATATGTCTCCAGCAACTTCAACATATCCGTCTCCCCGACACCCCCATGCACATTATCCCGCTCGAGCTTAATATCCGCATTCGGATCTGTGACCTTCAAATCCTTCTTCGACAGGATATCCGCAGGCAACACCTGCGCAACGAACTCATCCAACGACGCCACCGGAGGATCAAGCTTCGCCAGCATCTGCTCCGCGGCGTCTGGTGAGGGCCCAATGTGGCGTCTGGGGAAGGTGTCTAGCGGCTGGAAAGCATCCTGGAATTGAGGCTCGCCATGCTCAGCCAATGTACTCGTGTAGACTGCCCGGCGGGGCGGCTGCTGGGAGGGCGTGTGCAGGGTACGACGGCATGCGTTTAGAGGCAACGGAGTGGTTCTCCGGAGGGCAATTGGGGAAGGTGCGGGACGCAATCGAGGCGCGCGCAGGGCCAGCTGGCGAGTGCCTCTCAAGGCGTACCACGAGGCAGCCATACTGGGGAGAAATGAGTGTCCGTGAGGACTAGATAAGGGATCAGAGGGGTATAGACGGAGACAGTAGCTTGCTAGATCAGGGCTCTGTCAATGGCACAATGTCAATACATGAAAAGTAAGGAATTATTGAAGAAGAGAGAAGTGAGAAGAGAGTGAGAAGAAGAAGACGTGCCACAGAAAAAAGAAAAGAACCAGAAGAAAAAATCCGTCCGAAATGAAATCGCGAAGGTTTGTCCCTCTTTCTTTGCCTTGCCCGCGGCTGTACGGGGAACGTAACGGAAAACCATGATAACGTCACAATACAGCCAATGGGAGTATCACAAACCTCGGCGGAGGCGGTGGGACATTCTCCACAATACACGGTTTTACGCCTGATAACGATAAGCTTGCCACTTTCCCGTCGGAAAAGAAAACCCTCACATCCGCGGAATGTTCAGAGTAACCACGGGGAAGATGAGATGGCATGGGATATCCCCAGATCGAGCGTACTTGTACGGAGTACAGGATGAACAGATACAGATAGAGATCCTAAATAGTACTCCGTTTGTATACAAATATATAGACCACCTGCAGGCTATGCAGCTTCCTGCAGCACTGAGCGCAAATCCTTATTGCGCACAAACCAGCTCTCACGTCGCACGGTGCTAGCTTATACCTTGTCGGTCTACAAATAGTTAGGGCCAGAAGATCGGAATAGGGATATTTCACAAGTTGTCATTCCGGGGTAAAGACTGTCATGTGTACTATGATGGTCACCATATAGGCGAACCGGTGGATATATATTGCTCACGACGCTTGCAGCGAAGCGTCCAAAGCGATGGAAACCACGTTACACAAGTTTATATTAATTAAACACATTAGACCATGCACTCCTAAGTACAGAGTACTCTAGCAGCCAATAAGAGGATAAAACTAACGCGAGGGAACGGGTTTCCTGAAAGGGTTATATTGGCATAGGCGCTCCCATTCTCCGCAGCATCCTTTGTAGAGGGACTGGTCGATGCACGGTCCAATCCAAACCCTATATGGTATATCGAAAGTCTGGTGCCCCTTCAATAACCCGCTTACCACGGTCTGCTTGCTTATTACAGTACCAAAACCACACGCTGAGCGCCGGAACGATAGCCAGAATCAAAAGATTGCAACTGTTTCAACGGTTAGCAGGTACTCTTAAAAGCCGAAAGGTAGCAGAGGCTCGGTGAAAATATATATACTCACGCAATGGTCGTCCACATCCCGGGCCTGTACTCCGGCGCATCCTGGGATCGAAACGCCACACTACTCACAATCCCTCCAATCCCGCCAAAACCAACAAGCGTGGCACTGGACAGCGCACGAGTCCATTGTCCTCGGATATTGTTAGCCTGGTAGGCCATTGTTGCCGGGATATTTGCATTTGATCCGGCCACAGCGAAAAACACGCCCGTGTAGCGAGTGGCATTTCCCGTCGCAAAGCCCATCATAGGCAAACCCAGGATACAAAGCAATGCGTTGAAGACCACAATGGCTCCTCGCACGCGGTACTTGTCTCCCACCCATGCGCCAGCGAACATGACGATACCGGCGAAGCCGTAGGGAGGGGCGACTAGGCATTGCGAAGCGCCGATGCCGAAGCCCATACCTTCACGAAGGATAATTGGGAGGAAGTATGCGATGGCATAAGTGACGGCAGTGACACAACTGCATGACATTAGCGCTGAATTGAAAGATAATTTGAGTGTGTACTCACAGGAAAATCACCGCGAATCCCCAAATCTTCAAATCCAGGGCAGGTTTCAAAAACCGCTTTAGAGCGAATGGCTCGGAATCACCGTCGGAGCGGTCCCGATTGATACGTCGGACAATGAAGGCGCATTCTTTTTCGGTCAAGAATTTCCATGACTTGTATGCCCTGTCTGGGAAGTCGACCAAAAAGACCAATGCAAGGATGCCTATCACGCCGGTGATCACGCCTTCCAGGATGAAGATCCATCTCCAACCCTCCAATCCTTCGCGACCATCGGCTTGCATCAGTCCAAAGGCGAGGATACCAGACAGTGCTGATGCTACGCAGCCAATCAGGTAGAAAACAGAAAAGCGTTTTTGAACGTCGTCTGTCCGAGTTAGCTGGTAGATCGGTAAAGCTGGTATTGAATAGACTCACACCGGACATACCAACTGGACAGAAGGTACACACAACCGGGAAAGTAGCCTGCAGAAGTAGGGTCAGATATAATCGAGCTAGCTCGAATCGTACAGCTGGGTTGAGATACCTGCTTCCAAGAGACCGAGGAGTATGCGGCAAACAAGCATGTCCTTCCAATTCTTCGTGAAACCCATTCCCTTGAGAGGGTATCAGATATCTCTTCATCGATCAAAGGGACAAAATGTTGATACATACGACCATAATCGCAGCCCAAGCGACGATAATGCTCCCCAAGAAATAGGTAGGGCCCAACTTCCTCGTTATCACCGTCATCGGAGGCTGGAAGATAACGTATGGGACGAAGAACATAAGAACCACAAGAGACTGTCACGATATTAGCTTTGGACAGGCCAAGTGTAGTTACAGACATACATATCGATATCCGACATCAAGTGCCAGATCTTTGGTCATACTATTACAGGTCAATTTACCATCATTACAAAACACAGCAATTTCCTCACCCAGCCACAGCTGCCATACTCAGGTTCGTCCGGTCCATCAACGAGATACAATATGAGAGTCCCGTCATCGTGACCAGTCTTCGATCGATGCGATGGATTATCTTGCGTTGTTCCTGATAGGTGTACTCTTCATCGTAGTCAATATCATTGAGCGCCGGCCGGCCGACATCTTCGATTTTCTCGTTTCCCCAGTCTTTTTCGTCCGTTCTATCGCTACTTGCGTTCGTCATTCTGGTTAATCTTCTGGATCAACAGGTAAACGACGACAAAAATCTAACGCGATAGCAAATGCAAACATCGACCCCGCAAAATGCCGTCTCCCCAAGGAAGCATATATATACCCCCCTCCTTAAACTCCGCCAAAGCTTCCCCTCCATCATCATACTTTGAGGAGGCCATGGCAAACCCAGGCATAGACGGAATAGGCCGCTGTGCCGCAGCACTACCTCGGGTATATCCTGAAACAGTAATGCAAGATAACCGTCTCTGTCGCTTGATACCACGGACATGCGGCTAGACCGTCGATCCGGGGTAGAATGCGGGAATAGATGATTCTGATTCGAGACACGTGGGCTGGCCGGCTTGGCGGGTCAGTGCGGTTGGAGGGAATAGTTCTGCTTGTAGGTTTCGTTTTGATTGGTTGCTATAGTATTGATTCCCTGGTTTTTGGTGTACGTCAGTATCTCCTTTGCCTTCTAGACGGTGATAGCGACTAGCCTTTCGTCAATTAGGAACCGGAGCCTTCAACTGCATAGTTTCCGAGGAATTGGAATTGCTAGCTTTTTTTTTTTTTTTTTGTTTTGTTTTTTGCCTTTATCGGCGATGGCCGATTTCCATACGTTGACTATGCTGTGTAATACACCACAGCAACATAACCGGCTTTTATATCGAGATAGTCTTTTCAATAAGCGCCAAACTAGTTTGACTGTAGATACCTGCTGTGCTTCATGACGAATACTAAGAGTAGCTTGACTAGATAGATTTTCGATGGTCGTCAGCATCCTCGTCCTTAGATTGCTGTGTGGTGTTCCGTTATACCAGAGGCGGATCTAGTCTGGCAGAAAAATATGCCAAGATGGATGGAGTGAGACGGAAGAGATCCCTAATTCAATCCAGCTTATTATGAAGGGATATATTTCTGCCATGGTATGATTGGAGTAAAACAGGTGGTGATTGATATACAGAGAGGGCAATCTACATAATCACAATACCAGCAGTCAACCCCCAAAGGCCATATTGAGGTAGCAAGACTGCTGTAAAGCCCGGACAACCCTCCAATGTTTCTCGGCAACCGCTATTGGCTCGGCCCTTGACACCTTATATCTCAATATATCGCGTGAAACTGTATCATTACCGCGTGGGTTATGTGACATGCTTGTCAACCGCGTTTTTTTAGGACGCCAAAAGTACCTCGCAGGATCAAAAGACCGTGAAAGGAGATACATCGATGATGCTGAAAAAGTGAAGCAAAGAAGAGGCTGGCCGGGGCTCACAGTGACTTCCTGGAATAAAATGATGATAAGTTTCGGCATGTGCGTGCGCCATAGAAAGTAACCGGCACCGAATGCACATAGCAAAGCGATAATCAGGCAGCCAGACCTCATACCGGAGAATTGGAGAAGATATAAAATTGCTCTCAGAAGCCTTGATGATATATGCTTCTGCCAACCGGTCATTCGTCGCAACCTTGGTCACCGGGACGGTTCCGAATACCCTTGTTCCCAGAATGACCAGATAGTTTCCCGAAATGGATTGATTCTGGCCTGGATTCTTTTCGCTAAATAAACCACCGCTAAGCGTAGGACTGGCTGAATTGCCCAGACGGAAGTAGAACAACGCCACTGTGAATTTGACCACCAATGATGAGTTCGGATATTACCACGAACAACTCGAGGAAAAATGTCCACCAAGTTTTCAATTTTCCTACTGGAATCGGCAACGCTTCTGTTTGACTGGGCGAATCTACATTTGGGAAGTAGTAGACTGTCACATCTGGCGAAGTTGGACCATTGTTACCAACACACTAAATATCACCAAATCTGATATTGGGTAGGTCGGAGACCGAGAGCGCTTTGATAACGACGTTGCAAACTCGATTAAGGAATCGAGTGGTCAATCCTGATTCGCATCCAGTTATGTTCCGCTTGTTGGCGGTGTCATCGGTGAGACTAACGTTGGCACACAAATCTAAACTCTGTAGAGCAACGGACATATCCTAATCAAGCGTGGTCCATGGATGTAGAGACGTAGCAGAGATCCTTTCGGGGCTAATAGAGGCATTGTCCGTGCCGCCTATGTAGCAGGGTGACGATAGGATTCTAGCTAGTAACAGTGTAGCGGTTTCCATAGCCTCTTGGCAGACCCAGGACGGTTGAGAAAAAATGGTGAAGAAGTAGGTAGGGTGGAGAGAGCACGGAGGAAGGGAATGGATAGAGAATAAGTAAAGAAGGAATCGAGATGGATGAGTATGCTTCAGAAGGTGAATGCGGATGCATCTAAACTAAACGATATGCATGTAAAAGTACTCTGCAAATGTCGGATTATAACAAAGAAAACATAATGTAGGCTTTTTGCAGGATACTATGACTGCACCTATATTATATAGCAATTTACTGATCATTACATATCACGTCTGTACTATTTAGAAGTAAATTCACCACGTGAGTATCTACAACCTAGCAAAGTCCTCCAAATTATTATCCAACGCCTCCTGACACTTCTGCCGGTAACGAGGAATCCCCCCAAGATAGAAAAGAGACTCTACCCGTTTGCCAGGGATGTTCGCACCCATATACCACGATTGGCCATAGGGAATAACAGTCATCTGGGCGACTGCCGCAACCTCGTCCGTCCATCCTTGCTCAGCCTCCTTCTTCACATCAATGGCGCTGATTCCATCTGTTTCCATTTTCCGTATCACGCCGCAGATCCAATCACACTGTCCCTCGATCGTTATAAGACCGCTTGAGAAAACAGAGGGCGAGTGGGCGCTGTAAGGGAGGAACATGTTCGGGCAGCGGCTGACCGTCATCCCGAGATACGTGTGAACACCATCAGCTCTCCATCGCTTGATGAGATCGACGCCATCTGCGTCTTTGAGACCTACTTTCTCAATACCGCCGGTGACTGAGTCGAAGCCCGTTGCGATGGCGATGATATCGACCTCGAAGAACTCTTTCTCGGTTGCTATACCGTTGGGTCTGAGTTCGGCGATTGGGCTCTCCTTGACATTGACCAGGTGTACGTTGGGCTTATTGAACTGTTCGTAGTAGTCCTGTTCGAGCGACGCGCGCTTCGCGCCAATGGGGTGAGGCGGCTCGAGAGGAGCAAGGAGGTCTTGGAGTCGGGGATCGTTCAATCGGGCTCGTGTCTTCTTGGCCCAGAATCGATATGCCTCGCGGTTTGCCTCCACGTCACGCATGAAGTCTTGGTAGTTCGCGCCCATGAATGAGAACCCCCCCTCCTCGTATATCTTCTTATATGTGGCTTCTCTCTCTTCGGGCGAATCGTCGAACGTGTATCTTGGAACAGGGAGATAAGGAAGCCCTCCACTGGTCGTGAAGAGAAATTCAAACAATGCTAGACGCTCCTCCTTGTTCTCCTGCTGGACCGGGTCAAGTTGCTTCTGGCGCATGGGCAGACAGATATTTGGTGTCCGCTGAAAGACGTAAGTCTCCGCGGCTTCTTTTGCCCAGTCTTGGGTGATCTGTACGCCCGTGGAGCCCGTTCCAATGATGGCAACCCGCTTGCCCTTGACGTCTACCCCTTCCTTTGGCCAATTAGCAGAGTGGCATATGGCTCCACGGAAGCTGTCAAGTCCCTTCCAGTCTGGAGTATATTCCTTCGCTGCAAAACCAACCGCTGGGATGAAGTATTTTGCCCGAACCACCCGTCCGTCCTTTATCTGTATAACCCATTTCTTCTCATCCACGGAGAACTGAGCTGACGTTACCATGGAATTGAAAAGACAATCCTTGCTGATCGACAATACTCTATCGACATGCTCAAAGTAAGCCTTGAGCTCTGCCTGTGAGGGATATCTCTCCTTCCACCTCCAATCCTTCCAAACAGCTGGACTGAACAGCTCATATCCAGGAACCGGACAGTCGACACGTGCCCCCGGATAGCGGTTCCAGTACCATGTCCCACCAACGGAAGGTCCGGCCTCGATAATTTTCACGTTCAATTTGAGTTCATCCCGGATCTTGTGCAGTAAAAGACATCCGGAGAAGCCGCCGCCAATGATCAGAACATCTAAGTCCAAAGATCCGGCTTCTGGTGCTAAATGCAGGTTTTCGGCAGATGGCATGTTTGAATTTCAGTGATAAATCTCTCGGTTAAGAGCGAAGGAATGACAGAAAGGGGAGAACTCGACCTTGCGGGTGGGGTTATATATCCTGTTTCTTCACGATTAATGTGTTGAGAGCATTGAGATGCCAGAGACCCGATATTACCCCTCCCTCCCTCCCTCCCCCCCCTGCTCCTCGTAAACAATGGGAGGGGGGGGGGGAGGGTTAGCGGATTATGGCGCAAATTACATAGAATAACCCACATTTTGCGATCAGCGGATGAAAATCACATTAATTTGGTGTATAACCTTGGCATTGCATAGCATAAAATGAAACTAGCCGAAGTGTTCCGGGCCAACTCCCCATACCCTTCCGTACTACGCAAAAATAAACAGAAATGCTCACACGCGGATCCAAACCGTGGACTCGTGATGACCATAACTGAGATGCGAGTCATTCGCTCTACGAACGACAAAATCGGATACATAGAGGGAAGACATGGTGATCACGCACCAATAATGGAATATTCAGTTAATACATCGCGGATATCGGACGGTAAAGCGAGTGCTATCTTATATAGCGTACCACTAGATACTCGAGGTCTGTATAAGACTCTCGGTATAACCTGACAGGCGCATGCATGAGCATTAGGAATGCTTAATTTACGGGTCCCGGAATCCAGGCGATATATAGTCGAGCAATCACAACCCCAAGACCAACTTTCATGACATTCATTAACTGGCCAGACATCTGGACTGCCAATGTTTCTATTAATTCCTCCCTGTTCCCTCCACAAAAAACCCGTCCGATGACATCAGAAGCCGGTGACGTATGTCCGAATAATGCGATTGATATGGCATGATGAAGTCCTATTCTATATCCATACATACTATGACCTTTCTATAAAAGTCTATCCTAATATCAACACTTAATCAGTGATATCGTGCATACAGCCATGGCGGCCATCTCCATCAACACCGGCGGCGCCAGTGGATTCCTCTACAACTCCGGTTCAGGAACCGCCCGGCTCTGCATCACCGCCGAAACGGAAGACTTTGATAACGAGACACTACGCAGCTGGCAGGATGAGGGGTTTGATGTTGTTTATGTCCCTTACGAGGTCGGGGAGAAGGAATATATAACGAGGTTGAGGTCTGTTAGGGAGGGTTTGGGGGTGGGGGAGAATTATGCTATTATTGGTATGTCACTATCTTTATCGATGGCAAGACGACTGGGCTGACTGAACGTGCTAGCATTCGGTGACGCTGCTTCGTTCTGTCTGGATCATTACCTCAAGCCTACGAATGCGAGTCGACTTTGTGCGTTGATTGCCTACTATCCAACGAACATTCCTGATACACGGTCTCGATTTCCGCAGTCGCTTCGGGTGTTGACACATCTGGCTGGGTCGACGGTGGATGTAACAACTGTTCCAACGGCCCTAGGCCTGCAGGGGAAGAAGCGCCGGAGGACGCGACAGATAAACCCCGGGATTGGGACAGGCGAGCGTCTTAACATCGGGTTCCCGACGTATACATACGAATACGTACAGCCTGGCTTTGCGGAGCACGATCTAGATGAATACGACCGGTTAGCATCCGAACTCGCCTGGACGCGCAGCCTCCATGTTCTGCGGAGGGGTTTTGGAAAGGACCTCGATTTAGAGGGGAGGTGGGAGGAGCATCAAGAAGGTATACGCTCTCTGGCCCCAAATCAACTAGCATAATTGCTAACAATACTAGGAAAATTCTTCTCCTCAAACCTCTCCACCACAATGGACCACTACACCACCCATCTCACACCAATAGTCACATACACACCCACCCTAACCGGCGGCATCGGCACCAACTCCCTCCGCCGCTTCTACGAACAACACTTCCTGCGCAGTTTACCTCCATCCATGCGTCTCCGTCTCATATCTCGCACGGTCGGGGTAGATCGTATTGTTGACGAACTCTACGCTTCGTTCGAGCATACGCATGATATTCCCTGGATGCTCCCGGGGGTCCCGCCTACGAACCGGAAGGTGGAAGTTGTCTTAGTTAGCATTGTTGGTATGAAAGCGGGAAAGTTATCATCAGAGCACGTGTATTGGGATCAGGCTAGTGTTCTTGTGCAGATTGGGCTGTTAGATCCTAAGTTAGTTCCGGGTGGGGTGAAGGGCGTGGATCGGTTACCTGTTGTTGGGGGAGAAGCTGCGAGGAGGATGTTGCGTGAAGATCCGGAGACAAATGAGGAGTTCCATAATCGGTTGATTCGAAGGGCGAATGCTAAAGGGAAGGAAAATGAGAAGGATGAGAAGGCGGGTATGGAATCTGGGGTTGATTCGAAGGGTGGTTCTATGGATAGAGGGGGCAAGGGTAAGTCTGTTCAGAGGGAAGGGAAGGCTGCTGGTCCGGGGATGGAGACAGAAACAGAGAGTTAGGTTTCCGAATTTGATACTGGCTGTAGAGGATGGTTGAATACTTGCATGTATATATCATTTCTTTCGTTTTATAACGCATTTCTATACCGTCTACCACCCCTTCCAAGGAACCCAGGTCTCCCTAACAACATCCCCCTCATCAACAACATAATAAACATGATGCGCCGCCGCCGTAATACAAGCATGCTGAATATACAACCACACCTTATCTCCCACCCGAAACGCTTCCCCCACCTTCTCCTTCCCTTGTGCAGCTCCAGTAAAGCCCAAAATCCCATGCTCCTGTGCCATCCGCACAACGCTCCATTGCGGCTTATCCACCACGCGGCCATATCCCGGTGAATCACTGGTTTCTTTGGCTAACGCGATAGTGCCCGCATTGACTAGTGCCTCATTGCGCTCGGGATACACGCTGCATACCTCTGCGAGAATGCGGACGGCTTGTTGGGAGGACGTGACGAGGCCGGTGTTAAGCTGTTGGAGGTCGTTTGCGGGGTAGTTTCCTGCTTTCATTAACACAAACCATTTCCAAATCAGTCGGGATGTGAGAAAGACGGTAGCATACCAGCATGTAACTCAACCTCCACACTCCCAGGCATACTCTCCTTCAACGCTTTAACAACATGCGCCGTCGGCGTCGATCCCACCGAAACAACCACCTTTCCCTTATCTTTCCTCTCCCCCAAAAACTCCGTGGCCCTCAACACACCACCAATCTCATCCCCCAACACCTTCTCCGCCTCCACACTGCTCTTGCACGCATACGAATGTCCCGCATGGCAATAGAATCCATAAACATGCGTTGCGTTCGACTCCTCAACCCTCTTCACCAAATCCGGAAGCGAAGGCGAAGATGTTTCAAGACCGGCCCTGTGCGATCCGACATCGACTTTGATAAACACCGGCCAAGGTGGGAGAGTCGGGTTTGACTCGGCATTTTTCTCGAGATGTGTGATTTGTTGCGGATTGTCGATCATTAGGAGGATTTTGAGGTTGGGGATTGTTTTTGCTAGGGTGGTTAGGTGGGGGAGGGCGCTGGGCGGGAGGGGAAGGCCGTAGAGGATCTTTTGTTGCAATTAGGCTTGGGGGATTATCCTAGTACTGGTTAGGGATGTGGACGAACCTCGTCGAGGATACCCTCTTGTACGAGGGCGATGGCACCTCGGATTTCGCAGAGGGTGGATGCTACGATGCGGCGATGGCGGCCATTACCGAGCATCATGCGGGTTACTTCTGTTGACTAACACTATAATCAGCGTTGTATTTGAGTGGGGTTTGTATGGAAGTACTTTGAGCGTCTTAACATGCGGTCTGAACGCGATGTTGAGATGCTTGACATCGTCGAGGAGCTGCTGGATATTGTTTTCAATAACAGGTTTGCTCAGCACCAGAGATGGCGTTGGAAGCTCTGTCGCTGGGAGGCCGATGAAGGACTTGTGGGATTGAAGGGAGAAATCCATTTTTTATGCTGGTTTGTAGCTAATTGAGGGAAATCGAGAGTTGCAGAGGGAAGAGAATGCAGGGAGAAGAGGGGTTTATTTATGTTTATCAGATTACTGCTTATCGGGATCTATGCAGTTTAATGCGGGAACATGTGTACAACAGAGGCTTACCTAGATTCATCCGAGCATTAACTGAACGGTCCCGATATACCGTCACATTTTCTTGTCAGCCATCATTTGGGGATTCAAAGAAACATACCAATCGCATGTAACCTCACTCCACCCCAACTCCGCATCCCGGATCTCTCTCCCGATCCAAGCCGCCTTGAGCACTCCAGGGTCGACAGCAGCGGAAACGGATTCTCAACTTTCTCTGCCAATCGCTCCATCTAAGCAAGGCGCGCGTTGGGTACATTAGGCAGGTGCAAGTCCGCAAACCGGCGGTGTGAAGGCCCTGGAGTTCTCGACGAGTTTGCGGGATGTGGTGGCAGGAGCTTAGAGGATAAATCCGGGAAGAGACACAAGGGAGGAACCAACTTCAGGCAAATGAGGCAAAGAATTATATTCATTATCCTATAAAGGCCAGTTCCTCCAACAAATCTCACGCCCATATTTTTCACTCTGCCGTAACATCTCCATCCTAAACTCCAAGTCCTGATGAGAAGCCTACTCAAAGTTCTCGGGCTCTGTGCCTCCTCCCAAGTCGAGAGGTAACAGCAATTCTGGGCACATACTTGGCTGCTTTAATAACAGATCGAGCGCTCAATAATCGAAAGGATGGGATCAAGATGAACGGAGAAGAGAAGACAGAATGAAATTTGAATCATTTGAACACTAAAAGAGGCCAAGCAAGTTTAAGCGATGATTAACATGTAAACAATGGTTTCAAGCGCGCGTTCGGCGGCTATAACCATCTGATTTGGAAAGCGCATGCATTTGACGCGATAGGTATTCCGTTTAGGGCTATGCTCAAATTGGTCATTAATGACTACATAAAAACATGTATAATGACGTGTCCAAGGCTCGACTGGGTCAGTTCTTCTATCTCCCATTCCTGCTGCCTGGACTCGCCTATACCATTGCTAGTTCTTCGTTCTTCCTCTTCACATCTACTTGTCATCAATCTTCTTCTCGTCCGTTTACATTTATTCTCGTTAGTTTTGATCTGTTGTCATCTAGCTCACTCCTACTGCCATCTATTTGATCTCTTGCCATCTAAGTTATATACCTTTTTTTTTTTTTTTTTTTTTTTTTTTTTTTTTTTTTTTTTTTTTTTAGTCTATTCGATTCGACATATCCTCTTCTGTTGTCATTTATTCGTCTGCTCATATATTGCCATCTATTCTCATATATTCTCAACCCAATTTATTCTATATACTGCCATCTATTGCCATTCATTTATTCTTTCCGTTCGATTTATCCTCATCTCCTACTATCTTTCCAATCTATTTCTGATCCATTTCCGTGTACTTTGCTTCTTTTCCGTTTCATCTGCTCAATCTGCTTTATTCAGCCTATTGCCATTTACTTGATTTGTTTATTGCAAACTATCTGCTCTATCTGTTTTATTTCTCCCTGTCTATTCACAAGGCGTGGATGGCGGGTAGCACCTGGAAGGCAACCCCGAAAGGTCTGCTGCCTACATACTAACAGCATCACAGCAACATCACCAACCCCGCGGTAGGGAGGCTGTGAAGAACGACTGGTCGTACCGACATGACTCACGGAGCACCTATCCAGGAAACGAAGCACCTCACCGTGTCTGGTGTGTGAGTGTGCACGGCTTGATCCGCTCCTGTGGTTGTCACGGATGGTCGTTGTTTCCGGCCGACTGACTAGACCTAAGTGTTCTGGTTGGGTGGTTAGGTGGGCCTGGGACACACACACAGAGAGAGAGAGAGCCCTTCAGGAATGGCTGGCTGGCAAATATACTCATTAATAGCACAGCACTTACCGGCCCTTGGTAGGGAGGCCAGTGACGATACTCGAAACGATGCTCGAACTGACACCGACACTCAATTAGGAAGCTTGAAACACCGCTGCGTCGGGACGGGTTGGGTAGGGGCGTGCGTGTGCTTCTCCCCTTGAGTTGTCAGTACCAGTAGCACCAGCGATCGTCGCCAGCCAACTGACCAGGCCTACAGTCGGGACGGGAACGCCCTCATAATTTGTCCTGGTTGGGTGGTAGGGATGTGTAAATGTGCTCCTTCCCTGGATTTACTTTTGTGTTTTGTCAGTAAGGCCAGTGCCGTCTCAGTCGACTGATCTCGACTAATCGTCCTGGTTGAGTGGTTGGGTCTGGGGTATCATATTGCTTGGTATCGTTTGGGTTCATAGTGGTGGATAGTGGTTCGAGACGAATAGAAGAAGGTACGTATATCCTCATTTGATATACAAGTGTGGTGGCTAATTTTGACGGTGCCAGAGCACTTTGCGTGTGGACTTGGGTCTACTTAGATACATTGATACAGTCAAAGATCTCGTTATCATTCAACTAAATCATACAGTACAAGCAATATCAAACATAGACATCTAAGTACAAATAAGCTTGCTTCCGGTGCACAGTAGTATGTATACTCATGCTGCGCACCGGCACATCGTAGCTAGACTTGAAAAGTATTCGCATATGACACAAAGTACAAAATACAATACTAGCAAATCACAAATCTCACGCTATCAAATGTGAGTGGTGCAATCTCAGTCGTGCAGTTGCGACATAAGTCTCGTAAGCGTTAGTCCTCGTGTGAGAGGTGTCGAAGGCGAAGGCAACTGCATGGCTCATATAATTCTCTCCCGGTTGGTGGTCCATAGACAATCAAGAGTATGGGTTTAGTGTTCACTCATCACCAAAGTCCCAGCTTTGTTGGTAAGCATTCCGGCCGCCCTTCCGCGGACCAGCAACGCTGGGTCTCTGAGGCGACTGGTATGGATCCCACGAAGACTCCATGTTCTTAGAAGACTGGGTGCGGTTCTGACCAACAGGCTTGTGGTTCTCGTCGTTGTTTTTGTTACCCTGCGGAGAATCGGTCATATGCCAGTGGCTTTCGAAGTCGTTTTTGCGGTTGCTAGGGTTCGAAGGGTTGGGCGCTTGGTGCTCCTTCTGTGGGGATGGGGAATCAAAAATCGGGTCGCGGTAGAGATGGAGGCCCTTGTTCTGGAAGGAGCTGATGATGCGGTTCCCCTTGGGTTGTGCTTCGGGGTCTTTCATTTCAAAATGGGTCTCTGCGTCACGGCGGGGTTGTGCGATGTGGTGTCTCGGGGGTGGGGTGGGCTGAGGTGTGAAGTCGTCCCAGGGGAGGTTGCTGACTTCCTGGCCGCGTAGGGCACGGCGGGGTTTCTCAGGGACGAACGTGTTGTTCAGTTCCCATTGGGGCTCGTGGCGAGACTTGGGCCGGTTGGGGAGGTTCTCGTGGACTTCGAGGTCACCGTTATCCCCTCCGATTTCAAAGTGGTCGAAGCGTTTCGGGTTGGCCTTGTATGCGATCTGGGGGTGTGATTCCTCGTCCCCGTCTCCAAAGATGCGATTACTCTGGAAGTTCTTTCCTGCGCCTGTCTTGGGAGCAATCGGGCCTCTAGTTGGCTTGGAGGGAGTGACATCCGGCTCATCATCGCCGTGGCTCACGAAGAGCTCATCGTAATCGCGCGGCGGGGGCATCGCGGACGCAGCGGAGCGCGGGGGACGAACAGGCTCGGTTCGGTCATCTTTGCCGGGGGACAGGAGGTCGGTCAGGGACTCGGCCGCGTAAGGGTCTTTGATGCGTCTCTTGCCCGGAGTGACTGGCCTCGAGTTCTCTTCGTTGTTCGACCGCGGGGGCGCAGATCCGACATCTGCAGGTATCGCTGAGATCGCGGATTTAATCAAGCGCGTCTGATCCTTTGCCTCGCGAATGGGCCAACCGCGGCTCCGAGAACCGATAACCTCGACTTGCTTCAGCAGCGACGCCTGTTCCCAGTGGATGCGAATACTCTGGATCTGATTCTGGTTGTTGAAGCGGACGATGTGGATCTATACCACGCGCAGAAGTTAGTATCACACATGCATAAAAATAGTAGACGTATGACAGCTTACCGTGGGGAACGTCGCGATGCGGTCGGCCAGGAAATTATCGTCGAGTTGGGGGAGGTAGGCCCCGCCGCCAGAATCAAACTCCAACGTCGTCTCGACATCCAGACACAGAGAGTCAGAGCCTTCAACGACACCTAAAATGTCCTGCGCTTTTGTCTTGACAATTTTCTGCTGCTTGGTGAGGTGGTTGAGAACGGCATCTCTGCCTTCGACTTTGGTTGTCGTGGGGATGTAAATCAGCAAGGCGTCGGCAGCCAACGACGAAGTTGACTGGCGATGGTCTGCCAGGAACCTCTGGTACAAGTCCTTGAGAGACATGGCTCTGAATAGTAAACAGAACCAGAAATAAAGAACGTTGGGTAAAGTCGTTGCTTATGGGTGGGAAAGAAGCGGAGGGAACAGTACTCCGTAAACAATGGTTCTATGGTTGGTAAGACCCAAACAATCAGGAACCTGCTAGAAAGAAAACAAAAACAGACACACAGAGCGAGAGGCCGCAGCAATAAATGAAGGAAAGAAATTGAGGAATGGGAAGGACCAGAGAGTGTGATCCTGATAATAAGAGAAACTTCAGGGGAGTGTCCTTGTAGAATCAAGTAGGAAGGTGACTCCTTGTGGCTTACTCACGCTTCAACGGCCCCCGGGGATATTCACTGCAGACAATCGCAATTTAGCAATGCCCGTTTGCCGGGGCAGCCTGAGTGGCTGTTAATGGTGGTGCACGGCTGCCATGGACGCACCAGTGTTTCACCTCTTGTGGGCAAAGCCCCGGGCCCGGCCGGCTTTGGTCTCTCCGGCAACTCTAAACATCTACTTTATATATGCACATTACGCGGGATACGCAGAAATTATGATGTTCTGTGGTCATTGCTTTGTCGTGGCTTACACTTAGATGTTCGTTGTCGGGATAATTCTGGTTTCTATGTCTTTTCGTGGAAGCATTAAGTCAGTTGCAGCCACATACCAGCAGACTATCTTATCATCTGCTCTTCAAAGAAGACAATCGAACAATTGCTTCTTTTGAAGCAAGCAAGCGTCAGTTCTATACGCCGTTGCCAGGGTCCTTGTCCTTGTATCTCTGGACTTCGCCCTGTCCAGTGTCTTCTGGGGTATTCAAATGGCAGGCAAATAAGAAGCGAGATAAACGCTAGAGGCGAGGGCCATGTGGTGTTTCATTACAGGGGTCTGTAGTAGCCAGTCGTATCAGTATGTCTAACTCTTCAGCAAAGGATCAAAACCACTCACCCTAGATAATCCTCCTTGATTGTACCAATGGCGTTGATCGCAGCCACATCCGGCTTCACACCAAGAATCTTCAGTCGCAAACTTGTCCCCTTCTCAATGACTTGGTCCGCATGGTCTGTATATTGTGGAGGTACTGTGTTTGGCTCCCACTTGATATCCGAGGGAATGTTCTGGTTGATCGATTAGCATCCAATCTTCACCCGAGTCCCTTTGCTCGACATACTTTCCGCGCAATGAAAACAGACAACGGCCCAGCGAGTGTGAAGATACCAGTGGGTTTAACGGAGGTAACGATAGCATCAACCTGCGTTCAATCATTAGCCTTAGCAACAGAATAGCATTGGCGAAAACCCAGCGCATACCGTCTCTCCCCGGAACGGCTTCCAAATAATCGCCCGGTACTTGATGCTGTACTCTGCATGCCCACCAGACGGTAGAACTCGTCCTTCACCAATATCGACCATGTCCATCACACAGATGACGAAGTGGTCACCCGTACACCGACCTTCTTCTTCCTCGTTCAGTCGGTTGATGAGGTATTCCCGCATGTTGGGCCCGAAGTACGACGGGTGTAGTGTGATGACTTTCGTCTCTTCTTTGAGGAAGAACATTGTGCTGGCTTCTTCTCTGTACGGTGTGGTATCAAACGGAGATCGCGCGCAACGGGATGATTCGATTAATGCGTTGGTTTAGTCGAGTGGTTCGTGTGATGAGTAGCTCGTAGGAACTTGACTCGAGAAGACACTAAATTTCGATTGATTTAGGAGGCGATAAGTGCTTTCTCTGTTCAGGTAAAGATTGAAAGACGACGGCTTGGTGTACAGTGACTGTAGTCGCGACGTGGAACGCTCGCAATTGAAGGAATTGGTTCGAACAGACACAGGAACTTGCTGCAGAAAATTTTCTTTCTTGGAAAAAAAAAAAAAAAAAAAAAAAAAAAAAAAAAAAACGCTACGAAGAACAAAGTAAAGAATGGAATCGCAATATACAAAAAAGAAGATATCTGCCTTTGAAGCCGGCAGATCAAAACCGTCAATGCTCTCAAAGCTGCCCTGCGCCAGAGCCGGCACCAGCTTGATCGGCCGAGAGGCACGTGATATGTACTGTAAATACATGTATAATTACGCATAATTACACATATTTATGAAACCACATTCTATATAACCCAGTATATGGTGTAACAACGGTAATGCCCCGGGCCTTCCAAAATGACGTCCATAGTCCCTAATAATCAGACTACCGTAAATGGCACAGGCACAGGCATATCATATCCTGTACTAGCAACCTAGAAGTACCCAACTTCTCCACCTCTTGGCTGGTCTAAGGGTCCCTTCTTCTTCTTCTTCCTCCTATTTATCATCTGTCTTCTTTTGCTTGGACTTTTGTTCGTCCTGTTGCGTTGCTCTTGCGGAGAATAACTCCCTGCAACTATCCTTGTTCTTCTAAACCCCTGCACGTTCGGCAGCAGTCTCGGAATTGGGATATACATACAAAAAAGGGCGCGCTTCAGAATGGCGTTGAATCTCGAAAGACAGCTACTTTTCGTGAGCTCAACCTCCCCTATGGTTCTACTATGACTGAGATCGGTTACTTACACGTTTACAGTATGGTGCCTATCACAGTAACCCAGTACGTGCTTTCTGAACCCTTCTTTCTGCTATCGTCGACAAGCTTTTGCTCATCACTATCGATCGCTAGGTGAACGTTGCAATCCACATCACATGCGTTCCGGTGTTGTTATTTACGGGCATTGTACTGGTATGTCCTTTTCTGCTTTCACCATCCATCTAGCCACCTACCGTCTGCTCCGTACTAACAGGGTTCTCCATGTCCAGGCCTCAAACACTCCCGCTCTAATCAACGTCCCTGAAGCTCTGCAGTATGAGCATCTCCCGGCCAATCTCGGAACGATCGGCGGCTTCATATATGCGATCTTCTACATACTCCTCGAACCCGTCGCGGGCGGTCTCATTGCGCCCGTTATCATCGCCGGCTCCGCGCTCGCAAACTACCTCTTGAGCACCTACGGCACAACGGTCAACTACTGGGCTGGATGGATTCAAGTGGCGTCGTGGGTGTTGCAATTTGTTGGTCACGGTGCTTTTGAGAAGCGGGCCCCTGCATTGCTGGATAACCTGGTGCAGGCGTTTCTGTTGGCTCCGTTATTTGTTTGGATGGAGATTCTGTTTTTCTTGGGATACCGGCCGGAGTTGAGGGCTAGGTACCATCAGAGCGTGGAGAAAGAAATTGCTGCGTTTAAGAAGAGCCAGAGTGGCAAGGCGAAATAAGTCTAGTCAAGACTACAGCATATAGGGCGTGTACTGAGCATAGATAGATGGCGTTTTTCAATGGTATGAGTGATTCGCGTCGCAGTTAACCATCCATGTATGTTGCCTATACGGCGTAACTTTGAGTAGATTGGGGAAATTGAAGCCTAGAAGAACAGCTGAAGTCTTAGATTCCATTGGCTTATATTGTTGACCCGAAACGAATGTAAATGCGGACAATGGAGGATACTGTGCCATGGTTAAGTGCTGGATGTTTTTCCGGTTATGTCACGATTGCAGGGTGGAATCTTTCGGAAGCGAAATGCGGTCTCGGAGGAATGAGAGAGATGCCGGAGGGGCATTGCAGCACAATGTGTTCTTCTCTCAACAGGTGTCTCTCACCAGCACAAAGCTGGCCATAGCTCTACATAACACATGTATTCGCAGCACACAGACTATGGTCCGTACTCCCCCCTCAGGGTGCACAGAATTCCCGAATCCGGAGAACGGCGCCTGGCAGGTCAGTCCATCCGGTTGCTGTGACGAAAACGAGCTGACTAAGCTAGTGTATCCGCAGATCCGAGAAAAAAAATATGGGAAAAACGCCAAGTGGCCGGAAGGATACTGTTCAATTGGTGAGAGAGTCGTCTTTCATTTTGTTATAATTCAAGAAAATGCAGTAGATTGAATAGAATTGTATACAAAGATAAAAAGCAGTAATGTAGTAGTATGGTGGGCTGTCTGCTTGACGGTGGGAGACACTAGGGCGGCTTCGGAGGTTGGTGAAGCAGAGGCTCGGCAAACTAGGCTTAGCGCCAATTCTGGCAAAACCTCCAAGCTCTCTCCCGTCCTTCCATCCATCCACAACCCTCCCTCCTACTCCTCCTCTCTCCTCCCTCTCCTCTCTTTTCCTTTCCTTCCCTTTTACCCCAATCTACCTCCTCTCTTCCAGAGTAACCACCTCTGAACCCTTCTATCACAATGTTCAGAAACGCTCTGCGGCAATCCAGCCGCGCCGTTGCGGCTGCCTCTGCCACTGGCCGGATCGCTTCGGTGAGTTCTTTTTCTTCCTCAATGCCCTCCATGTCCCATCTCATCCCAAAACCACCGAGGTCGATACCTTCCCACAACCCACTTACTTCCCCATGTCCGGTGGTCTTCCATCATGCTATCTCATCTCAATGGGTTCCATGATGGTCTTTTCGATTCTTTTATTGCCTTTTCTACCTGGTTTCGATACGTTTTGTACCGGTCGGTTGTGATATTGACAAATTCTGCTGCGTCTAGGCTCGCGCTGCCGTCCCCGCCGTCGCCTCAAAGCAGATCCGTAACTACGCTGCTGAGGCCAAGGCCTCGCCCACCGAGGTCTCTTCCCTCCTCGAGCAGAGAATCCGTGGTGTCCAGGAGGAGGCCAACGTCGCTGAGACCGGTCGTGTCCTCTCGGTCGGGTACGTCACCGCCCTCGCCCAATTTGACAAAAAAAAATTCAATCCCCGGCAATATGCCCTATAGCGTCAATACCAACAACGCCAACAACACAATTGCATTCGGATTCAATTGATTACTGTGAACTAACCGTGTTCTTTGGATAGTGATGGTATCGCCCGTGTTCACGGTATGGCCAATGTCCAGGCCGAAGAGCTGGTCGAGTATGTTCTGCCAATTGACATATCCCTCTGCATCCGAATACCCCGCTAACGGAACCCCAGGTTCGCCTCTGGCGTCAAGGGCATGTGCATGAACTTGGAAGCTGGCCAAGTTGGTGTTGTCCTGTTCGGTTCCGACCGTCTGGTCAAGGAGGGTGAGACCGTCAAGCGTACCGGTGAGATTGTATGTGACCTCTCACACCCCAATGGCATTATAGCATGAGTGCAAAATGATTAACGTACGAAAAGGTCGAAGTCCCCGTCGGCCCTGAGCTGCTCGGCCGTGTCGTCGACGCTCTCGGTAACCCCATTGACGGCAAGGGTCCCGTCAACGCCAAGGCCAAGAGCCGTGCTCAGCTCAAGGCCCCTGGTATCTTGCCCCGTCAGTCCGTCAACCAGCCCGTCCAGACTGGTCTCAAGTGTGTCGACTCCATGGTGCCCATTGGCCGTGGCCAGCGTGAGTTGATCATTGGTGACCGTCAGACCGGAAAGACTGCCGTCTCTCTCGACGCCATGTTGAACCAGAAGCGTTGGAACGAGACTGGCGACGAGAAGCAGAAGCTCTACACCATCTACGTCGCCGTTGGTCAGAAGCGTTCCACCGTCGCTCAGCTCGTCAAGACCCTTGAGGAGAACGACGCCATGAAGTACTCCGTCATCGTTGCTGCCACCGCCTCCGAGGCTGCTCCCCTGCAGTACATTGCTCCTTTCACCGGTTGCGCCATGGGTGAGTGGTTCCGTGACAACGGCCGTCACGCCGTTGTCACCTACGATGACCTTTCCAAGCAGGCTGTCGCCTACCGTCAGATGTCCCTGCTGCTCCGTCGTCCCCCTGGTCGTGAGGCCTACCCCGGTGACGTTTTCTACCTCCACTCCCGTCTCCTGGAGCGTTCCGCCAAGATGAACGACAGCCTCGGTGGTGGCTCTCTCACTGCCCTTCCCATCATTGAGACCCAGGGTGGTGATGTCTCTGCTTACATTCCCACCAACGTCATCTCCATCACCGACGGTCAGATTTTCTTGGAGTCCGAACTCTTCTACAAGGGTGTCCGCCCCGCCATTAACGTCGGTCTCTCCGTCTCTCGTGTCGGTTCCGCTGCCCAGGTCAAGGCCATGAAGCAGGTTGCCGGTTCCCTGAAGCTGTTCTTGGCTCAGTACCGTGAGGTTGCTGCTTTCGCCCAGTTCGGTTCCGACCTTGACGCTTCCACCCGCCAGACCCTTGCCCGTGGTGAGCGTCTGACTGAGCTGCTCAAGCAGAAGCAGTACTCCCCCATGGCCGTTTCGGACATGGTCCCCCTGATCTTCGCTGGTGTCAACGGTCTCCTTGACTCCATCCCTGTCGGCAAGATCCTCGACTGGGAGGCCAACCTCCTCTCTACCATCAAGACCAACCACCCTGAGATCCCCCAGACCATCGAAAAGGAGGGCCAGGTCAGCAAGGAGCTTGAGGCCAAGCTCAAGGAGGTCATTGGCAACTTCAACAAGTCCTACCTCGCATAGGTGAGCCAACACACATCTCAGGTGCTATAGTCCACCATGTACCGTTCCATTTTTTTCCTGACTCCATGTGTGTATAGATGAGATAGCTTGTACAATTTCAGACCACTGTTTTTCCTTTTGTTTTCAAAGCTTCGGGTTGATCCAGTTTCTATTTTTGAAGTGATGCATGTCGATCTATCTGTAGCTATGATGACGGATTAAAAGAGAAATGGTGGGATAACAGCAGAAAAAGCACTCTACGAATAATATCCTGTACGTTTAGAAACTCTTTCATTATTTTTATTGCACGACAAGGGAAACATGGGCTGGACGATAGATTCGACATAAGACCCATTCTCTGGAATATGATGGTTATTACGGTCTATTCGTCTACGGTCATACACCTGTCGATGTCGGTATGCAGCTCGAACACGATTTCTTTTGTTTATGATTATTTCTGCGGTAGATTTCTTCATTGTAGATCTATTATAATCGGAAACTCCCTCCCCCCTCCAAGTAGTGGATTTAGGATCGTTGTGGTATCAAGATCAATTACGGTGAGAGTATATATACATCCACGTCAGGCGGGACTGGTGGTTTATCCAGTGATAGTGTGGATGGGGGGGAACAAAAGTCTACCCACTACGTTTCACGCTTTAAACCTTCGAGACCGGATAGAGACATTATCCTGTGGTCCAGTTCCCTAACATCTATTCCCAAAACCGCCCTGTCAGTGCGCTGAATGCGGCATCTTTTCTGCATTATCGATAAGCGAACCAGTCTTTTTTCCCCAACCCAAATTTTCAAACGCAACTCCCCCGCCGCTCGGGTCAACTACTACTCGTCCCCCACTAACCAACGACCTATCGACTCCAATTGCATTGGCATCGAGTGCGTGCACAACTATTCAGAATGGCTTCGCAAACAGAACCCCCCAGGTGCAAGGTTGTGCTGTCCAAGAACATTGCGAACGGCCTGCTCACGGAGGTCCACGAAGGGGTTACTACGTTGGAGAGGGCCCCTCATCTCGTGGGGTTTTTGGCCAACAATGACCCTGCTGCGTTGATGTATGCCCAGTGGACGGAGAAGACTTGTCTGGAGCAGTGAGTACTCTTACCCCTGTGCTTGGTCTTCTTCGTTGGCTTCGTTCCGGACGCTTGCGACATCGGAGGAAGCACATGTATTGCCATTGTCCGTCGCAACGACTAACATGTCCTGCTCTCCCATTTAATAGCGGCTTCCGCTACTCCCTCCGCGAAGTCTCGCGCGACAACATCGAAGAATCCATCCTTGCTGCCAACACCGACCCCGAAGTTGACGGTATCATCATCTACTACCCCATCTTCAACAACCGTCAAGACCAATACCTACAGCAAATTGTCGACGTACACAAAGATGTCGAAGGCCTCAGCCACCGCTACATCTTCAACATGTACCAAAACGTGCGCTTCCTGGACCCCGAGACCAAGCGCCAGAAGTGCATTCTCCCCTGCACGCCGCTGGCCATCATCAAGATCCTCGAGTATCTCAACATCTACAATACGATTTTGCCGTATGGGAACAGACTGTTTGGCCATACGATTTGCGTGGTGAATCGGTCTGAGGTCGTGGGGAGGCCGTTGGCGGCGCTGTTGGCGAATGATGGGGCCTGTGTCTATAGTGTGGATATTACGGGAGTGCAGAAATTTACGAGGGAAGGGTTGAAGAAGAGTACGCATGATGTTGTTGATATGGAAGGGTGGTCGATTAAAGATGTTGCACCGTTGTGTGATGTCGTTATTACCGGTGTGCCTGGCGAGAAGTATAAGTTTGATACTAGCTTGTTGCGTGAGGGGGCTGTTTGTGTCAACTTTTCGAGTGAGAAGGTGTGCTTTCCCGCTCCATTTTGGACCATCAATAATGGCTGACAATGATTCTCATAGAACTTCGGACCGGAGGTCAAGGAACGTGCCTCTATCTTCGTTCCTTCAATTGGAAAGGTGACTATCGTTGTCTTGCTCCGGAATCTTTTGGTAAGTGACAACAACCCGTTCCTCAGACAATCAACAGTGCTAATTACATGCAGAGACTCATCCAGAACCGGAGACTGGACGATGTGAAGCCGGCAGCTGCTACCGAGAGACCCGGTACCCTCGAGTCTGCGTGAATGCTCTACGATGGCCGGTGATATTGATACCAAAACTATAGATTTCCGAGTTATGTTTTGAATGTGTTTATGCTATTTTCGATGATCGAACAAAAAGAACTATTTTGGTGTAAGCAAGTCACGCATCTGGAAATACTCAAGTGCTTCATAACCTTTAACCTTTTACTCTTCGTAACCATACACCCAAAACCGAAATCAAATCAAACAGAAGGAAAAAACCTCTGCTCCAGATATGCAATCCATCATCTCCTCTTCGTAACATCCTCATCATCTTCACCCCTCGGCGCCACAGAACTCGAAGCACCCCCCGTCTCCTTCACCGTCTCCTTCGCAGCAAGTCCCAACACCTCAATCTCAGATGCAAGCCACTCCCGCAATGACTCAGGATGAAAAGTCCCGTCTGCAGAAAACCACGTTGTAAACGGCGTTTCGATAACCTTATCCTCCAGAGCCTTCCCAGACGGCGTTTTGTACTGCACGCGAAGGTTATACAGCGGCGAGTGCTTCTTCGTCGAGGAACGGATCGAAATCTGCAATCTATTAGAAACACCGTCCACACCCCAAGCAATAGGCTGAAAGAAAAAAAAAAATAAAGAAAAGGCACGTACCAATTCACCACTCCCCCTCCTCCCGCGAAACACCTCCCCACCCTCAACAAACCAAACCCAATACGTGAAAACCCCATTCAACACAAAATACGCACTTACAGCCGCGATGACCCACGACGACGTCGTCGCTTCCCAGCCCAGATACCGATCCGCGTAGAATGTGGCGCCTGCAATCGCGACGGCTGTGTAGCCCAACAGGAAGCGGATGTTGGTGAGGGTGTGGTCTTGGGTGAAGGTGTACGGGGTGGGGAGGGTAGTTAGATAGGGAGAGAGGGCGTCGTCGGTTGTAGACTTTAGGTCTGTAGTTGTCTCTGGTTAGTATGGGTGTTTGTTTGGATGGGAGGATTGAGGCAAGGTGCTGACCATTGGATGAGTAGACAGGCACTTTGGTTGTCGCCATTATGATAACTAAGTTGTTGCGCAAGTAAGATAATCGAAACTCAGAATAAATTCCGCGGATGTTGGGAGAAGGAGACTGCTTATGTCTACAGAGTACACGGCAAGGCGTTTTGCGGCGAGCTGTCCCTTTCGCGGAGGCGGAGCTAAAGCGGCAATACAAGCCAGGCGCTAACCTACCACGGAGAACTCAACCTCACCTCCACCGTTCACTTTACATACAACGAACGGCATCACCAACGAGGGACAGGACGATGGCATTGCAAGGGGCTGAGCAGACGATCCTTCGGGATCCAGCTCTATTGTGAGTTTTTGTTGACTGAGAATTGAGAATTGGACTGTGCTAACGAGGATCGCGAAGCTATTGGATATTGATTCCGATTACCATTGTCATGGTGAGTCCCAAATCCCAACCCATATACTCGAGAATATAAACTGACCTCAATCACAGATACTAACAGGAATTCTCCGCCACTACGCCACTGTCCTCATGAACTCACCCCCCAAACCCCCATCCACGCTCGCCGAATCCCGCGAACGCTACTCCATCTTCCGCGGTGTTAACCTCCGCAGCAACGGCTTTGTCCTACCCACCGAGTCCTTTGAGATGCGCAAGAGCTATCTTATCTCCGCATACGAGAATGGCGCGTTCTTGAAGGACCCGGAGAACCGGGGCCAGCCGCCTGCGAATCCGATGACAGACCCGGCGGGCATGGATGCTATGATGGGCATGATGAAGGGGAATATGATGATGATGATTCCACAGACATTGATTATGAGTTGGATTAATGCCTTTTTTTCGGGATTTGTTATTTGTATGCCCCCCGTCTCCCTGGGGACTTGTAGGGTGCTAACTGCTGTAGTGAAATTGCCGTTCCCGCTTACGATCCGCTTCAAGTCCATGCTACAGTCTGGTGTTATGACCCGTGACCTAGATGTCAGGTGGGTGTCTAGTCTGTCATGGTACTTCCTCAACCTGTTCGGTCTGCAGTCTGTGTTTGGGTTTATTCTTGGTAGTGATAACGGTTCGTTTTCTCTCACCCTTTAAATTGAGTATCACTAACAATAGCTGCAGCTGCGAACCATATGGCTTCGCAAATGTCTGGTATGAATCCTACCGCTGGCATGAACCCGTTCCAGCCCGGTCAGGACCCTGATAAGTTGTACTTGAACGAGGCGGAGAACCTCGAGGTCATGGAGCACTTCTGCATTTATGATGGGATTGAGGAAAGGATTTTGCACAATCTTGCTTCCAAGTGATGTCAGGGGGAGTTAGTAGGATTGTGGATTACGAAGTTATCTCTGGTTTATATTGCTGAGATGTGCAAATGCAGTATACAGATTTTATATTACATTATTACAGCAGAACCAGTTCATAATGAATAAGAATTTTTTCATTGAACCATGAATCGTACATAAAATGCAATAGTCGTCAAACATTACTCATAACTCGCCTAACGAGGATCAAGAACCCCATTGAGAATCCAAACCTCACCGTTAGACACTTTCTCAGCAACATGATCCACCTCAATATGCCCAGGCTCGATCTAAACACAGCATCAACACAACCCCATCTCCCAAGCATAAAACCAAAGCAAAACTCACCACCATCCTATCCCTCTCCCTCACCCACCTAACCTTCTTCCCACACAACGTCTCAGCCTCCTCTCCCTCCCCCCACGGACAAACACCCACAATATGCCCCTCCACAAACCTCTTCAAATTCCCCTGCGCCCGATCCTTTCCCTCTCGCCCCTCATACGCATTCACCTCGCCTAATCGCTCATAGTCTTCGGGGTTTTCCCAGGGTTTGTGCGGCAGGTTATGGATTGCGGAGTTGCGGGGGGCTAGGATTGTGATTTGTTTGGAGGGGTTGTTTATGTGCGAGAGGGCGGACTCGAATTCGCGGGTTAGCGAGGCGTAGGTGTTGACGAGGCGGGTTTTGGACAGGATGTCGGCGATTATGGGGCCGTTTGAGCTGGACATTGTTGAGGTGGCTGGGAAGACTGGGGAATTTGAGCTAGGAATGCTTGTTGGCTTTGGAGCCACTCCTGTACTCTGTGATCTGAATGTTCGTGCCGTAAACCGGGGACGTCAACGTATGGACGAGGCAGACGTTTGCAGTTGCGATGAGAACCCTCGAGAGCAGATACTGTGCAGATAAGCAAAATTGTAACAATAATAAGAATACCTATAGACAAAAGCCTCATTATACAAACAGCGCAAGAAACTACATGGCCATTAATAACATCTGCGCTGTCAGTTGTCAATGACGCAACAACCGACCCTCATTTCACGTGACAATGCGGAGAATTTGAAAATGCACGTGATATCTATCGATAAGGGCCAGTCCGGGCAAGCCACAAAATCGGCGTCATGTTTCCGGTCGCGGAAAGACAACTTGAGGGGAATTTTACTTTAAGATTGTATATTGCTTGCATGCTCCTCGTTGCCGTTGCGCTTTGCGAAGATGTCGGCCTTGCAGACGTTTCTGCTGGTCGTTGACCATAATAAAGAGGAAGCGAAGGAGATTGCTGAGCGGGTTGCTCATGGTGAGTTCTTCCGGCTTGGAAGCATCAATTGAGGAGTTATGGGATTTTCTTGCTAACGGTAGTGATGCGTTAAGATGTCGAAACCCGGAAAACAACCCTCATCGAAATCGTGCAGTCCCTGGGCGAGTACATCAATGACGAGGATTCCATTCTGCGGGGCAAAGCCGTTTCCTATCTCACGGCCGTGATCAAGGCGCTTTCTCCAAAGTACCTGTCGAGACAACAGATACAGGTTCTGACGACGTTCTTTTGCGATCGCATTGAAGATGGAGGTGCTGTTACTGGGCTGGAGACGTTGCAGAAACTGGATCGGTTTCATAGGGAGTTAGCTGAGGAGGTTGCGAGAGCGTGAGTACTGGCCTTCACAATTATCCGTCGAGGGCGAGGTCTGACGTGGATATAGAACGTTTGGATACCAGGGTTTGCAGTCGCGGTCCCAGTCTCAGAGGTTCCAGGTTTATCAGTTGTTGAATGAGTTGATGTTGAATCATCGTTCTGCGCTGCGGGAGATGGGCGATGACTCGATTGTTGGGATTGTGGACTTGATGACTGGGGAGAAGGATCCCCGGAATCTTATGCTTGTGTTCTCGATTTTGAAGGTGGTGATGGTCGAGTGGGATATTTCCAACCACGCTGAGGTATGTGTTCCATATCACTGGGGTCTATGTTCAATGGTTAATGGTGACAAGACTCTATTCGATGCGGTGTATAATTACTTCCCCATCACGTTCAGACCTCCTCCGAACGATCCTTATGGTATCACCGCGCAGGACCTGAAGAATCGCCTGCAGGAGTGCATCTCTTCGACGAGACACTTTGCACAGTATGCTATTCCGTCTCTGCTGGATAAACTTGATTCAACCTCTCCGAATGTCAAGAAAGACGCACTTAATGCACTGATTGCTTGTATCCACACATTCGACCCAGACACCGTGTCAAGATATTCCATCACCATCTGGGAAACTCTAAAGTTCGAGATCCTCAACGCACAAGAGGAATTCCTCTCCGATATTTCGCTAGAGGCTTTGCAGGGTATCGCTAAGCGACTATCTGAAGGCGTCATGGAGGCTTCGCCGCAATTGCCTCTTGCTCAGTACTTGAGACCGATTACGAAAGAATGCAACGAGCAGTTACGAGAGCCTCAGCAAAAGCAAGCGAAGCCTTCCCAACAAATCTTGAGCTATACATCTGCTGCATCGGCCGTCGCATTGACCTTAATTGTGCAGAGTGTTGTTGCGCCGCTGTTGACAATTTACCAGGAGGCCGATGGGATCGTCAAGCAGAGAGCTCTGCTGGAGACGTTGGTTGTTTTGTTCGATTCTGCTATCTCAGTCTTTGGAGAATGGACTTCGCGTGGTCTTGAGACCATCCTTGGCAATCCTTTGCTGGAGTTTAAGGATCAGTTTTCTGAGATTTTCGGTCAAGCATTAATGGGGTCTGCAAAGGAAGAAGCGTCTTTCCGCGTCACGGCGCTCAAGGGATTCCTCCGTCTATCGACCCTGCGTGACTTTTTCCAGGACAACGAGATAGGACTATTCGTGCAATATCTCGATGAGATTCTGCTGACGGAAGAGTCTGTGGGCCGGGATGATCTCAAAAAGGAGGCCATTGCCGCTCTCGCTGAGATCTCCAAGTACAAGCCGCGCCTGATTATGGACATAACCTTCCCTGCTTTCGTGGCAACTCTTCCGGACTCTGATGATGGAACAAGCTCTAACTACTTGCCGACGCTCGAAAGCTTGGCGAAGATCAGCGTTGAAAAAGATATCTTCGAGACATTAGTGCGCCGTTTGTTGAGCAAGCTGACTATCTTGCTACAGAAGGAGGAGCCCGGGTCGCCAGCATACCCAAGAGCAATCCTCTTGACCATTCTCTATGTCATGGAACAGAGGAAGATGTACCAAGATCCAAACCTAGGGCTCTATTACGAGAAGATCGTAATGGGTTTCTGCAAGAGTGTTGCTGCTTCGGCTTCTGGAAAGGCAGCGAATAGGATTCTAAATGATGCTACGGTATTGGACACGCTGGGACGACTCTGCAACTTGATTGTGCGATCTGTTTCAAAACAGCAGCAGGATGAAGTTGCTGCGAATGTTTACACATTGTTCGCTCCAGCTGAGGAGTTCTCGCCGGTTCCTTTTGCACAATCCGCAAGTGAAGACCACCAGCGTACGATGATCGTGTCGACATACCTCCTCGCAGGCCTATCAAAGGACTGCACAACCATCCCCTACACAACCTCCAACATGTCCGATCTTCTCTCAGACCTAATCCAACGCTCCACCACCTCAACCGAACCAGCAACACAACTCGCCCTCCTCCGCCACTTCTCCCTCCTCGTCAACAAATTCCTCTCCAAGACCGATGTTTCCATCGCCACAGAAAAATTCACCTCCCTCCTCCCCTCCAACACAGAATCCCAAACCCAACCTCTCACCCCCGAAACCATTAAAACAACCTTCTGGCTTTCCAAAGCCCTCATCCTTCGTCTCGTCCCCAGCACAACAACAATCCTAACATCCCTTCTCTCCCTCCTCTCCTCCCCCTCCGAAGCAACAAGCACAACTGCCTCCCGCGGCTTCGCCATCCTCCTCAGCGATGACGATGTCCTCTCCCCAATTAACGGTGCCAATGTCCGCCTCCTCTGCAAACAACGCGTCTTCACAACCGTCATTCCCCTAATCGCCAATAAAATCCGACAAGTCAATATCGCCGGAAACTCCGATTCAAAAGCCCCCTCAGCGCCAGCGCATATTAAACCAGCACATTTAACAGCGCTATCGGGGATCCTATCCACTATCCCACCAGCACTCGTCATGCCTGAATTACCCACTTTACTTCCGCTGCTCCTTCAATCGCTCGATCTCCAAACTAGTGACTCCCACGCAGTCCGTGCAGCAACACTAGAGACACTTGCCGTGATCATCCGCGACAATGGCGTCTCTGTGATCGATGAATGCGGACACATTCAGAGCCTTGTCACGCGCCTTCTCAACACAGCTGCCTACACACCTGGTGCGAAAGCAGCAATGAACCCCTCGCGCCTCCGTACAGACTCTGTGAAATGTCTGTATCTGCTTGCGCAGACGCCGAGTCCGGATGCGCCTGCTGTTGTAAGGGCGGGCAAGTTGTCGCCGCTGCTGCCGGTTAAGGCGCAGGTGTTGAGGGCGTTGAAATTGGTGCTTGATGATCCGAAGAGAGATGTTAGGAAGGCGGCTGTTGATGCTAGGGGGGCTTGGTTGAGGGGGGTGGATGATGCTGAGGAGGATGAGGATTGAGTAGGTTTGAAAAAAGTTGGCATATTTAAAAGAAATTTTATGTTATGCTTGATGATGGTATATAGATTTTAAATTGATTGCATTTTGGTACAATTCAGTCTTATCTTCTAGTTTTGCGGCTACTTTTCAACTGTATCTGTCCATGTCCATATTCGCATGTTAAACCATTACCAACATATTATAGGGCTATGCGTTGATGTCGCAACCATAAAACATCAAAAATGTCCCCAACCCTCAGCTCATTCCTTAAAACCAACCCTAACCGTCATCCCCATCACCAATAATCTAACTCATTAACCCTCGCCGAGCTCGTCGACGATGACCTCTCCATTCCCAACGCAACCATACCACCACCACTCTTCGCCGGTACAAGACTCGGCACCAAAGTCTCCACCTCCTTCACTCCATCTAAATAATCATCAAGCCCAAGTAATCTTCCCTGTTGCGCCGCCGCAGGAACTATTGCCGATGAAATAGGCTGTTTAGGTATACTGGGAAGGGAAAGCGGGCCAGCACCAGCGCCAACACCAACGCCAGGGTTAGTTCCGACGACTGTACCGGCTGCCGTGGCACCAACACTGGGAACGGCACCAGTGACAGCGGCGGTTATGGCGGATAGATGGACTTCTTCGATCCCCGGGCCGTAGTTCCAGAATCCTATGCCGTCGATTTTCTCAACGACGGTTTTGGTGAGGTGGAGAAGGTCGCCTAGGCCGGCTGTTCCGATGGCTGAAGCGACAGGGCTGAGGAGCGGAGTTGCATTAGGAAGAGGTGATGGCGAGGATAACGAGGGAGAAGATGAGAGGCGTAGATTGCTCATGCCGTAGTCGTCTGCGACGAGGGTAGCATGGTTTCCCAGGAGATCTGGGCTTCGCCAGTCTTCTGTGCGTTCGCCGATTTCGACGTCCGTGTTTGTTTTCATGAATGCTTCGATAGCGGGGCTGACGAGAGAGACTTCGTACCAGAGTCTGCCTTTTTTGATCATTTCGGGGTGTGGTGCGCAGCGGGCTCGCAGGGCTTGGCTGTCTGATGTGCTGGAGCCGATTAGGAGGTCTTGAATTTCTGTCACCTGGAGGAAGATGTCGTTGTCGTTGTCGTTGATTGCGACGATTTGGTTTTCTGCCGTCGGAGATGTGGCATTGTCAACAGCAGCAGCAGCGTCTCTGTTACGGATGTGTCGATGGCGAGTCCAGCGTTTCATGAATACTTTCTCAATGACGAACTTGTTTCCCTTGGGAAAGCGGCTGAAGATACGGATGAGAGACTTTTCCGGTTGCACCCAGAGATTATCGACAAGATACCGAACAGCCTCTTCGAGTTCCAGATCGGTACCGGCAACATGCTCGATAACACCAGAGAGGACCATGCTGGCATCCCAGATCTGAGCGGGAAAGTGCATGTTGACAGCACCGAGCGTCTTTGTTGGCTTCCGAATTGAATGCTTACCCTGTTCGTCAATTGCTATAATAAAGGGCTGATTTGCAGTGGTGCGACAGTGAAACTCGTAGGAAACATTATACTCAGTGTAGTCCTGCTCGAACATATGGCGTTTACCCTCAGCCTTTGACGTTTTCAGATCAATGATATGGTCGACATCTGAGCCAGCCGTGGTAAGTCGATTGATAAACTTCGTCGTCGGCGCAGGAAGGCTATTGCGTGGCTGGAAGATCCTCGTCCACTCGTCCACAGTAATCGAGTCCTGGTTGTATGACTTGGGTAGAAGAGGTATGAGAACAAGGCCGAATTGTGCTTCCAAAGTCAACGGACCGCTGAAATACTCAGCAGCTTCGAGGGCAGGTCTCAACGCTTCGAAAACGCTCTTGATTTCAGCCTCTTGCTGCCGCAAGTCCTGCAGGTCCTGCTTCTTAGCACCAGAGAATACTGTCCTGGGTTTGACGATGAGGTCGGTTGGCGTTTTGGGCGTTTTAACTGGCGCTTTTCTGGCTGGCTTAGGAATCCCCCAAGCATCCTCGAGAGTGGCTTGTCGTTTAGCTTTGGCTTCGGCCTTGCTTTTCGCTTTCTCACTTGGCTTGCCCGCTTTGTGGTTCATGGTGAGGTGGAACTCTCTGGTGTCCGCTTCGTCATTAGTGTTCTTCACCGTTTTGACAGATTTCTCGAGTTCCGCGATTCTCTGACGGGCGAGTCGCATGTTGATTTCGCGCCGGTCTTTGGGAGGACGTGATATATTCGAGACGGTCGAAGCATTGTCGTCAAAGCCAGATATGTCCTTCTTCTCGCGAAGGGATGATTTCAAGTCTCGGAGCCTCTTCTCCTGCAAAGTTAGATCCTCGCCACTAACCAAACCAGTCGGGCTCAGAAGGGTTGCCGTAGCAGTGCTAGGCCCCAGAACTTTGCTCTCGGTTTCGAAGTCAAGGTCAAGCAAGTCCGGGGGAGTAGAGCCTTTAGTCTTATCGGGCACCTGCATGTCCTGCATTTCTGTCTTATCGGCATGATTTGCGACTTGTGGAACTAGCGCAGGTTGGTCAAACGAGAGCATAGAGTGCGAGGTTGGTTTTCCAGGAGCAACAGGAGTGAGAACATCGACAAGCTCCTCACGCTTTCCCGGCATTTTCTTGGGCGCCACGGGTAAGATCTCAACATTCGCTTGTGAGCCCTGTGGAGAATTTGAACTGCCAAATGAATTCTTGGCTGAGTGCTGAGGGGATCTTTGCAAGCCATACTTTGTCGGGTCGAAAGTTGGCATTGTTAGCTTGTCCTCGGGAGACTCTGGCCGCGCCGTCGTAGTAGAGTCGTGAGGGGAGTCTGGGCCCTTGAACATAAGATCGGTAGGTGAGGATACCCGATCGGTAGGCTCGTACTGCATCTTCCATCGCTTGCGAGGAGTCGAGGTCTTCTTCCCAGGAACAGTGGACAAGGCTTTGGTGTTCTCAGCTGTGGGCTCTGGTGCTGCTTGAGGTGTAGCGGTCCCAGCAGCCTTGCGCGTTCGGATACCAGGGGTTTTCTTGACACCGGTGACAAGAGTTGGTGTCTCGCGAGGACCTTCAAGCTGTTCAGGCTGTAGTACGATGTTAGTCTCAGGTTCTGGTTCAGGCTCATTCTCCATCTCAGCTCTCTCGACGACCCACTGATTCACCCGCGTGGCTTTTTCAACAGATAGAAATGGATGGGGAGGAGCAATTCCAGAAGTCACCGCCTGTGGATTAGCCGTGTCTTTCTCGATGATGGACTCCATGTTGATGAACTCATCTCCCTTTCCAATTCCTTGGAAAGTAAAGTCATTCCAGATACGCGACTTGCCGGGTTCGTTAGAGACTTTGCAAGGATTGAGAAGATTATCCGGTAGATTGAACTTTAATGTATCGGGGTCGAGCGAGAGAAGAAACGTAGCAAAAGTCTGGTTGAGAGTGGCATTCAAGGGCAGATTAGGGTCTGTGAGAATCCGACGCAGGGCTATGGAATTTATCTCGCTGTAGTTCTGAATCCGAACGCGAGTGTTCTCATTGTGTTGCGCCATAATCATGTTGGTCACCCGGGGAGCTTCAATGAGGGACTAGTAGACAATGGTTAACTATAAGACCAGCCATTCAGTTGGGGTAGTAGTCGACTTACCAATGGCTTCTCAATCCGTGTCAACTTTCCTAACGCATCCTCAACGTCAATCTGGTGCTGACCAGTTACCTGGATTCCGAGGGTATCATCTATAGCCGTAATCTCCGTGCCGGTCATCGCCGCAATATCACCCAAAACCTCCTGGAAATTGGCAAGGCAACCCGGACCACCATTTTCCGAAATCCAGTATTTAGTGGAACGATTGAGGGACACAGGAATCAGTTCGTCGTTCGAGTCGTCGACCAATGTCAACAGACCTTCTTTGCGGTCCTTTTCAGATTCAACTTTAGCCTGGTCGTCTTCGTCGTATATCGAGGGGACGTCCAATTGGCGGATCCGCGGCATCTATCACTCCAGTATAAGTATACCATTCGGTACCCATGCCAAACGGTGCAGAAAGCTGTGAGGCTTACATCCAAGAGGTCTTTGTTTTTCTGCTCTTCGACAAAATCAGACATGACCGATACGAGCTTCGCGGAGGAGCCTTCAAAGTTTCCCTTCATTATAAGAACCTGATAAAAAAGGAATCGTTAGCTAGACCTCTTCCAAAAAAGGAAATTCTGGAAGGCACATACTTCATCTGGTTTCGAATACTCCAAGAGGCAGTTAAAATCGGGATTGGCTTTTCTGCACGAATTGTCAGCATATCCAATAGGACCAATAAAAACCACAACTAACCCGAACTCATTCTGTATCTCCTGTACCTGTGATAGTGAATGGTGATCAGCGCTCGTCCGTTTCTCAGCCATTCCTGTCAACGTACTCCTATATCCTCAAACGCCCACATCGACGCCAACGTTAGGCGCTGTCTTGTCGCCATTTCGATCCTGCTGGGTTTGCAGCTAGTTATGGGGAAATTGAACGGATCAGGATGATAGAGAAGAATAGGAGGAAGGAGCTGGTTGAAGAGGGATTTGCTGGGTTTGTACGGAGTAGGTCTTCCCGGTTGTTTGCCAAAGCGCTCTCAGCAGCTTGGCCTTACAATGGATGAAATATTGATTATTTTGCTTGGTATGGATGAGATGGATAAGACAAGAAAATGGAAAAAAAAATCAAAGAGAAAAAAGAGAAGATGTTTGTTGGAGAGGAAAATGAGAGGAGAAAAGTCGCGGGGCAAACAAGTGAATGCGTAAGAACAGTTAAACCAGTGAAGATAGATCCAGCCTATAAATACTTTATTTCCATCATGTATTCACAAACAAAGATATGGTTAGATGCATATTAAAGCAGTGACTAGCACGCCATGATAAGGGAAAGGAATTCAATTGTGATATCCACAAACGAAAACCCCAATTGCTCCTGCCAGAGAAGAACAGCCTGCTGTCAACATGAGAGGTCGCTGTATTTCATTATATGCTTCCAAATTTATGTTCAAATGTATTCATCATGGCCATTGATGTATCACAGATCACAATGTAAACTCCAGATAATAAAAAGAAAAAAAAAAAAAAAAAGTAGAAAATAGGATGAGCATGGTATTCCCCCCGGGTATCAAGACTCCCAAACTCCACGCAATGTCGAGAAGATCCCGGGAACAGTAGAGCAGGCAAGAAAGCTGCAAGTATGGGAAGTAAAAGTAGTGAAACAAAGGAAAAATATCCACAAGACAAATACACATCCGCCTCCTTCGTTGGCGAACTTAAGGCAGTGTCAGAATCGGTTCTAATTCGGAACTCGACACAGCTGACGAACTGGAAAGCAATGTCAGTTGCTCTTCGGGATGTAGGACGACCATTTTTGAGCTAGACCATGCTCATCAATTCGTGTTGGTAATGATGGTTGGAAGGTGGCAATCATTGCTTCTCTCCTTTCCGTGAGGAATCTCTCAACCCTTCGCTGACTTGAATGACCCATTTCATGCGCCCTTCTGTTTCTTTCATTGTAGCGAGAGTCGTGTCGATCTTGGCTTCATTCCGATAGCCGTTCTCGATTAACCTTCCCATCTCTTCCTCTCTTGCCTTTTTATACGCTTCGTAGGTCTCAAAAAGTTTGGTGAATCTCTCCCGGCTAGCTTCGATTTCATGGTCTTTCTCCGCGAGGATAGTATCCAGCCGTTCCAGATCCCCGATTCTTTTGTCATGTTCGGTTTTGAGAGCGATATAGTCGTCGCGAATGGTCTTGAATCTCCTCTGTTGCTCTGACCGATCTCGGTTTCCAGACTGGGCAAGCACGTCGTATTGGGTCTTTGAATAATTGGCGATTTCTTGTAATTCAGCAACTTTCCGATTATAATTGTCGCGCGCTTCAGTCATCAATTGGTCGGTCCTGTTGGCCGTATTCTCCGCCTTTTGTCTTCGTTCCTTTTCGCTCTGCGCCTCCGCCCGTAGTTCTTTCATCTTTTGGTCTTTGCGCGAAATCGACTGGAGGTTCGTTTCGTTCGCTACTTCGAGATTCCGGAGGCGTTCGCCGATATTCTGTACCTGGGTCTTGAGGGTATCGTTCAAGGTCTGCGCCTCTTCGGCCTTGGACCGGTGGACGCCACATTCGCGCGTTAGGCGGGCGATATCCTCCTGGAGAGCGTGAATAACCCGACCAGATTTGCCTGTCGTTGCGTGCCCGACCGCGGAAGACCATTCTGTCGTTGAAGCGTCGCCGTTTGCGGAGTGGGCGTCGCCGTTCGAAGGATTAGGAGAGAGGGGCGGATTGGGAGAGAGGGAGATCGATTGATCTGTGAAACAACATAGAACCATGAGCCTACCATTTTCTCCAAAGACTTTTTAATATTTTGCCACAACAAACCTGTAGACTCAATCACCGTCGCCCCATTCTGTTCCTCCGACGACTTGGAATCAAATAAACCGTTGGCCTGATGCATATTTAAAAACGTAGTGTCCACATGGGGCAAACTAATACGAGGAGCGTGTTTTCGAGGGAAAAGACCTGGACCTGAAAGAGGCAATGGAACAGTGATGTCTGTGTCAGCATCGTGTTCATGGTACGGTTCCTGACTACTGCTCTTAGCGCTGCTAAGCCTGCTTGCGTCCTGAACGGGTTCCGCCTTCGTCTTCTTCTTGCTCCGGCCGAATCGGACCATTCCGACAAATCAGGAGAACGGAGGGCGGCTTTCGAAATGATGCTCAACACACGGCGAACCACGGAAACAACCTTAACGCTGGCCGCACAACCAAACGGCGCTTCCACGGAAGATCCAGACGAACAGTACGGCAAAGCGACCGATAGACCGGTACTCTGGAGATGATGTTCTGAAAACCATGGAATGGATTTTGTGTGTGTAGTCTTGCGGTCGGTTTGGGTTGGTGGTCAATTGGCGATGGGTTTTAGGAGAAGGGAAAGGCCCGAAAGAGGTCTGACTGGGTTCAAGAAGAGACGAAGAGGAAAACGCTCGGACTAAAAGGACTAGCAACAATAGAGGTCATAATAGCATCACAGCACTAATAATGACGATAATGTTGAATGGAAGGAAAGCTTCCTTTCTCCCACGCCAAACCCCCAGGGGAAATAAGGAAGTCAGACATACCCAGGAAAGTGGATCAATGCTTAGATTGAAGGGGTCCTAATAATCGTCTGTAATAGCGCAAACTGTCTGTATGCACTGGATCTGCGGCAGACAATAACAGTAGGAGAATTAATTGAATTGATGATCCTTCATGGCCGCGAAGGGAAAATTAGAGGTGGAGGATCAACTAACTCTGTATATCTCAATGGAGATGCGCGCTGTCAGATACGCTGTCAGATAGAGAGCAACTGAGGAGATATATTGCTGGCAGACAGAAGAGAAGATATATCAAAGCTCAAAGGAACGGTGGATATACGGACAATGGATATATAGCGACCCGGGAATGTACGTGAAAGAGAACTGTCAACGATGGGAGAAGAGAATGAGGCTGAACTGTCGCTACTGCATGATTTGCGCCTACACTGTTCAACTACGCTAAAAGGTGATCTTTTGTTTCTGATTCCAATTTGTCATTTTCCTCCTTTTTTTTTTTTAAAAAAAAAAAAAAAAAAAAAAGATTAGTTTGCTTATGAATACTCCGTACTAAACCGCCTGGGTTGTGCCCCTATATATATCCGCGACGACCTCAAAGCGTCTGCAAGCGATGCGGCATACAAAAAGGCACTTTACTCATTTAGCCAAAATTAAAGATATTGACAAACGATAGATATTCTACGAGCGATGCATGGAGATATGACAGATCAGAGCAAGGTAAGGGAGATATCAATTCTTCATATTGTATGGATCGATTATAGCAGTAAAACCCATGATTGACTCGTCTCGTAAGAGACAGGAAGCAATTCGTGAAAATGACCATGAACAGACAAAAGCGCCAAAATGACCAAGACGAACACGTAAACCATGGTTCCTCCCACCGTACGCCGTAACACGTATAAAAGTACAGATATGTGACTCCGGTCCATATATACACCAGCCATCAAAACAAAACCAGCGCGTACAAGATAACATTTTCTTTTTCTGCTTGGAGCAATCCAGTTGACCCAAGAAATGCAAAATACGACCAATCCAAAGTGCGTGCAAATTCCAATTATATCCTCTATGTCGTCAAGACGAAAACCGCAGCGACAGCCCCCAGTGCTAAGTTAACAGACACACCGATAAACGAAGCTGCGCCAGTCTGCTCGCCATGGCCCACAGTGCTCTTGCCGGAAACAATGTGAGAATCATCGGACAACGACTTAGCATTCGTGTGGGTAGGGCGAGCCGTAGAGAGCGTGGTGGTCGTGGCATTCGAAGGATTAGGGCCCTTCGCGAGTGGGATGTGCGTCTCATCATGGCTGACCTTCAGATGCCCGGTGTAGTTGGTCTCGTCACCTTGCTTGATGGTTAGGGCGTAGTCATCACCATCTTCGATATCGTCCTTGGGAACCCAGGTGAAAGAGCCAGCGTCACCGGGAACCTCGGCAGTGATGGTCTTGACGCGGTGCAGGTTGGTTGATTCGCCTCTAGCCAACTCGATCGTAACAAGCTGCATGGAGGGACTATGGTCAGATACTCTTCAGGGATGCCAGGGAAAAGATGGACACATACCGCACTCGATGCTCCGTCCCACTTCACCGTGGTGGAGTGTCCAGGGTGGATCTCCTTAGGCCATTCGGTGAATGCGAAGCCTTGAACCGTGACAGCGAGCTGGGACAAGCAAGCTCCGAAAGCAAGAACGGCGTTGGAGAAGTGCATCGTGATGGTACTGATGGAAGTGATGAAGTCGATAAACGTATATAGCGGTGCAAATGCAATGATAACGGCTGCTATCCAGTAATAGGATATGTTGGTACGCTGCGAGAAGTGTATTTAGCGAAGATGTTGAAGAGACAATGGAATCGTTTCGTAGACGGAATAGGTCGAGTAGCCGGACGTACTTTCCTAGATCACAAGCGACAGAAACAGCAAGCGCAACTGAGGAACTTTTCGAGGTAGGTACGACAGGGAACGTTACCTGATTGGCACTTTCTTTTTAAAGTAGTTCAAGGTTTGTTTTTTTTCCCTTTGGGTTGAATGTCAGAGACAGAAGTATGTGATAGGAATCTTGGGCTTCAGAGTTGATGAGGAATGATGGACTCGAAGGCGAAATCTAGCAAATAAATAGGTTAACGGTCAATAAATAAAGTAACATTAACAGCCAAAGTGTACTACCCCAGACAACGAGCAGTAATTCAGAATGTCCAATCATTTTCGATTGTTCCGGATGCCACATTCCTGGCGGCATATCGGGTTCCTGATATGGAGCATTTGTTGTCGTTGGTACGCCAACAATACCGTCCGAAGAATGCGTACTGGAACGTAACATTACCCAGACAATCTCGATTATCAGGTCTAGAACAGTATTCGGGCCATGATCACTGCGGACTTGGTAAGGACTTGCTTAATCTAGATTGAGGACCCTACTTCAGGAACATTTCTTTGTGCCCTAGAGATCCTGGGTATCCAGAACAGAACTAGCCACATTCATCAATAGCCTACTAATTAACAATGTTCAATATGCAAAAACATCCAATTTGCTCAAACTCGCGTATCTTTGTGCATGTCGTCCCTAACATCCCTCTTTCTCTGCAGCTCTGCAGACTGTACTTGACATGCAGGACGGTATCACCGGGAGAGCACAACAGCAACGCAGTAGCACCGCATGCCATTCAAAGAATCTAAATTCGTACTTGATACCAATTCCCCGACCAACGCCATTTGGTCAAGATTCTCGCGTGCTCGTTCTCGTTCCGCCGAGCAATGCATGCCACATTATGCAAGGGTACATCAATCTCGGCACGGAGCTCAACATGTGATTGCCTATTATATTGCATGTACTGCAATTAGATATTTTTCGTGGGACACGAGGAGGGCTGGTTTTTTCAGTTGACTTGTATAGAGCAGGGCGTTCGTGGATAGGATATCGATGTTGTCGTGTCCGGGAGCTTGTCGAATCGATTCCTCTTCCAAACCATCACGTCTACATAGGGGAATAATAAACCAATGAAAATCAATCAGCGTTGCTTGTCATATACCTATCAATGGCCCTGTTGCATTCGCACCGGCCGCCGCGAACTGATGTCAATGGGCGTTGTGACGTATTACCCGAAGAAGAAATTTTGATGATGCCTAGTATACATCATTTCCCCAGATCCAGGCTGTCGGTGCCTTCCCATTCAGAGCTTATTGCTGTTGGAGAGCATTGTGGACAGAAGAAACACTTTCCCTATATCAACTTGCGCGCTCTCTTCTCCAATGTGCCTTCCGTAATGAGAAGAAGAGCACGGAGAAGACCGAAGTCCTAGTAAATATGAACCTCAACTGCCTTCCTTCATCTTCTTCTCTTCTCTTCGCGTTGGCCACAAGTTTATCCCTATACTGCTCTCTCGATACTCCGCAATAGCATTCGTTCAAAAGGACTCCCTCGTATACCGTGGTCTCTGTTCTATACCATCCTTATCCCTCATTCTACAGTCGTTACCTCATCTATTGACCCCGAGATGTCTTCGTCTTCGATCCTCTCTTCGAAACCCTCCACCGCATCCTCCAAATCAACAAACTCCTCTCATCCAGCACTGTTCAACCTCATATACCCACGCTTCTACCGTGCTGCATGCAACACGCAATCATCTGACAAACCTCCCGAACCATCGAGGCTAGCCGACATCGACCACGAGTCGACAACCAACGAAGCTCGAATCAAAGTCATCCAAGCCCTCACGGTCTGCCGCACCGTCATCTCTAGTCTCGAGGTGACCCGCCTTCGCAAGTCTCGCGTCGGCTTCGACAATTGGCTCTCCTTCTGGGAACGAGTCTACAGGCTGGAACTCGCCCGCAAGGTCGTAAGTCCCGTGGTACACGCTTACCGTCTGATTGACGAGCTTTTCCGTACCGTTGCACAAGAACTCAAGTGTGCCACGCAGCGGTGCGTGAACTACGTGATGCAGGCCCAGTCCGCTACGGACATCTCGCAAAGCGTCCAGCTTTATGACCCGGTTATCAGGCTCTATTGTCGACGTCGACGGAAGAGAGCCCGAGATATACTGGACGAAATGCGTGAGAGCATCAAGGATATTCCAATGCACGTTAGCGATGATTTTTTCACGGATGTGAAGCGTGGTGTGTTTGCGTTGAATGAGCGCTGCGAGTACCATCCTGGTGATCCAATTGCGGAGGAGCGGGAACGGGTGTTTCGTTTGGAGGTATCCCCGGAAGGGCTTTGTAACCAGGCGCTGTCCCCGCAGTTCTATCGTGACCATCAGGAAAGAATTATGCGGGTTTTTCATATTCACTACGATAGATTGCATCGGCAAGAACTGGTGGAACAGTTGGAACAGTATCATGCTTGCACCGACGTCGACGAGGGTTTGATACATTGTCCTACAGCAACGGGGCAGGGGAATGATGCAGGGCCGTCACATGGGCATCCAGGGGTCTGATTGTGATTTTGGCGTCTGTTTTTATGATTTTGTCATTCGTTACGGGTAACTTAAGCCCCCGGGGTTAATAATGGTTCATTAGATAGTTTGTTACCGCTTGCATGTGCTGGGAAAGGGCTGGGAGTCCTTTCGGAAGTTTGCAAGATAGGGAATCCAAGTGCTTTGGTCTCAATATTTCCAAAGTAATTCAGCACAGGCTCTAAAAGAAAAACTTCTAAACAAAACAAAAAAAAAATAAACTATTATGTAAAATCCCACAAGTTCCGCATCAGACTCCCAGGCGCCGTATCGACACCACCATCCTCCTCAAGCCCCCGATCCGTAAAAATCCGCTTAGGAATGTGATACTCGACAACCGGTACTCTCCTAAACGGCCGATCCTCAGTTCCCAACTCTCCCTGCAACATGCCCTGATACGTATAATCAAGGAAATCCTCCATATTATACGCTTGCTTCGTAAACTGCTGCGAGATAATCTGCGCAATAGCAGCGACGTTGGGATGGTAGTGAGTCTGCAGCGTGACGACTTCCCAAACACTACTCTCGACGGCGTCCGTGCGGGTCGGGTCCGGCTCGTCGGGGTCGAAGGGGTCATCCATGCCCTCTGCATCGAGCTCGGCTTTGAACTCTGCGTCGTGGATGGCGCGATGCATCATGAATGTTGTCGTGGGGTGGTTTTTGAAGAGATTGTACATCCAGGGTATGATGGCGACGATGGCTGGTGGCGGGGCGTTCAGCGCGAGACGCGCGAGACGCTTGATGAAGCTTGCAACCAAGGAGACGGGAAGATGCGAAGAATTAAGAAACGTATTCAACAACCTCAAGAACCGCGAGCGATGTTTCGAGTGCAACAAATCTGCATCCAAAAGCGAGTACAATTTTGTATAGAACTGCGGATAATCGAGATTCTTCTCACGAATGAGGTAGAACAGTCCCGAAAGGGCGAGGAGGGACGTTGCGCCGCCGAGATCGTACGAGTCTGTGAGGAAGTCCATAAGTAGTTCTGGACGGGTGAACCAAGGCTCGATGTGGTGGACCATCATGCGGAGGAGGGATTTGCGTTGGGATTGGGAGAGGGAGTTGGATAGGACGGAAAGCCAGGCATCTTGGGCGCGCTTTTTGTGGGAGCTGACAGAGGTGAGTTTTTTGTTGGAGGTGCTGGTTTTTGTGAGGAAGGTTTCGAATGAGTGGGAGGGGTCGGGGATTGTGTCGTTCGCTGAGAGGATGGTGATGAGGGTTTCGAGTATTTGGGTTGTTCGCTCTGTGGAGGCGTATTCGCTGGATCAATTGTTAGCGCTTGCTTGTGTTGACATAAGGGCATTGACGTACGAAATCCTTGCGAATGTATGAAACCTCACGTCCTCGTAGGCCTTGACGAACTTTTCGATAAACTCCGCCTGCAGTGCTTGTCCCTCCGGCGCCTCGATGACGGCCTCGAAAACATTCTTGAACAGACCCGAAGACCAGACGTAACTGTCCGCACTGGGAATGTGTGTCACTTGCTCGCCGACAAGTCTCATGCTCAGAGTCAATGCCGTGACCTACTCCCATTAGCGAGTGTTCCGACATGCCTGCAACACAAGATATATACATACCTGAGCAGAAGCGTCACCCTCACGCATGATATTTACCAACGCCTTCTGGTATTCCTGGAACCGCTCTTTCAACCACGCCACGATAAGCTTCTCGTTGTCATCTGCCCGACTCGACTCTGTCAAGCTTCCGGCCGCGATCAATCTGCTGAAGACTCGGCAGAGAGAGACTGCAACGGGCAAATTCGGGTTCTGTGCATTTTCCCCAACATCTAGTATCGACAGCAAGGTCGCGATATTGTTGTAATGCTTTCGCGATTCGGAAATTTGAATTTCTAGTTCGGTGATCTTCGACATTGTCGCATCTTCGTTCGAATCGGTTGCGACTGCTCGGCGCTTGGACGAAGAGGAACTGTCCTTGGCGCTCTTTCGTTTCTTTGAGCCCACGGTTGCGTGCATAGCGGCCGGCATGATGTTTAGATTAAATATTCAACTGTAAATCAGTGATCAATTGCTAGCTCGACTTCTGCGCTCATGAAATTTTGGATATCGCTCGGTTATGCAATTTTTCCGAGAGCACCGCACTAAACCTCATCGGGATAGTGTGGCCGCACCGCCCAAACCGCAATCCCGACCTCAGTCTCCTCAGTTCCGTTCACCCATCATAATTCCTCAAGGACTAACCACCTGCTACAATGGCTTCGCGATTCGCTAAGACCGCCATGGGTATGCTGCAACTTGCCCTCTTCGACAATTCAGACTCCCTGAACACTCACTGACCGGCCTTAGGTGCTGCCCGCCTGCGGCCGACCCTGCCCACGCGCAACCTCGCCGTCACTGCCAACATTGCGGCCACCCGCTCGGCCTCCAACGTCCCTGAGGATCCCAAGAAGAAGGCTCAGTCGATCCTCGACTCTCTTCCTGGCAACTCCCTGGTTTCCAAGACTGCCATCCTTTCCGCCGCTGCCGGTGTCTCCATCTCCGCCATCAGCAACGAGCTCTACGTCTTGAACGAGGAAACCGTTGCCGCCTTCTGTCTTCTCAGTGTTTTCACTGCCGTTGGCAAGTATGGTGGCCCCGCTTACCGCGACTGGGCTGAGGGCCAGGTTCAGAAGCACAAGGACATCCTGAACGCTGCCCGTAACGACCACACTAGCGCTGTTAAGCAGCGTATGGACAACGTCAACCAGCTCTCCGGTGTTGTTGACGTTACCAAGCAGCTCTTTGCGGTCTCCAAGGTAACACAACGAACGAATTAAATATGTTGTCGAATTCAATCGCTGACTACGTAAAAGGAAACCGCTCAGCTTGAGGCTCAGGCTTACGAGCTCGAGCAGCGCACTGCCCTTGCTTCTGAGGCCAAGCAGGTTCTTGACTCGTGGGTGCGTTATGAGGGTCAGGTTAAGCAGCGCCAGCAGCGTGAGCTTGCCGAGACCGTCATCGGCAAGATCCACAAGGAGCTTGAGAACCCCAAGGTTCTGCAGCAGATTCTCCAGCAGAGCGTTTCTGATGTTGAGCGTAAGTATTTTGCCCGCTTTTTGTAAGGTTAGGTAACAAGTATTGACTTTAATGCAGGTATCATGGCCGCCAAATCCCAGTAAGTGGGTTCAGAGTAATGTGTCGACATTATGTATAAAACCAAGATCCGTTCTGAATGCTACTTAGACATTCAATAGCATTTAACTCGATGATTCCAATGTAAACATAGTCTTATATCCAGTGCTCATCAGTATATTGTCTTTCGAATGGGCAGTATTCCCCGCCTACTATAGGTACCCCTGGTAGCATGCCAGCCATGGCAACGTCATTTGTATATCTCGGTAGTCTCAGGAACCGATGTTTTAAAGATACCTCTGATGATACTTTGGACCAACCGATTAGGAAATCCTGCAAAAAGTCCATGCATGACCTGTCTGATGCAAGCCCTTATGTAATCCGACTCCTTCAGCTAGTTAACTATCACTGATCAAGTGTTCTTTTCATCCAATTCTCATAGAAACCTGAATCCATCCCAATTCACTCAATAGACGGAAGGAGACAATGAATGAACCTGCAAAATCTGCAACCATGACAGGATGGTCCAGACAACGCCAATCTTTGCTCAAAACACACTCCCTGATTCATAGGACACCCGGCCAAGCCGACTAACTCAACCAGACAATGCCCTCCGGCTACTTTCCTCTCAGCCACAGCCATAACACTGCGTCAGCCTTATATTCACCAGAATAGAAACAAGGCTGTCTTCTTTATATCGGCATATATGACTTACGTTGATTTAACCCCAGCTTTCCCATCAGACTACCGAATACCGTACCCACCCCGCAAAAACAGATAAGCAAACACCACGCGATCACGATCAACGCAATGCCTCTTCGCGAGATCCTACAGAAGAAGGATGATATCCATTACAATACAAACGGCCAGTATGCGACTGGCATGTCCACGCCCATGAGCCCTCCTGGCCCTGCTGTGCCCGAGATCAGGTTCGTCGCATCCGACACCAACACTTCCGACGAAGTCATCACCAGCCCCGTCATCTTCGATGAGGATGACTACGACAGAAGACTCGATCCCTCGCGGCCTTCCTCAGCATCCTCCTCCTCACCCCGGAAATCTATGAACTTCCTTCGCCGATCGTCACACTCTCCATCCAACGAATTCTCGACCGAGGCTACGACGTTAGCGTCTCCAACGTCCCCAACTGGTCGGCCCCGACGGTTGTCACAATTACTGCATCTTGACCGGAGCGGTTCAAGAAGTCCGAGTCCCGTTTCCGCGCATATACCGGCTGATTTGCCGCAGGTTGATGATGGGCCGGGGGATGCGCAGGATAGGGAGGCGCAGTGGGAGAAGAGGGCTACGGTTTTGGTTCAGAATCCGAAGTTTATGGGTGGGTTATCGCCGAGTTCGTCGTTTTATGGTGATCAGTCGGGGTCGTCGTTGGGTTCGGGGACGAGGTCGAGGAGTTCCAGTCGAGGGGCGGTTGATTCCACTGGAGACGTATGCGCAGCAATGCAAACTGTCATTTTGCTACTTACGGCTAACGGTTTGTAGGTTGATATTCAAGAGGCAATTCGTCTTCATGAGGCTGGGGGTATGGCATAAACACCGTATCTATACGCAACGATACTGACATACTATCACAGAACTAGAAGCCTCCACCAAGATGTTCGGCCAACTAGCAGACCCAAACGGCACCAACCACGCCCTAAGCCAGGTCCTCTTTGGTCTTGCCCTACGGTATTCCCTAGCCCCGCCGCCCTCCCCAATACACCCATACTAATCAGTAAACAGACACGGCTGGGGCTGTCCCCAAGACCCCTCGCGTGCAATCACCTACCTCTCCGCCGCAGCCTCCAACTCCGCAAGCATAGAGTCCGAGGCCCTCCAGGCGGGTTACAAAAAAGGCGGTGCAGCGAAAGGCGAGCTCGTTCTTGCCATATTCGAATTGGCGAATTGCTTTCGCAACGGTTGGGGCGTGGCTAAGGATCCAGTCGCGGCGAGACAGTACTTTGAGACGGCAGCGAATCTGGGGGATACAGATGCAATGAACGAAGCTGCTTGGTGTTACTTGGAGGGGTTTGGGGGGAAGAAGGATAAGGTGCGTCAGGTCACCCCTACCGGGATCGGAGAGGCTTCTGTTCCTCGGGTTTTGGTCTTAGATATTAACCATACTCGTACGGTTAGTTCATGGCAGCCAAATACTACCGACTCGCTGAATCTAAAGGAAACAAAATAGTTGGGAATTCCTGGTACGTTTTTCCCTTCCCCTTCTTTTCTTCGCAGCCAATTATCACCCGCTCCATCCCCCCTCCTAGCCATGCCCATGACTCTCATCCCAATCTTCAGCACCTACCATTTGCTACTGGAGTGTGATCTCAAACAAATCCATTAATTGGCTCTCAACGCACCATTCACAAAACTGCTTATGCATTCCTATCACAATTCACAATCCACAACCCATATTCCACATTCCCTCCGCCAGCCACAACCTGAACCCCACCCCTCATCAACCTTGTCGATCTTCGATTGTATTGTGTGACTTCCATTCAGGCTGACATTTTATATTCCTTTATGACACAGGATCTGGAAAGATAAATATAATCCGAAATAGTAGTACGGGCTATGCTCCCATGGACCATAACCCATGACCCATAACTCATGGATCTGTTTACTTGTATTTGTCCGCTGACGCCGCGGCGCAGCAGTGTCTTATGTTTGCTATGCCATATCACGCATTTGCATTTCAATCTAAGTTAGCATTAACATTAGTTTACTATTAATATCTTTTCTTTTTCGAGGTCTCATGTTTGCGCGGGACTTACCATGTCTGGGTATGGGGAACCGAGACGGGGATCGTACGGCGAATCGCCCATACTGCTCGATGATAAACATAAAACTCACTAAAAATGGCAGGACCTTACGGCCCAATCCCACTATGAAGAAGTGAGGCTGGATTTGTTTGGAATTAGACTACCAATTTAATCATGGTTTACTGTTCTCGTACGACGCTCTACGAAACAAGAGGCAGAAGTATCTAGTCAGTACTGGGGAAAAAAAATTCGAAGTAGGAAGATAAATTTTGTAACTGGAATACTGTAAATCCCAAATATCGAAATCGAAATAAACCATATATAACATGAACAAAGGAAATATTTTCAAAAAAGAATGAACGGGACCATACACAGGAGTCCACAGTATAAACATCATCAATCAATCAGTCATCATAATGTTCCCACGCTGGCCACACGTAGGCAAGAGACAACACAAGACAGATAGATAATCAGTCGGCAATCTGACCGAAAATACATGACAGAAAAGAGCCATATCTCAGACACTCCTGTAAAGAGAATACCAGGTTTTACCCATGGCGCATAGAGTTGAGTAGAGTGGGAAAAGGGAAAAGAGAAAGCACGATGACAATAGTGAAAACGAAAAAACAAAAAAACAAACGCAAACGCTTCGAATAATCAATCAAGCACATCATCAATCATAAGATAATCATCACAGGAATGCCGTTTTTTTTCTGGGTCGGCCTCATCCGATGCAAATCAAGTCAAAACAAAACAAAACGAGATAAAAAAAAAAAAAAGAACAAAGAAAAAAGGGAAGAAATAAACGAAAAGCTCAAAGCAAATCAATACAAAATAGAATGCAATCGCTTGCTAAAACAAAAAGCAATCCGTCCCGTAGTACCGTGTTCCTGGTTGTAAGTCATAAGACAGAAATGGACATCATAACAATGCATTATTCTTCCGAAAAACCTTGCAAGGCTATTCAGGTTCATGAGAGAGGAGAAGGAAGTGTGAAAAAGAGAAGCACATTTAATCACGCGCAATCATCGAGGCACGGCGTTTTTTGCCCTCGTCTTTGGGGGCCGCACCGTAGTCTTGCACCATCCGCTGGAAGTCGCGGATCACCTTGGGAGGCACTCGATCCCACATGAGAGATCGAGAGTAAACGTCGGGTCGCGCAGACGCCTTGGGCGCGGCATTGTTCCGCATGTTGCTCAAGGCCTGCTGAAGGCTAGAAGGCTGCTGGGATTTGTAGTCCACATGGGAGTCATCGAACGTGGTGAGGGAGTTGTACTGGTCAGCGTTAAGGGCAAAAGCCTGTTCCTGCTGCTGCTCCTTGGTGGGCATGGTCAGGGTGTTGTGAAGCTCGTCCAGGTTGCTCGTGGTTCCTGCAGTCAGCTGGGCCATCTCAGCACCGCTGATGGTCGTAGGGAGCGCAGCGCCCGCAGACGAAGAGGACTGCTGGGAGAGCTCAGCCGGGGGCGAGTTCAAAACGGCCCTGAGAACGTTGGCCGACTCGGCACGGTACTCCTCCGACATTTGAGGAATGGAGCGCTGGGAGAGCGAAGCACCGTTGGAAGCGATGAAAGCACCGAAGAGAAGGCACATGTAGAAAGCGTTCCAGCTGAAAGGAAGGTCGTTGCTGGCTTTCTCAGCGGTCTTCTCGTTGTTGCTGTTGCTGTTGTTCATCGACACAACCAAGGCAGCCGACTGTTCCATAGGAAGACCATTGGCCATGCTAAAGTCCTCCCAAGCACCGTTGTCCATGGTCAGGTTCTCAAAGTCGGAGAATTCGTGGGACATGGGTGCGGAGGGCTTGGGCTGACGCTCCAGCTTCTCAACAGTCTCCTTGAGGATGTTGTTCTTCTTGCGCAGGTCGGCGGTCTCGAGGGTGTGGGCACGGATCAGATCGTCCTTCTCCATGTGCATGCTTTCGATGTACTGGGTGATTTGCTGCTGAGTGCCGATCCATTCGCTCTTTTCGCGGAGCAGCTCGGCCTCACGGATTTTCATGCTCTGAAGGGCATCCTCGAGATCGTTGATGACATGGGTGTACTGCTTCTTTTCCTCTTCGAGCTTTTCGGTGTGGAGCTTCTTCCGTTGACGCGAGTCAAGACTGGATGGGGTTAGTAAAAATTTTAAAGCGCAAGGGAGGGCGGGGGCGGGGAACTTACGCAGCCTGACGGTTGCGGAGCAGACGCTTTTGTTGCTTCAACTCCTTGATCTCATCCTCGTTTGTGGACTGGCTGATGAGGTGGTCGATGTTACTCAACGTACGCTCAGCCGGGATCTCGAATCGAGCGTTCTTCTTCCGAATACCATCTCGACGGATACTCAGCGGGGAGGTATGACGGTAGCTAGGACTCTTGTGTGCACGAGCAGTAGCATCGGGCATGTCGGTCGAAGCAGGCATCCAACCCTGGCTGGACTGGGGCGACATGGCAACGGCACCCGGGGCAGCAAAGGCCATGCTGCGGTAGGAGGACATGGAGGGGAAGTTGATGGCACTCACGGGGCCGACGGCACCACCAGTGAAGGGGCCAGAGGAGTTGCTGTCGAGCTCACCAGGGAAGTGGTCATAGAGGGCGGTCGGGGTGCAAGAACCCGATTCTCTCGACAGGGACCAGGGAGCGTGATGCCCGTAGGAAGTGGAAGAGGCAGCCGCAGCAGCAGGATGGGGTGCATCCAGACGCATAAAAGGGTTGGAGGGGGCGGAATCAAACATGGTATGCCCGACCTGCGAGTTGTGACGAGAATGAGAGGAAGAGGAATAGTCGGACCAGATAGAATCCCGATGCGAGAAGGCGTCCTGGTCATACGACGAAGGGCGACGATGATCGGAAATAGAGGAAGACAGTTCTGGAGAAGTCGTGGGATCGAGAATCTTATCATCCAACACACTCATCTCGTCCTCTTCAGGAAAGGAAGGTTTTGCCTCGAGGGCAGTAGGCGATTGTTGATAAAAGTCGAAGGAAGATGGCTGAGAATACCGGGCCATCTTTTTCAATCCCAGCAAGGATAGGAGTCGATGGAGTCGATGAAGACGGACGATGGGGTCGGATGGAGCAGGAAGAGGCGGTGTGTAAGAAAGGGAAAAAAAAGGATATATACAAAGGTGGGGTGATGGAGAAATGGAAGTTTCAAGGAAAAAAGGAAGAAAAATGAGAAACAAACACAATAAAAACACCATAAAAGAAGAGGAGAAAAGAAGAGAATCAGATCTCTTTTTTGATGTTGTACCACCGGTTGGACAGGAAGAAAGAGAGTTGAGGAGGAGGGGGCGAAAGAGAGGTAGATAAGTAGTAGAGCACTCTACATAATACACGAAAATACTGAGTACTGAATATCAAAAGAATAATACTCGGTATCAGAGATGCGGATCAGTCACTAGCGGTCAAACAAAAATAAAATAAAATGCAACGAATTCTGAGAGCCTCCCGAGTTTGGCGAATGGCCGTGATTGGATGCTTTGTATGTGGTTTTGGGCAGACGTGCAGCGGGTATGTATAACTGGTACCAAGTCCGTTATGGTGTTGATTATGCAGTAGTAGGTAGCTCTGATGCTCTGCTGCTGTTTCGATGGACAGGAATACATTTACACTAATATCCATGTACCATGGTTCAGCATCATTTTAGCCCAATCTACTTTCTAATATGGTACTGGTATTACAGATCTTACACAGACCAAGGGATCTCCATACGAGTCAGTTACATTTGATCTGATACTAATGCTCTATTCCAGTACTGCATCTTCTACAGAATGCTCTGCCCACTACTGAATACAAGTAGTACTTTTGTACATTGTATAGCAGTAGATGCCCAAGTGATCAGATGTCTGTGCCATGATCATGATCAACGTCGTCTGTACAGTACGGTATTACAGGCGGGGCAGATCATGGTCAGCATCATCTTCACCCCCAGTATTCCGTACAAATACCTCTGTACTCTATAGTAGAGACCGAACTGGCTCTATCTCCATAACACTCCGTACTCTTAAGCTCTATTCTTACCAGTAACTATGGTAATACCTACCAGTAAACCACCATATCTGGTCAAGGGCCGGCCCGAGATCAATGATCCACTCCCGTTTGGGTTTAGTGGCTCGTGCTTTGCGTCCAACGGAAGCACAACACTCGCATCCACTGCACAGATCAATCACTAACCACCACGAGACTCTTTCCTTTTCATACAAGTAACAAGTAATAGGGCTATCGGGCTTGGCTTTAGGGCATCACTGCTTCTGCGGGGGGCCCTTGTATCGGTCCGTTCGGATGTCACGGCTTTTACCAATGCTGGCAGTTTCTGCAGGTATGTTCAGGGACTCGATAGCTAGCAATCAAGCAAGCAGGAAAAGCACGTACTACAGACAAGGTACCAAATAGGTTTCAGAAGTTAGGCAATCAATAAGCTTCAACTTTCTTGTTCTCCTGCCGAATCATCTCTGTTCTACCCCCCTCGTCAAAACTTGGGCAAGCTGACCAGCATCTCAGATCTGTCTGTGCGGTGCAGGTTCTTTCTGTCGGTCATGACGGCATTTAGTCAGTACGTACGTACGGTCGGACGTACATACCAGACCTGCATGCAGGATCTCTACCATATGGACGGGATTTGCACGATGTTTACAAGTAACATTACGAGTATGGATACTCCGGGCCCAGTCCGGAGCACCCTCGGTCGAGTGGTCATTCCAAATCATGTTCCGTTCGGCTCTTAGCATTCCCAACGGTATCTCTCGGTATTTCCGGCTTGTCTGCCGATTACAGTGTCACCTATTTTCGACTGACGGACTGACTGACAGGGACATGAAACATTTCCTCGATCAGCAAGTGTCACCCGTTCGGCTCAGCATCAGCATTATTTTAGCATCACCACCGATTTCCGGATCGGGTTAATTGAGGATAACGTTTGCTATTTTATAACAGGGGTGTTCTTGTATGCTCAACGATAACCATAAAGGGTAGGTAAGCAAGATCTCCGGATTCTATTCGACGATTTCCTCCGGACCCCTCGGTTTAGCCATACGTTCTCGGCGATGGCGATGCTCAACCCCTGGATACAATACAGAGTACAAAATTAAAAATCACCTCGTGATCAGAGAATAAAAAAACTCGAACTCGCCATCGACAACAAAAAAAACCTATCTTCTTCGCCCCCAAGCTCCTACTCCTGCATACATTCCAGACTAACAGCCTCGGACCCATCCGTCATACTTTTTCCCACTCCACACAGAGCACTCGCACGAGGAAACAGACTTTCGTAGCCGATGGCTGTAGATTAGCCATCCTGGCGGTGAACAGAACACTCCGATCCAATTGTAACGGTTTACTGGATTCGGTGGACTCCAGATTCGTAAGGCCCCCCTCGTAGCCCCTCATCTTGGCTTGGTTTTTGATATTGGCGTTTCCACTTTGAAGGGAGAATAGAGTTGGGGCTGAGAGAGACCATTGATCTGCTTTTCTTTTCTTTTTCTAGATTGTGGGCGAGGGGCGAATATGTATTTATTGTATCGCTCTGTACGGACTAGAGATATCGAGCACAGTAAGGTACAGGTCGCCTATCTCAAGTTTATCTCCTCCCTCAACTCGCATCTCCGGACGAAATACTCGTACACATAAGCACACTTCCGCATACTCCTCAACACAACCGCGACATACGCAATTCACACAAAGCTCTTGTCATCCTACATCTGCAGCACCAGCAACAGCTACAGCTACAGCTACATGTACACTATCATTGTTGCCCAATCTCAGATCTGTACTCTGTATTTTATCTATATATTGGCTTACGGGTTCCCTGGTATTGTCCATACCACGTTCGGAGTAGCTAGGCGTGGTTAAACGTGGGATGTATTCTTTCGCATAGATGGGATATCTAAATGTAGATCATCCACCTTCATCCAACTACAACCATGCAATAGCTATTACCAAGCGGAGTACGCTGTGCGATTACTCCGAATAAAAACTACTTTGACGACTATCAGGCCGTAACTTGCACCACGTTTTCCGCAAACATACAGGGAAACAATCCCATTGTCCCCTGTCCTATCCTCCATTCTCCATTCGTTTTTCTCTATTCATCTCCATGCAGAGACGCTACAATACCAATCTGGCACAGATCAGACCAAAATAACGAGGATGAAGACCTAACAAACAAGGCCACCAATCAATATGCCCCGATCGATCTGATCCGCTCCGCTGTACAGCAAAGAAAAGCGAATCGATGCAGGACGCTGCTTACTTCTCAATTATTTCTACTTTCGTGCTGACTTAATACTGGTACAGCTGTTACTCACGGCATTGCAGCTTGAATCGGTCGATTGAACAGTTTCCCTCACTCCCACATTGCTTTACACACCTAGCTATGAAGTTGCACGTGGCATATCTTCTACGGTCATGTTATGAGGACCCCAGCGTGTGGTCCAATAATTGGCTTTGTATTTCATATCTCTTTTTGCTCTCTTCATAGTCAACTACACTTTGTGTACTGTATTAGCCGATCTAGTCTCCTAGCTGTAATATGTCGACCTTATGAGTCTATGGCAGGTTTGTTTGTCCTTATTACATCTTGGAATTCGTGTCATCTCCCATAGAAAAGTAGCTCTGTCATCAAATTGTTTTCAAAAGATATATCGCTCTGCAGAATGACCAAATTTGTCAGAAATCCAATCACCCAAGTCATCTCCGCTGGGATATTGTTATGTCAGGCCCAACAACGCCACGGCTCATGCCGCTGGTTTTTGACTAGAGACCGATAATTGGATATGGCAGTAACAACATGTTATTGGTATCCATTATTTTTAGTACCTAGAAATAGCTTTTGCAATGTGGCATTCAATCTCTAGCCCTAAGTTCATCTTATTCATCCGGAAATTAGATCAGACAGCTTCATAGAAAAAACACTTCATCCGATGTGGCTTTTTTTCTTTTCCTTTTTTTTTTTTTTCGAAACATCTACCTGTATACACTGTACTCTTATTGAAAGGTAAAGAGTATTACTCCATCTGTACTATATGGGGTCAAGTGGGCCAAGACCTCTAGCGAATTAACTATAGATTCAATTTGTGCTGAATTGGTCATAATGGTATTTTAATGAATCAATCGCTCAGTTTGACACCGGAAAGCATGCTAAGCTCGTGTCTAACTTGGATGTGTGTTAGATAATTTAAGCAAATTTAGCTGATTTCATTCTGACAATCTAAGCTGCACTAACTAGGGAACGCCTGGGACAAAAGACACAATTTCCAATGCACTATTCATGAATTTCAAGAAGAGCTTGGATGTAGGCCTTCTTCTCACCCTTAGCTCCTCGCTTCGCTTCCATATACTAAGTTCAGTACAGAAGATGTGATAGTGTGGCATAGATCTCTCTTCCTATAGGACCTTCTTTGGAGGCAATGTTCGGGAACAGCTGGCTTCCAAAACCAACAATTGTAATTATCACTGCCTCAGGCATCTTCTGTCTTTTGTCCCTGTAGGGCGATTATTAATGATTGAAATCTTCCTCGGTTGTTCGTCTTTCTGTCCCCGGAGGCACATATCAGGCCAAAGTACTTGAGAGTTAGCCCCAGCTCCTTGGAAGCGCTCATTACAGAGCTTACTACTTCAATGCTCAAGCCGGACGTCATGGTGTAATTAGCTCTACTTTTGATATGCACCAACAGACAAGTGATGCTTTTCTTGTCCACGAAGCCCTCAATGGGTATGGTTGGGATCAGGAGATCGGCGCCAGGGTATCTGGGTGGCTGTATAATGCCAGCCCTGCGCGAGAAGGCAGCACGAATTGTGGGTTGATCGGGCTGGTTGTAAATACGGACAAAATGGTTGCATACTATATATCCATTGAGCCAGATGTCCTGGAGTCCGTCTTCTCATTTGATTTTATTAGCAACTTGTTGTCCAAAGCTGACCCCAAAAAGTAAACCAAAGAAAGCCTCAACTTCATTAGGCGAGGTAGGTAGTCTCCTGTCGTTACCCGGGCAAGACCAATTGAATATATGATGGTCATTGCGGTCACCAGCTCTCCGACGTCCCCAATGTCTGTTGTTGCCCATGCACAAGCCGCGTTGAAAACGTTCAAAGAGTCTAGCAGTCTTGGCCTGTGCGAGAGAAGCTGCAGGGCGGCGTGGCCAAAACAGGCTCACTAGGCTGTATTGTTTGGGCGAATGTTCGGTCCTTGTTGATTGATATAGTATACCTGATATGCTCGGCGACGTATGCCTCGCCCATGGATTGGTCGGTAATCAGAAAGCTTACACAGTACGAAAGAAGCGTGAAGCAAGGGGCTTGTGATATCTTGGCTTTTTCTAGGCTCAAAACACTGTTTAAATTCTCTCCAGCCTCAAAGAAAGCTGCCCACAGAGGCCGGCCGAGGGAGAAAAGCTGTTGTCGTGCTTGATTGGAGCTTGTAAAATCAAGGCCAGTGTAGCCCTTATAGACCCACACATCGAATGTGTTCAGAGCGAAAATAGGCGGAAAAAATTTACCAATGTAATCCGGCGATGGTTTTTCCTTCATGCTGGGGTCTTGTAGTACCGAAGACGAGAAATTGCTAATTCTCGATGCTGTGTCCAATAAAACGCCAAACAAATGTCTATAATCATCAAATAATTCCCTCAAGGCATGTCTGAAAGCACGTAAAAGCGATGAGTCGTTATTGTCTAACAATAAACGGGCTTCGTCTAAGCAAACAATAATCTTTGATGATGGGGCTCCTAGAGCGTTACGCCTATATCCATTCCGTAGTAGAGAGTAGAGGGTGCTCAGATGTTGTGCCCGCTCATTCAGCAATTTAGAATGATCCAGTAGGTCATTGACCGAGATCCCTTTTCCGTTGAGCTGTTCAATGAACGAAACAAATCTATTGTCATACTTGTGGGCACAGTTCACATCCACTTGAATCGCATAAAACTGGACCGGCGAGATATGATAAGCGACAGGCCTCGATGTCCATTATCATCCCAATCATTGCTTTTTTCCAGCAATGTACTTGATATTCCCTTGGATTTGGATGTCTATCGTAGTTCCTTTTCCAGTTCTCAATCTGTTCAGCCAAAACAGAGCGGGGAGGGAGAGCTGTCAATTCCTGGGGAGCCATGCTGATGTAGAAAATGAACTGTAGGTTTGCAGCTGCGATAATCTTGATCGCAAAGCCTTTTCCGATTCCACAAGGGCCAACAATGCTTGTTTAGAGCGACGAATACTTCGTTCCATGCTTTATATAATTGCACATTCAGCCAGTTAGGATATCCGCCAGAATTGCGCTTGCTGGTAGTTTTTCCCCATGTGTCTCCAGATTTCCGATGAAGGCTTCTCGGGCCATGGATAGGGTCACTGGAGGGGCCGATCCGGCCAGGGCCTTGTATACCTCGCTCCAGATCGCCATATCACTGGCCTTTTCCAATACGGCTTGCAAAAGGGAAATTATTACCACCATTGGGAGCTTTTCTTGTTCAATTTATTGGCAAGGTGTGTCAAATCGCTATATAACGATTTGTTGTCCATGCAGGAAGACAAGATTCGGGCGGCCTGTGGCCTTCGTAGTGAGCTTATGAGCTCAATTAGTTAACATTTCAACTCTCGACAGATCATATTAGCATGTGAACTTGTTTCAAAGGATGGATTGTCTTGTACATTTGGGATAGAGCATTCTCATCTGATGCACTGCCTCATTTGTATAGGGCAGCCCTAGGTCATGTAATAACTATACAAGATCTTCACGAAAATTTTAGATTTTGTTATCAATTGGAATAGGCTTGAATGACCTTGAAATTTGAGACACGGAGCATTGCGCAGGTGGTAATAGTGAGACCTACACTCTGCTTGCACTTTAGATGTGAGTAGGTTGAGGTATGGTTCTGTCAGGGGGAAAAAAAGTTCAGAATACCTAGGTCGAACACAGGAACGAAGACAGAATATGGTGATCCGGTTCAATACAAGATGAAGTAGTACTGGTAGCTAGAGGTAAAATCATGACTGACCCCCGCTAAGGCAGCCTTGGTATAGAAGACATCAGCAAATTTCCGTCCACTGTGGACGGAAGTAGCAGGCCACAACTACAAAGTAATATTTACGCAAACTCAGATCTGCAGTCTATATTCTACGAATCTTTATACCATCAAACATAATGCTTTCGGTCCGTCTGTGAATGCATATGGGTCTTTTTCGGTATATCATGGTTTCTTTTCAGTATCAACGTGATGCAGATTTCGATAGTTTTCTAATATATTAGATGTTTCGGCTCTTGGGTAATATATGGCTAGTTTGACGTTATAGTTAGGGGGAGCATAGAATAGAAGACTACATTAACCTTGAATGCTAGTTCCTTTAAAAAGAAAAAGAAAAAAAAAGATATACTGGACTACAAACGTGCCCAAGCAATCAAAGCAATACAACAAACGAACGATCCATTCAATACGCTACCTAATCAGTAAACAAGGTATCGATACGGATACATAACAAAACCAATAAACGCCCCAAGCAACTTCCAGTGTTCATGCAGCTCGTTGCAACGTGGTAGGTATCCGCCTCCATCGGGTATACATGTCGTGGCACCGGCCCAATCCCATCGTAAAGAAACGTATTTACAATTAGTATGCAGTAAGAACTAAAAATGGACAAAATCCTGCTGCTGCGAGAGCTCGCCAGTGTCGACGCCCTCGATGAATTCCGGGTCTTCATCATCAGAGTCGACGTCATCAGAGTCGATCTCGTCGTATTCTTCTTCCTCACTGGAGGCATCGGACTCATCATCCTGGGGCCCTTCCGCTCTGATGGCTGCATTCTTCATCTGACCCGCCCGATCCACATGAGGCAGACGGCAATGTTTCCTGTTGCAAACTCCGGTGTTGGCGTAATCGGGGCATTCGTTCACGTGGCGCTCTTCGCAGTTCGCGCCCTTCTCACAGTAGCCTAGGTTTGCGAAATTCCTGCAGACAGGTGCGCCAGGCGTCACCCGGACGTGAGCATACGGGCACTCCGGATTCGCGCAGCGACCACGAAGGAAGTGCAGACAAGTAGGGGATCTGTGGGGCGATGGTTGATGGGAAAGATCGCAATCAATACCTGCGCTGCATTTTCCATGCAGGAATTCTTTGCAAATTGCGACTTTGTTTGGATCGTGGATGTAGAAACACGACGGTCCTTTGTAGCAGGTACCTGGTCAAAGAATCAGTATAGATATCAACAAACGACGGGAAAAAAAAAAAAAAAAAAAAAGAAAGCAATGATAACAAGAGTAAAGAAAAGAAAAAAGTATGTCGGCCTTGAGGGAATTGGTACCCGTCGTAGTAAATCTTTTGCAAAGTTCATTCTTTTTCTTGACCGTCATGGGGTTCCTATATGCACCGTGAGTTTTTGAATCGCAAAACCGAGTAGTAAACCGCCACCTTTTTGAAGCCACTGCGCCAAGTCGATGAAGATTTCCGTTCTTGCTCCGGACAAACGTAACACCCGCAACGGAGACTCTCTTCGGCGTATTGTTGGCGGTATTCGGATCATCTGGTGCTCCTGGTAAGCCAGTCCTCGAATAACAAGTCATGTCAAAGTCGTTGGGGGTCGCACTGGACATGCGGATCAATTTGCTTCCACCTCTTGCTATTCTAAACGGAATATCGTTGAAGAAAAGTTGATATCCCGCCGGATGAGCAGCAGCGGCCGGCGCAGCAGCAACAGTAGGAGGCGGAAACTGTCTTCCAACACCCTGAGCATAACTGAGCACCTTGGCCTGTTCGACCTGTGTCTTTTTCTGAGCCTTCGCTTTGCGAGTATCCTCCATCGCTTTCGCCCTCATTTGTGCTTCCTTGTCGTAGACTGCCGAGTTGATCAGTTGCATATGGCGATCGCGTTTCGCAACCCATCCGTTGGACGTCGATGTCGGCGTCTCGTTGTTCTGTGCCGCGGGAGCACCAAGTGTAGATGTGGGAGTCGAGCCAGAGGATTGTCCTGGCCCCGCCGTGTTATTCAGAACTAAAGTCCGGTGACGGTGAGGTGCAGGTCGTCCCCGCGGCGCGTAGGGTCGTCCTCGATACGGTGCCCAGCGAGAGGTGTCATGGCGCGTCGCGTAGGGAGCTGGGGCAAACTCATTCTGGCCTTGCGTAGATTGGTTCTTGTGTCGATTGATCTGGCCTGGATAATTGCACAGTTCAAATGAGTGAGTGCGCACAAGTAGATAAAAGTTGCATCATTCAGCTTACCAGCAAGCTGGCTGATCTTGGACAATAGATCTTGGTCTTCAGACATGTCGGGTGTATGTCAGATACCACTCTTGGTTTTTTTTTTTTTTTTTTTCTTTTTCAACGAGATGCCTCCTCGTTCAAAACTGTTCGTGGTGGGCACAGCGTAGATGCTGCTGATGATGCCCGCAGGAGAAGCAAGTGCTGTGGCGGTAAAAATCACGTGGTCTACAGCTCTGCTCACTACCCCATAGGGAAAAGGGTCATGAAGGAATGATTCAAAGTATGAAAGATCCATTAAATATCTAGTCCAGATGCCCGCCATATATCATCCAACCAATATAAACGCCGTAATCTCTTATATGCTACATATAGAACCCCATCTACAACACTAAGCCACATTCTCAAACTGCATTTCTTCGTCGGGATCCTCATCAGAATCGTCCATGTTCAAATCGGCCCCCGGTGCGGCCTCGTCCTTGGCATCGCCGTAGCCAAACGCATTTGCATAACTGCTTTCCTTGGCCTCAGGCTTCAACTCCCAGGTCATCGAAAAGTCACCAGATTTGACCAGATGCGCCACCATCTCCAGGGTCTGTTTGAGATATGCCTCTGGTTGCCGAAGTCGTGCCTTGAGCGCCTTAAACGGCCAATATTTGTATTCGCGGAAGCATTGGTAGACAAGATCCAGCAGTTCGTTTTGCGGCATACGGGTGGTTTTGTTTTCTTGCGCCTTGCCCTTGGCGGGTTTTGTCGCTTGCTGGGAAATGTGTGAGACATGGGAATCAATAACTAGTAAAGACAACGCAAAACTTACCACAAAGGCACTCCTGTCTCCAGGCAATGCATTCCGGGGCTGGAGCAGCTTGCCTGGTACTTTGTCGATGAAGACAGTTTCGCGCTTGGGTTTGAGCGCCTCCAAAGCCTTCCTCTCTGAAATCACCCGGAACTCCTCGTTTTCGACAGGAAGAGTATTGAACTCCTCGCCGACGCTTCCAACAAGACCCGTTCGTTCTGTATCCAGTCAGTCCCGTGCTCCTCACAACCTATCGATAGTCCAACGTACTTGGTACTGTCTTCCGAACATAAGGCTCCCATTTCTTCTTGAGATCCTTTTTCCGAGCTTCTCGTTTCATCGCTTCGTACAAAGCCGACCTCGTCTCTCCAAACGTGGCTAACCGATTCTCCACCCCAGGGATGTCTTTCTCGGTAAAGACATATGTATTTTGCGTCGAATGCGTAGCTCCAGCGAGCATTGTTTGACGTTGCAGGGTGTAATCTTTGGGAATATCTCGGTTGTCTTCCCGTTCATTAATGCGCAAACTGACCTAGACAAATCAGTATAACCATCAGCAACGCACAAGACAGATTAGTGCAGAGGGAGTAAAAAACGCACCCGTTTAATATCATTCGGTTCCCCCTCTATCCTAATCGTCCCAACCTGAATCTCTTCATCGTCATCCAGCTTAGACCAATGCTCCCATAGCGACCGAGGAATTCGCGAAAGCCACACATTCTGTGTAGAGTTTGTGAAGTCCAAATCTCCTGCGTCTTCATATAGATCGTCTTCATCATCAAACGAGCCGATGCCCTCCTTGCTGTCCGGGTCGGGCTTGATATATGGCGAACCGTCCTCCTGCTTGACTTGGGCCATAGCGGCGCAAACGAAGGGAAGCTAGGGCGTCGGAAATTTTCCGGTTATCTGAGGAGGACAAGACGATGCGACTGCAGGGAATCGGCGTTCGAGGACGGTGAGGACCGGGAGTCGGGTTGCGATGGAAGTGATGTAGCAGTAATAACAGTGGCTTAGCCGTTGAGAAGAATGCGGATGTCGAAGGCGGTGGCGGCGCAGCACTTACTACTAGTTATGTACTTGTACTAATGTATGCTACGGAGTCTGTTGTCTGCTTTTAAATGTTGCTGGACAGAAAAATAGAATAATAAATGCAAAATAGAATTATCCATAAAAGTCTATTCTTCTTGCTATTTTCCTTTCCTCTCTTTTTCTCTCTTCCTTGATATGAAATGATCAATTACCGAGGCCTATATAGACAAATCTCCAGCACGAGTCAAAATGACCTAACCAGAGCACAAGGCAAAAAGAAATAGTAACATAGGATAAAAAGTGAACATTTTCTTTGGATTTCACAAACAACAGGGTGATTGTTTGTATTGCTTTCATTTACCTGCACGACTTTGCCTCGGCTCTTATCGATAAGCCAAGCTTCTAACTACTATCCAACTGCTGCTCTCTTAATCACCACCACCACTCCACATTCCCTCATCCCGACAGACCATCCTCCTACGAGGCAAACTACAGATAAATGGCCTCCCAGAAAATCACATCCGCTCTAGCGGAGATCGAAACCTCCGGCAACCCCCAAAACAAACTCCAACTCTACAACAACCTCCTTTCCGAAATCGTCACGACTTCATCCGAACACGAACTCGCCCAAGACCTCATCTACTACCTGGACTCCATCCTGACCGAAGATATCAGTATTGTCGCAGCCCGCCCCATCCTCGATGCTTTTATCACTGCCCTGCAAAAACTCTCCGCGGAAACCAAGATCAAAGTCGGCCAGCATGCCGTGACACTATTGCAGTCCCGTTCGACATCGGTCGAGGAGCAGGATGCTCAGCTACGAGAGTTGTTGGCGGATGCATACGAGACGGAAGAGGAGTATTCCTGGGCAGCGAGGACGTTGCAGGGAATTCACGTTGACAGTTCGCAGCGGTTGGTGTCGGACTCGGCCAAGGTGCGGTTATGGATTCGGATTGTGCGGTTGTATCTCGAGGATGATGATACCACTAGTGCGGAGGCGTTCTTGAATCGGATTAAGAACCTGCCCAGCAAAATCGATGACCACGAGTTGATGCTACACTTCAAGCTCTCGCAGGCTCGGATTCTGGATGCTCGTCGTCGGTTCCTGGATGCTAGTCAGGAATACTTCAACGTGAGTCTTGCTGTTGGTGTCGATGAGAATGATCGTCTTCAGGCTCTTGCTGCGGCTATTCGGTGTGCTGTTCTTGCGCCTGCGGGACCCCAGCGTTCTCGTACTCTCTCTACACTCTACAAGGATGACAGGGCTACGTCGGTGGAGGAGTTTGGGATTCTGGAGAAGATGTTCCTGGATCGGCTTTTGAATGCGGAGGAGGTTGCTGCGTTTTCGGAACGGTTGGCTCCGCACCAGCTCGCGCGGACGGCTGACGGCACGACGGTTCTGGATAAAGCGGTAGTCGAACACAACCTGGTGGCAGCCAGCAAGCTATACGAGAACATCAAGACGGACGCACTAGGGGCTATTTTGGGACTCAAAGAGAGCGGAGAGTTTACGGCCGGTGAGAAGGCGGAGGCTTATGCGGCGCGGATGGTCGAGCAGGAGCGGTTGAAAGGAAGTATTGATCAGATTTCGGGCGTTATCTACTTTGACATAGGTAATGTGAGCACTGTGACAACGGGGCGGCATATCCGGCAATGGGATGCGGGGGTTCAAGGACTGGCAGAAGATACAGAAAAAGTGGCCGCGAGTATTGTAGATGCGTTTCCGGTAAGTCATTATTATCTGAAGTTTGTGCTTGGCTCTAATACGGTACAGGATTTTGCTGCAGGACAGATGGTACATTGATGACATGTACGATTGCTGATGAACTGACGAGATAATGGTCGTATGAAATTCAATTCAAAAAGGTTATCCGGCATACATCACATTGTCAACCTCTTCAAATCATGAGACATGCGCTTGCTTTCATAAGGGTATTAATGTACAACAAAAGGCAGGGAAACATGGGTATGGTATTTACACGAGCGTGGGGGAGGGGGGTATTATAGTGAATGAGCGTGACAGTAAGTTGGATAAGAAATGAGAGAAAAAAAAAAAAATATATAGACAAGGTGAGGAAACGACGGACTATCGGATAGACTTGGCTGAGGCTGCATCTTGGGTGACATCGATTTCCGTTCGAACAGCGATTCCACCGTTGCTAGAAAGATCGAGTTTCGAATCAGCAGGGTAAGCAATAGCCTCACCCTCCTTCCGTGTCTCAGGCCGCGAAAGAATACCCTCCTCCATCTTGATATAGTAATCGATACCAGGCGATCTGGGACCTGTGGACGTCGCAAAATGTGACGCACTGGTGGACAAGTAGTACGGCGCCGTGCCGTATCCATATTTCTGCTTCGACGAGCCGCCGGGGAACCTAAGTTTTGGGAACAGGCCACGAATAATCGGCAAACAGGAACAGATCAATCCAATGGATGGCTCAATGTGTGTCCACAATGTCGCTTGGTACACGGTGTACGTGGTATCGGTGGGATCGATCCAGAACAGCACGACAATACGATAGATACTCGCAAAGCAAACGAAGATACCCAACGCAAAGACACCATTCAACGCAAGCTTATCCTGCCACGCGCGCTGCAAATTCCAAATCATCGGCACGGGCAGCGCAAGAATCACAAAATCGATAACGACGTTGAAGATCTGATTCACGACGAGGAACTCGTTCTGATCGAAGCATTTACCCTCGGCGCGCGGGTCCCAGAAGGATTTGATAGGGCGGCACTGCAGACCACAGGCGATGACGATGCCCGCGGCCCAGGCGACGATGAGGGTGTTGAGGGCAAAGGTCGTGTGTTGGAATTTGGGGGTTGTGAAGACACGGCGGTAGAAGCACACGATGGAGGTTTTGATGGCGGGACAGAGGAGAAAGTAGGTGAACTGGTTTGCGAGGAAGATCTTGCCAAAGTTGAGCATGGTTGTCATGTCGAGGTCGGCTTGGTGTTTGCCATCGCCGCCGATTGTGCACCCTGGTTGTTAGTCAGTATGATATTCCACGGAGAGTTGTGGGATGGTTGGCAATCGCTCACATAAACCCAACTCGATCAACATGGCAAACAGGAGGCCCATCGAAACGAAACACAGATAATCGTCGATCCCGAATCGGACTTGACGCTTGAACCGGGCATACACTCGCAGGAGGACTGCAAGGAACGAGATGCCGACCAGAACCGTGACGATGGCGACCATCTCGGCCCCTCTGTAGTTGAGGGAAGGCATTATCTTTTTTTTTTTTTTTTTGTTCTGGAAGGATATGTTTGAAGGAGCGACTTTCTGCAAGATAAGGAGCGTGATCAATGATAATGGTTAAATGGGCAAAATCAAGAGCATGCAGGTTGATCTGCCCATGCCCTGTATTGTATCCACCGTTAACGTGAATGGGGCACAAACAAGAAAACTCCGGACAATCCGGAGGAAGATTAACAAGGGAATCTTGGGGAAAGGAAAAAGAAAAGAGAGAGGCGGAAGAGGGGGGAAAGAGCCTACATATTGTCCTGATCAAAACCACAATGACTACATAGGTACCCTGGTTCAGCGCACTATGAACGAAAGACTCCGCTACGGAGTCGCCAGCGTCACCACTGAAAGAGAGAAAAACTTTTATCATTCCTTTTTTTCTGCAAGTGCTCTACGAAAGAGTGGGTTCGAGGTTCGCATATCGGCCAGTGCTGTTGGCTGATATCTCTTCTGGTCCAGTGGGATGAGGCAATGGGGGTACGCTCAGCCAGAGACAGGCAGACAATTGTGGAATTGACAGACGGGACTAACGAAGTCAATTTAGGACCTCGCGGGCTGCCGATCCATGGATTTGATATCGATACAATTTTTGGTCAGGTTCCAGAGTGCTTAGTGTGCATGTGTCAGTTGGTATTCTATATTATGCAGTTTGCAACCGCTGAAGAAAGCCCTTGAATGTGGATTCTACACGACTCGATGTATCACTCAGTTCGACACGCCACCACGTGTGAATCGAACGGTGGAACAGACCCGCTGATTGATAAATGCGTGCCGAGGCAGGGTACTAGGCGAACACCCTGATACAAAACACCGTAGACCCCCGGAGTTTTGGCTTTGTCTTGTATTTGTGTGTCCGAATATTTGCGCAGACCGAGACCATGGCTCTCACTCAATAGTTTCATGGTTCAGTTATCCCATATCTGTGTGTGCTATCAACCTTGTAACCTACAGAGCACTTACTCCAGATAATCTTCTCGGCCGTCAACACGATCGTCGCCCCCTGATCCCGCAAAAGTCAAGTCGCCCGACCACCAACGCGCATACAGTGGGCCACTCAAGTTCTGTCCTTCCCTTCCCTTTGGGGAAAGAGAGTTGGCCATTTTTGACCGCAATTTTGCTGGTGTCTCGTTTTCCTCTCCAGGTCTCATGCAGGACACCATCATATCGATGATATTAAAATGTTGCCTTTCCCTCCGGGGTAAGGTGAAGGGGATAATGACCCCTTTTTCTCTACGTACCATACCGTACTGTCGCTGTCACTGTCAATTAGTGTACACTCTATTGACATGACAAACTGTCAACCAAAAGCAATTCTACCCTAGGCCAACTCTCAGCGGTTGCCGAAAGTCTATCGGCAACCTAGGGAACCTTGGAACCGGGCGGATTGAATTGGGTTTAATGGTTACAGGTCGAAGCAGCTAAGATATTGTTTTATCGTTTTATTGAAGGGACTATCACCTTGTAAAACACGTCCTCAATTTGTGTGCTTTAGATTTTCATAATGTTGTGCTCGGGGGAATACCGTATCGGCCATATTCCGTTGAACAGTGCTGTCCGGTGTGGCGTGAGGCAGGCACATTCTGCCGCATTTTTGTGTCCCTATGAAGAACCATGGATGGCACATGGCACTACTATTCAATATCAGCCCAGGAAAGGAAATCTCCGTTGTTAAGCGAGTCTATGGGCTTTCCGGGGTTGCCGGGAGGGGATCTTCAGTGAGTGTCCATGGTGCTGTGGTTTATGGTGACGAGGCTCCGGAATGAGCATCGTTAGCGAGTGATAATAATCATCTAGTCGCGGTATCTTGGAAATAAGCATTCAGTGGTGTGTAAATATTGAACAATATCCTTTTGGACGGTGAAGTCAGTGCGCTGCAACTTTCCCATTCCGGATGCACTAGGGCTCCATTCAGTGCAAGAAAACCAGTGGCTTGGGACGAGACCCGCTTATTAACCAATTTTTTAAGAAAAAGAAACCACTGACAGCATGGTCCAACATTGCATATTGCATTGCATTGCATGATTCCAGGGTTCTCGCACGCCTGATGAACGAAAACAAAAGCAAGCAAGCAAGCGCATTGAAGCACTGGCCCCGGCAAAGCCCTCCGGCATAGTCATTAGCTCAACGGTCGACCGCGATGATCCCTCGTAGTCAACTTTCGGAATCACCACCTTCATTAATCGGAATTATGCAAGCACTGGATCGAGCACGAGTGTTGTGCACTATACCCTATTGCCCCGTTACATACTCGCTGGCATCACCTCGGCAGTTGATCGCTGCCCCTATCCCGCGATTAACGCTTGTCCGGAGTGGACCGTGATAATTTTTTCCTTTCCCCTTTGGGAGTGCCTTGTGTAAATAGTGGGGCGATTTCAATGCTTTCTGCGCAAGGTTGGAGAATTGGGGTACATATGGCTATGAGTATGGACGAAACGAGTCAAGTTGACGGATGCTATTCATCATAGACCGATTGAGTTAGGAGCCCCTTTTTTTGCTATCAATACCGTTGATAGAGATACCCCACATGACAGATGTCGTTAACCTTGGGTACTGTGCATGACTAGTAATTCTTGGTAGAACTGCTAGTACAGAGTGCACTGGATTATATCAACTACAAACCCCGGTAGAGGTATATTCCGTGCATAGCACTCTACGCCAGCATTGCATTCATACCCATAGAAAGATGTCCCTCCCAACAGTCCCCCTCATTATCAACGGCGTCGAGGAATATAACCCCTCCGCCTCCTTCGCCGTAACCAGCCCCTACACAAACCAACCCTGCTGGACCGCCGCCGCGGCATCTTCCACCGATGCCCTCCGCGCCGTTGATTCCGCCTCTGCCGCATTCCCAACCTGGTCCGCGACAAAACCTGCTGTCCGGCGCGACATTCTCCTGAAAGCAGCTGATATTCTGGAGAAGAATTTGGAGCGTAATGCGGGGTTTATGCAAGCGGAGATGGGCGCGGATGTTGGTGCTTCGCAGATGTTTGTGGCGCCGTTGGGAATTCGTATGTTGAGAGATCTCGCGGGACGAATTGCGTCGATTTGTGGGAGTGTGCCGGTTGTGGAGGATGAGGGACAGAGTGCGATGGTTGTTAAAGAGGCGATGGGGGTGATTTTGGGGATTGTACCTTGGTATGTCGTCCGTTTTATGGCTTTTTATTGTATGATGGGCATGCTGACGGGTAAAGGAATGCGCCATATGTCTTTGGCATTCGCTCCGCTGCGTGCGCCCTCGCTGCGGGAAACACTACCATTCTTAAATCCTCCGAGCAAACCCCCCGCTGCTACTGGGCCATCGCGCAGGCTCTCCACGAAGCTGGTCTCCCTGCAGGCTGCCTCAACTTGATCTCCTGCCGTCCCCAGGATGCCCCCGAAGTCGTCAACACGATGATCGAGCACCCCGCCGTGCGCAAGATCAACTTCACAGGAAGCACGGCGGTGGGACGCAAGATTGCACGCGCGTGCGGAGAGAACCTGAAGCCGTGCCTGATGGAATTGGGAGGGAAGAATAGCGCGATTGTGTGTGCGGATGCGAATATCGAGACGGCTGTTAAGGGTGTGTTGGCGGGTGCTTTGCTCAACGTACGTATTATACCTCTACGCTGTGTCTAAGACACGTACTGACCGTTTAGTCTGGCCAAATCTGTATGTCAACAGACCGCATCCTCATTCACGCTGACATCGCCCCAACCTTCATGGCCGCCCTCAAAACCGCCCTAGCCTCGTCCGCTGATCCCGCCTCCCCACCGCCAACCCTCGTCAACCAAGCTTCCAAATCCCGCGTCGAAAGGCTCATCACCAGCGCCCTCGACTCAGGCGCCTACCCCCTCACCGGTTCAGCAGACATCCCACAGTCCGACTCCTGCGTCCGCATGCCACCGGTCATCCTGGGCGGTGTTAAGGAGGACATGGCCGTGTGGCAGGAAGAGAACTTTGCGTCGCTGGCTGCGTGTATGGTTGTTGGGAGTGATGAGGAGGCTATTCGCATTGCAAACTCGAGTGGGTATGGGTTGTCTGCGTCGGTGTTCACGGAGGATTTGAGGAAGGCGTTTGCTATGGCGAGGAAGATTCAGTCTGGGTAGGTTCCCTTCCTTCCCTGTGGATTTTGGTTAAGCAGATACTAATGGGGTGCAGGGCGGTGCATATCAACAGCATGACGATCCAGGATGAACCGGCGCTGCCGCATGGTGGTGTCAAGGCGAGTGGATGGGGACGGTTTAATACGGAGATGGGACTGGAGGAGTTTTTGGTGACCAAGAGTGTGACTTGGATGGATTAATTGTATATAGATTATAGTACCTTCTATTGAGCTGTGGCGAGACTGTTGAATGAGCATTGTAGGCATAGAGTATCTCTTCCTTGGATCTATACTGAATTGACCAAGGTAAAGAGTTAAGAGTATGTACTGTGGCAAGTCCGGTCTTGTAAATATATATCTGCTTCCACAACAACGATAACCACAAACAACCACATTAAAGGTAATGTAACGAGTAGCGACAATAATAACATAAAAGCGGTCGTAACCCACCGACTCATTTAAATCGCTACATCTACTGTACTCCGTACAAATACCACGGAAATCCCCAACCCCGGCAAATGCTCCCCAAAATCAGTAACTTCAAACCCCGTAAATACCAATGACGCTTTTTCCGGCTTCTGTTCATGTGACCAATAGCCGATATTACAGTACGCGGTATGGATACACGGTAAATACTAAAACCTGGAATATGGGGGAATATCTGGGGTAAACAGAGAATACTCCAGTTTTAACACGGAGATTTAATTGTGGAATAAACACGGGGGAAGATGGTAAATGTAATCGGGGCATTGGGATAGGTCGAGATGCTTAGAATTAGGGGATGCTGAGTGGTGGTGCTCGGACCGAGGTTGGGATGGCCCGATGGGAAAGTCTGGGGTAATGCGATCATTCAAGATCACCACTTGTATGGGCATATCCACGGATACAATACAAAGAATGTATATGAGAGGCATTTGATATAGACAATATAATAGTAGAACAGAATATAAAAGTTTCCGTTTGTTGTCTAATAATGCTGGGTATACATCATTGTACACAGTGGTCAGACCAGTGACCAGGATAATGTTGGAGTACTCCGTACAAAGTACAGGTATGACCAGACGAATGACGCAGTTGTAAGAGACATGTGAAATGCATTTAGCATGTGAAGAACTTACTACTATGTACACAGCACAGTTACTATGTACAGTGTTCAGTACTCGGGATAATGTCCCCCGAGACCAAGAGCACAAAACTGATAGCTATGGCAGGTTTCAAAGAGCTATAAGCTACCATAAATCGAGCATTTCTCTATTCTAGTTTGTGATCCATAAACCAATGTAAAGAATCGGAGAGAACCCCGTACGTACCGTTTCGGTCGGTAGAGCAGCCTCGGCCGATAGAGAGCGTCGGCTTCTGAACCTTGGATCTCCTCCGCCCCCCGGATCACCCATTAAAAGAGCGTGTCGCACTCTTCCTCTTCCCTCTGGCATTCTTCTTTTACTACTCTGTTACCACTCTTTACTCTATACCTAATCATTCACAATGGCAGCCCCCCCAAGAGTCATCGTTGTCGGTGGTGGATGTACGTGATCTCTCTTCTCCGCAAAATCATACGTTGCTGACCATTGCAGTGTCCGGTCTCAGTGCCGCCCACACCGTCTACCTCAATGGTGGAAACGTCCTCGTCCTCGATAAGCAGGGTAAGATAATCATAGCGCAAGACATAGGATAACGTGCTGACTTTTCAGCCTTCTTTGGTGGTAACTCGACCAAGGCTACCTCCGGTATCAACGGCGCCCTCACTCGCACCCAGACAGACCTCGGTATCCAGGACAGCGTCAAGACCTTCTACGAAGACACCCTCAAATCCGCAAGAGACAAGGCGCGTCCCGAATTAATCAAGGTCCTCACATACAAGTCTGCTGCTGCCGTTGAGTGGCTTCAAGATGTCTTCAACCTCGATCTCACCCTTGTTTCGCGTCTTGGGTATGTCTACAATCCATCTCGACTGAAAATGTACATAGCTAACCAGTTGAAGTGGTCACACCCAGCCCCGGACACATCGTGGCCATGATGCCAAATTCCCCGGAATGGCCATCACATATGCCCTTATGCAGCGATTGGAAGAACTCAGCGAGCAGGAGCCCGACCGCGTCCAGATCGTGAAAAAGGCCCGTGTTACCAATGTTAACAAGGACGGTAACCTCATCACTGGTGTCACATATGAATTGAACGGCGAGTCGCAAGTCGCAGATGGTGTTGTTGTTCTCGCCACTGGTGGTTATGCCGCCGACTTTGGCAACAAGTCGCTCCTGCAGGAGCACCGCCCAGATACCTTTGCCCTGTCCAGTACCAACGGTACCCACGCTACCGGTGACGGTCAGAAGATGTTGATGGAGATTGGTGCCAACGGAATTGACATGGACAAGGTCCAGGTCCACCCTACTGGCCTTGTCGACCCCAAGGACCCTGAGGCCAAGTTCAAGTTCCTGGCTGCTGAAGCCCTTCGTGGTGAGGGTGGTCTCCTGCTCAACTCGGACGGTGACCGGTTCGCCGACGAGCTGGGCCACCGTGACTACGTCTCGGGCCAGATGTGGAAGGAGAAGGAGAAGAGCAAGTGGCCCATCCGTCTCATTCTGAACAGCAAAGCCTCCAACGTCCTGGACTTCCACACCCGTCACTACGCTGGCCGTGGTCTGATGCGGAAGATGACCGGTCAGGAGCTGGCCAAGGAGATTGGCTGCGGTCCCCAGAAGCTGCAGAAGACCTTTGACGACTACAACGCCATCGCTGATGGCAAGAAGAAAGACCCCTGGGGCAAGCGCTTCTTCCACAACGGACCCTTCGCCGTCGACGACACCTTCCATGTCGCTCTCATGGAGCCAGTCCTGCACTTTACCATGGGTGGTATCGAGATCAACGAGCACGCCCAGGTCCTCAACTCGGAGCAAGCCCCCTTCGAGGGTCTCTACGCCTGCGGTGAACTTGCCGGTGGTGTCCACGGTGCCAACCGTCTGGGTGGTTCCTCTCTGCTAGGCTGTGTCGTCTACGGTCGTGTGGCCGGTGACAGCGCCAGCCAGCACCTGTTCAAGAAGCTGATCACCGGCGGCGCCTCGACCGCCCAGAGCCGTCTGGGCCAGATCTCCCTGCACATCGACCCCGCGACCCCCGGCAAGATCGCCATTGAATGGAGCGGCGCTGCCGCTGCCTCTGGCGCCAGTGGTGCACCTGTCGGCTCCGGCGCTACCCCCGAGGTCGCTGCTGCTACCGCCAGCGCATCGCCAGCCAACGCCGCCGCCGCCGCGCAACAGGCCTCCAAGCCCACGGCGCCCAAGCCGTTCGAAGTCCCCGAGAAGGAGTTCACGATGGAGGAGATCGCCAAGCACAACAAGAAGGACGACCTCTGGATCGTCGTCAAGGGCTGTGTGCTGGACGTGACCAACTGGCTCGACGAACACCCTGGTGGCGCTAACGCTCTGTTTAACTTCATGGGTCGTGATGCTACGGAGGAGTTTGCCATGTTGCACGACGACGAGGTTGTTCCTAAGTATGCTGGGCATATTGTTATTGGCCGTGTTCAGGGCCAGACCCCTAGTCTGGAGTTTTAAGGGCAATAAGGAAAAATGGAACAAAAACTGGTATAATATTCTCTGAGCATGGTGCTGTTTGACATACCCCCTTTTTATTTGTCGATTTGTTTGCTTTTGTTATGCATGTATGTCTTGTTATGAATGGATTCTGTAAAGTATCATGATCTCAATCCAACATTATCGTACATCCTTTATCTTAGTAGTTACGCTCCCATATGCCTCAAAATCATCTTCAACCTCGCCACTGCCGGTCCATCCTCTCTCCCTTTTTCCATATCCCCTCCATTCTCTTCTTTCTCTTCCATCTCCCTCCTCGCCTCTTCAAGCACCGGCTTCAAAAACCCCCACACCTCATCCTGATATTTCTCCTCAACAGCCACCCACTCTTCCGCCCCCGGCAACCCCGTCAATACCGCATCGCGCAGCGCGGTAGCATCATTCTGCGTTTGCGCGGGGACTGTGGAGAGAAAGTTGTCGATGTCGGGGATTAGACTTGTGGGGTTTATGCGCCGTTGTCCTTGGGTAGGGTGGGAGCCGAGCTTTCGGCGGAAGGACTCGAGGGTTTGGATTTCTTGGGCGGAGAGAGGGAAGGGGGATGGGTCGGAGAGGTCGTTTGGGACGAGGACTGGGTCTAGGTTGTCGGTGGTGGTGATGAGTTCGGGGAATTCAGGGTTGAAGGAGGGGGATGTTAGGAGTGTGAGGAGTTTGGAGCCGTCTTGAGCGTTTTGGTATGCAGACTGCGGTTCGGAGTGTGTGGCTGTGATGGATTGCCAGGTGTTTTCGAAGGGTTGATAGTCTTGTTCGTATTCTTTTTCTGATGCCTTTCCCTTTCCTTTCCCTTTTATATCTGCGATCGCATCTTGCTCGTAGGGCGATACACCCGATTCTAGCCCCCCATCTTGATATGCCTGATCATTCTGGAACTGGTATGCCTCCTCCATCAACCCATCCTGCCCCGTTGCGCTCCCCGTCGCGCTCCGAAATCTCCCCCCAACATCTCCATGCCGTGATATCCCCCTCCCAACCGAACTTCCCGGCACAGTGGTTTCCCCATGGAACGTTTGCGCCGCTGATGCCGCCGCTACCGAGGATGGTGGCGCGGCTTTGTTGCTGCTGCTACCGCCTGGTTGGAGGTTTCTGGCTATGTCGGCTGGGGAGGGGGTGAAGAGGTTTTGGGCGAGGGTTGTGGCGGAGGATTGGAGGCGGGATGGTAGGGATGGGTTTGCATTTTCATTTTGGGGGTTAATTGTGTTTTGGTTGGCGGAGGAGGGAGAGGCGGCGGTGGTTGCAGTGTTGGAAGAGGTGTTGTTGGTGGATGATGGCGGAGGTTGCGGGGGTTGATTGTCGGACATGGTGTTTATTATAAGGTCACTGGATCAACGAATATGTGAACAATAAGAGGGTATAGAGGTGCCCTAGATTTGAAAGAACAGAAAAGCTGCGTATTTCATCTATGGTTGATCGGGACGAGGTTTTTGGTCATCGGGATGTTCGGCCCAAGGGAGATGGAACCATGTGAAAGTCTGGAAGTGCTTGGAAAAGGCGGCATTATCGATCTTTGATATCTGCAGGAAATATCCCTGATATCTATTTTAAAATTCATAGATAGTAGTATCATCTGCGAGTGATGTGAATGTATCATGGGGAATAATTTGAGTTGGGAATAGTATCACGATATCCTAATCGGGAAACTGGATGCACTTGCCCGTGCAGATGGTAGCCAAATAGTGACATGCAAAAACACCATAGATTGCTCCATGTGAACATAAGGACCTAGGTGGCCGTTCGGAAATAGTTCAATTGGGTGATTATATCCAATCCGGGGTATATTGGGTGGATTCGGGTGTTGTCATATATATCGGTGCCAGCGGTACTGAGGTATGGAGTACAGAGTACAGAGTACATGGTGGTACATGTAGGTGATTATTGTAGCTGCTGAACCTGTCAACTGCATTGTACACTGGGCTGTTAAATTTTCCTATAGATCGATTATATGCACCAAGCATAGGGTGGTGAGTACTATGTAGCATCGGGGTAGTTGATGTCAGCCCGACTGCTAACGCTCCCCACCACCAGCTCACCACAATCACCACCGCACCGCATCTCCATCCCACCTCTCTTCTCCTCTCCCTTTCGCTTCTCCTCTAACAACAACCTCATCCATTTTGTTTCTTGGTCATTGGTAAGTTATTACATCTATCTTCTAGGCTAAAATCCTGCATCCCATATCCTCTGCCCCATTCTCTCATCCGCTGGCCAACAACTCACTCAGAGCCTCCTTCCCTTGTATAATCTGGCTCGTCGTCTCCCACAATCGAGGGTCTGCCGTCTCTGCCAGGAGTTATATTCCTCTTCAATCTGTATTTCACTCGTGTTTCTGCTATCTATATCTGTTATCTATTGTCACTCGCACGGTTACGAAAAAATTTCCCCCCCTCATTGAGGCCCGTCCACGATACACGCAACGAACCGTTGAAGTCTTGCAGAAACCACTGACATTTCTTTGTCTTTATACAGAGCCTCGTCTCTTTACGTTCTCGCGGCCCTCCTTGCCCTCATCTTCCTCTCATCCCTCGTCCAGAATCCCTCCTTCCCCTCCCTTGACCGATTCCCACTATCTCCACTCGAGAAATACCGGTCGCCGTTATTCGTGATCGCCTTGACTCTCCCAACACATCCGCCCTCGCCTCTCTCGCTTTCGATCTGGAAGCGAATTCCCGACAAAAAAAAAGTCACGAGAAAATCTATTCGAAAAATTTACCTATCCTACTCTTCGGGCTTCACCGCTTGATCCCTGCAGCGGTCGCATTATAGCTCCCACAAGCTTCCCCGTGTCCGTCGGTGTCTTGTTCCGGTTTCGCTCTGTGTGATTTCCTCAACTATATCCTTGTGTCTGTCACCCCAGTAAAGGGAGGTATCAAAGATGGTAGACAGAGATCCGAATTCGCCTACCTGGAAGTTCACACAGTAAGTCGATGTCGAGCGTCGGATTCCCGCAGTAGTAGCGGTGGGAGCTGGCAATCATGCCCCACCTTGATATATGCCTCCGTGCTGGAATGCTGATGGTGTATCAGATGCTTTGGTGACAAGGGTGATGTGGAAGATATCACAGAAGGTTGGTTGCCAACTGGAGTTCATTCCTTGCCAATCGACATCCAGGACGAACTAACGGTCTCCCCAGCGGACATTATTTCGACCGTCGAATTCGATCATACCGGTAACTACCTGGCTACGGGAGATAAGGGTGGAAGAGTGGTGCTGTTTGAAAGAAACGAAACGGTAGCGACCCTTTTGACCTTGCATCTTAGGACCCATCCTAACGACTGGCTAGAAAAAAACATGCGAATATAAGTTCCACACCGAGTTTCAATCGCACGAGCCCGAGTTCGATTACCTCAAATCGTTAGAAATTGAAGAGAAGATCAACAAGATTAAGTGGTGCAGACGGCAAAATTCCTCCCACTATCTTCTTTCGACAAATGACAAAACCATTAAGCTATGGAAGGTCTTCGATAAATCGCTCAAGGTCGTCGCCGAGAACAACCTGTCGAATGAACTCACGCCCGCGGGCGCTGTGTCTGGTGGAGGGGCACCTCGCCCACCTCGTATACCGTTCAAGGACTCATCGTCATTGAAGCTTCCCCGGATGACACACCATGACACCGTTGTCGCAGCCGTACCGCGGAGGACATATGCAAACGCCCATGCATACCACATCAACAGCATCTCCGTCAACAGTGATGGGGAGACCTTCATAAGTAGCGATGATCTCCGAGTCAACCTCTGGAACCTTAACATCCAGGACCAGAGTTTCAACATTGTCGATATCAAACCGGCCAACATGGAAGAACTCACTGAAGTTATCACCGCGGCCGAATTCCACCCTACCAGTTGTAACTGGTTTATGTATGCTAGCTCTAAGGGAACCATCAAGTTGGCGGACATGCGCCAGCGGGCATTGTGTGATGAGCATTCTAAGCGTATGTTTTCCTCGCGTTACTTGTTTGCGCCAAAGTAAACTGACACGGTCTGCAGTATTCGAACAAGAGGAAGACGCCTCGTCCCGTTCATTCTTCTCCGAAATCATTTCCTCGATCTCCGATGTCCGCTTCTCGAATGACGGTCGATACATCGTTTCCCGAGATTATCTGACGGTTAAGGTCTGGGATGTCAACATGGAGAGGCAACCCGTGAAGACCATTCCTATCCACGAACATCTCCGGCCGCGTCTCTGCGACACGTACGAAAACGACAGTATCTTCGATAAATTCGAGGTTGTCTTCTCTGGCGACGCGGAGAACGTCATGACCGGAAGCTACAACAACAACTTCATGATCTACCCCACTGACCAGAACAAGGACACCGAGATTGTGCTGCAGGCCGACAAGTCTGCGTTCAAAGCGAAGAAGGTTGGCGTGCCCACACCCATGAACCGGGGCGCCAATGGGAAGAAGAACGGCTCCAGATCGGGCAGCCCTGTTGGTCCTGGCAGCCGGATGAGGAAGGAAACCGATGCGGATCAAATTGATTTCAACAAGAAAATCCTTCACATGAGCTGGCATCCGTACGAAGACAGCATTGCCATTGCTGCTACGAACAATGTAAGTTCTCTCCCCCGTCTTATCAATTGCCTTTTATCCTAACTTCATTAGCTCTTCGTCTTTTCTGCGCTGTAGACTTGGGCAGGCGTGACCGTACATTCATCATGGCATATAACGAGGGCAGGGTATGACTTAAAGGGAAAACGTGATTAATAGCAAGAGAAGCAACCACCAAAATCCAAAAAATTCAACCAGTTCAATTTCGATGCATCGTTATCTATCCGGAGACGGTGTGCACTGTTTTCTTTCTCCCTACCGTCTACCTTTTCCCTTTTCCCTTTACTATCCATTTTACACACGCTGATCCTATATCGACTTCATCTTTTATCCGTTTTCTTGGGCAGATGCTGCGGGATTTTTTGTTCTTGCTTGGAGGCGTTGGAGAGAGGTTGATAGAAAAAGAGCCTAGCTCACGCATGGTTTTTTTTTTTTTTTGCCCTCCTTGTGTTTGATTTGATTTGATGGTGTGTATTCGCTACAGCCGACTACAGCCCATCTACTGTTCAAGTCGGCGATACAGCGGAAGGACCGTCATTGTGATTACTTAGACGCGGGTTATATAAGGACCCCAATTGAGTCAATTTAGGTACCTACTTAGTGTTACTTGATTGTAGATAATGAATATATGAGGCGTTATCCAACTGTATGTGCTCCGTAGGACGCTCATGTACAGTCGATGACGTCGTGCCCGACGAACCAATCAGCACGCGCCGGGCAGGACGGGCAGAAAAAAGCGTGACACAAGCACACCGCCGGAAAATTATGGCACCGAGGGCCCGGATACTAGGGCTGGAAAGGGGTTAGTGCTGCTGAAAGCCTCTCCGCCTTCACTCTGACAGTGATCGGTCGCGCGCAAACCATCATTGCCAATCCAGGTTTCCTGCTCACCTCTCTTTTTATCTGTTTGGTTTTTTACGGGTCTCTTGGTCTGGACGTGTGCGTTCAGTTCTCATTTCTCTTCTTCTCTGACTTGTCTTCCTTTGCATTACGGTATCGTGATGTGGTTGTGAAATGACTTTTGGAGAGCAGACCCCCAGAGTGCGAAACGATTAGCAGGCTTGCTCTGACCCCAACATACTGCTTGTACCTTCACTTTACACCTTTTGTGGCTCGTGAATTTCGACTTGTCTATCAGCCTTTGGCTCTGAGAAGTCCTTGAGGCTTGTGTTCATGCAGAGATCATGAACTCTTCTGGAAACGATAATTGGCATCCTGCCGGCGGACCGCCTTCACACTCCAGCATGGATCACCAGATGAATCAACAACACCGGCCCTTAGGGTCATTTGGGTATGTCTATAAGATCTGGGATATCTTCTGAGTGGCGCTGACTTTGTTTTTTGAATAGCCAAAACCCCCCACCCCAGCAAGGCCCATCCTCCCAGGCCGCCGGGCCCGTTTTGCCGCCTCCTGCTGGTTAGTCCCTACCGTTTCTTTTCTACCTTATACCGTTGATAAAAGTTGTGTTTGTGGAATAGTCTTGGTTGACTTGTGGTCCCACCGGTTTTCAGGTCCCTACCACCCCGGTCAGGCTACCGGACACTCCCTCCCCGGACTGGCGGAGTTGAGCCAAAGTCATTCCGGCCCACACCCGCCCCCGGCCTTCGGCCAACACCCTCCTGCTCCTTCGCATAATACCGGTCACGCATTGCCGGGCATCGGACAGGCGATGCAGCACCCTTCGCCGCAATCCATCAATCGGGAACGCGAACGCGACTCGAGAGAACGGGAATTGATCGAGCGCCAGCGCCAG